GGATTGAAACCCTCGAAGAGCAAACGACCACACTCCGGAGAACAGTGGACACACTGAGGCACCAAATCGAGGCGCAGACAAGTATGATCACCAGTATGCACTCGGCGATCCATCTTCTCCTCAACAAACAACCACAACCGCAACAACCGCAACAACCACAACAAAACCAACAACAGCACCAACAGCAACAACAGCGAAAACAACAACCGCAGGGACAGAGAATGCCCCCTCCAGCGGTCCCTCAAACAATTCCTCAAGCAGCGCCTCAGGCAGCCCCTCAGGCCCCCCCACCCGCACCCCCCCAACAAGCCCCACTCCGTGGATGGAAAGCAGGCACCTGGGCCGCCGTGGCCTCGGCACCCGGTCCTGCTCAAGGAAGTTTCCAGGTTGTTGAGAAAAGAAAGAAGTCCGCAAAGCCAAAAGCAGACCCCCTCTTCAAGCCAGAATATACCAAAATCAACAGAGAAATCATTGTCGAAACCACTGCTCCATCCGACGTCAATCCCTCCGAGATCAGGACCCTAGTCAATGCAAGAATTCAGGACGAATCCTGCCACTTCATCTCAGCAAGGAGAACACCCAAGGATAATTTTATCCTGGAAACTAAGTTTGTCACCCCAGCAACAAAGGCGATGGAATACGCCAAAGAAATTGAGGAGGCTCTCCTCACCCTACAAGTACCAGTCGCCATCATCCGGGCAAACTCCAAATGGTCAAAGTTCCTCATTCACGGAATCCCCACAACGGTCGGAGAAGGCGCCGAGGCAGGACAACTGGTAGCATCCGAAATTAGAAGCAACTATGGAGAGAACTTCCAACTTGCCCAGATTCCCCGCTGGATCTCCAGAGCAGAGACACGAATGGAGAAAAACCACTCATCAATGGTCATTGCGCTCCCAGGACAAGTTACAATGGAAACATTAGGAGTTAAGTTCCTATCCCTCTTTAACCGAAGCTGCCACATCGAGGCCTTCCTCCCAACCTTCCCAGACACCCAGTGCGCGAAGTGCCTCGAATACGGTCACCGCCAGGAGAAATGCAAAAACAATGGGAGATGCGGTCATTGTGCCGGAGATCACCTCACCAGCTTCCACCCATGCAATCAATGCCAGGGAGGATATAGATGCACCCACACCCCAATCAGATGTCTGAACTGCAAAGGAATCCATAAGGCCTCCGACCCAGCATGCCCCGAGAGAGTCAAACGCCGATTCCTCAACAAAGGAAGGGAAAACGCCCCACCCGCTCAAGACCCACCGGCCGCACCCGTTCAAGAGTTGCTTCCGATAGTCCAAGTACCAGCCACCGCCCCAGTCGGAGCCACACCCGTTCCCGAAGAAGACCAACCCATGACAAATAATGCTTAGGCCTCGAACAACCGCGCTCGCACACCAACTCAATTGTGCACGGAGCGAACTTGTTACCAAGGCGGCGGTAGAAGAAGCGGAAACAGACGCTAGTATTTATTTCCTATTACTACAAGAACCATGGACCTCAGCAGAGGGATACCCACCAGAATCAAATCTCTTTTATATTTTTACGGCCAGCAACACCAATACAAAATGTGCAACATACGTCCGCAAACATGCCAATCTCAAACCAAAACACCACTACACACACGATAATTTTATAGTATCGATCACGGTAGAAATCCAAACCAAAAAAACCCAAATCCTAAACATATACTCCCCAGGCCGAAGTGGCCCTTTCGCTCAAATAGCAAGTACAATCCAAACCCTTGATAACTGTCTAGTAATGGGAGACTTCAACTGCCACCATCAAATGTGGTACGGAGTAAATTCACATGAATACAGAAACAACATTCGAGCAGACCGCGTCAATGGCGCACGGTTAAAACGATGGATAACCCGACAGAAACTGACCCTCCTGAACGAACCAGGCGTCTTTACGCACTTCCCCAGAGACAGAGGGAAAAGGCCCACAACCATCGACCTTGCATTTGTAAAAGGCCCAACACTCGACCACAACCTACGATGGAGTACTGAACCCCACGGAGCAGGCTCAGACCACGGGAGAACCTCCGTCCACTTACACCTGGAAAAACCACCTTTTGTACCAAGACGAATGTGGCGACAAACAGACTGGAAGCTATTGGAGAACCACATGTCAAACATCTCCATCCCTGCAGAGGCATGGGAAACCAAGGAACACACGGAACAAACTGTCGATTTCTTCCTAGAACTGGTCAGGTCAACAGTCAGCATAGTAACACCACTCTCGAAGGAGGGGGTAAGAGCCAACTCCTGGTGGTCAGATGAGATGAAACAGATGAAGGCAAGGGTAAACGCAGCAGAAAGGAAGGCGAGAAACACAAGGAAACCCAACCACGTGCAGGAACATCGGAAGGCTTGCAGAGAATGGACAACCATGATCCGGAAAGCAAAAGCGGACCAGCGGGAAAAGACGATGAACGAGGCGAAGGGTAGTGAAGTCTGGAGAATCCTAAGTGCAGGAAAGAGACGAGACACAATCATACCAACCATACAAGGTGAAGAAACGTTCGCGGGGAAGTGTCAAGCTCTAAGAGCCCAACTTTTCCCCTCGAAACGGACGTCCCCCGACCATCCCCCCTTGAACATTAGACCCCCCTCTTTTGACCTTAGCAACACCTTCGACATAGTCACCCCCGAAGAACTTAACAAAGCAATCGACTCCTGCCCAGCGCACTCGGCGACCGGCCCGGACGGCATCCCTTATACCTTTATTAAAGCTATAGTTAAAGCAAACACAACTCTAATCCAAGACATGTTCTCCGCTATGCTCCGGCACGGTGTACATCCAGCGGAATGGAAAATAGCTAAGTGTATCCCGATCCCGAAACCCGGTAAAGCAAATTATCATGAAGCAAAAGCCTACCGGCCCATCTCCCTTCTACAATGTTTCAGCAAAATCCTGGAGAAGATAGTGGCTCAGAGACTCTGCACCGCTGGAGAAATCCTAGGCACACTCTCAGCAAACCAATTCGGAGGAAGACCAACTATCTCGGCAATCGACGCCCTCCTGAGAACCTTGACTCCAATACAACAAAACCTACTACTAAAAAACAGCGCCGGAACCGCCCGGCGAGATAGACCAGCGATCCTAACCAACGACATCCAAGGAGCATTCAATTGTGTCGACCACCTACTCCTCGCGGAAATCATGCACCAACAAAAATTCCCCACCTATCTGACAGAATGGTGCAAGGAATTCAACACCGGCAGAAAACTACAGTTTCAATTCAACCATGAGCTAGAGGAACCACAGCCCTATGATTCTGGAGTGCCGCAAGGTAGCCCCATGTCTCCGGTACTATTTATGATTTATGCCGGAGTAATTCTGGACCCAACTAGCAGCCCAAAAGAGATGGACATAACTTACATCGATGACGATGCGCTGGTGCAAATATCCAAAACACCAGGCTTTACAATTAAGAGAATGGAGGAACGAATGAGAGAAAGACTAACTAAAGCTGAGCCACTCCAAATCAAATACGACCCGGATAAATCCGATCTGATCTTCTTCCGGCCCACCACATCATCCATACAACAACCACGACTTCCAGTCAAAGTTAACAACATCGATATATACCCCAAGGAGAGGCTGAAATACGTAGGAGTCTGGATAGATCCAACCCTCTCCTTCCGGCCCCATATCGAAGCAGCAATCGCAAAAGGCCTAAAAGCCCTCCACCAAATCCGAAACACCGCCCGCCTGCCAGGGATAACAGTCAAGACAGTTCATCACCTAATAATACAGGGCTTCCTTCCAGGCCTGCTCTACGGATCTGAGGCCTGGTGGACTGGCGCAGACCACATCATTAGATCACTAGAACCACTATACAACGAAGCTGCCCGGATCATCACGGGCCTACCTCGATGGACCAAGAGAGCTAAACTCCTCCGAGAAGCAGGACTACCCCCCCTAGAATACCTCCTAACATATCGCTCAAGAAAGTACGGAACCAGAATACTCTGCACCGAGGCAACCCACCCCAACAATGAATCCCTAATTGAGCTCCTCCCATACAGAGAAGCAAACATCAAAGGGACAGGTCTACACCGAATCGCTTCCCTCCTACTCCCATATCAAATCCCCGGAAATGCGAGGGACAAGTGGAACCAAAACAAACTACTACGCGACCATCTGTTGGACGAATGGAATACACAACCAATACCGGACTACCATCACCGGGGGGAGTTCCGCCCCCCTCCCAAGATTGCGAAACTCACCCTAACGGAGGCGAAAAAAGTTTTTCGAATCCGGTGCCAAACTACCCGAATCGATAAACACGCGGTATATACAGACCCCGAACCATGCCAGTGTGGTATGGAAAACTCAGCGAAACACACACTTATGGAATGCCCAGCGTGGGCTCGAATCCGTGCCCCCCTAATAGAAAAGATCCCCGGAGCGATGACCTGGGAAAACTGGATGTTTACAAACTTGAAAACGGACCTTATCTTACAATTTGCAAAAAACTCTCAACTCTCGAAGTGGTACGAGTCGGCGGAAGCGGAGGTGGACCTAGAAGAGGGGATGGAAGAAAATGATTAGGGACGGGATTAGGAAAGGGCGGTTTCCTTTTACCTTCTTAACTTTGGTTTTACTTTGGTTTTATTTTGTTTTGATGGATCCAGCGCCCGAGTTCGCTGAGATATGTTATTTCTCCTTGTCGATTGGGTTGTTTCTGGTTGAGTATCGTTCTGGAATTTCCTTATTTTAAATGTTGATGTTCGTTTGTGTTCGCTTTTGTTCTTGTTTGCTTGTTCGCGTTTGTTGTTTTCTTTCCTTTCGTTCTTTTGTTTGGTTCGTGTTTTAGGCGGTCGGGTCGGCGTGCGATAAGTCTTGTACTTCAAAGCAATATAAGTTTCTTCTTCTTCTTCTGTACTTTACAGTTACGAATACTATTTGGTTCGCGCTACGTCATAGGGTTTACCCGGTATACTAGACCAGGTACAACCATCCATAGTCCATAGTCCACAGTCCCCGTTCTTGCCTTAGGTGTACCCTTTGGCCCCATAGTCCATAGTCCACGAACCTTCTACGTTTACGTCTTCGCCTCGGTTGTATTCCTTGGCTTCATAGTTCCTACGCCCATAGTCCCCGTTACAATGCACTTTTGCTATTTCTCCATTTCCTTGATAGATATTGTCTCGGAAATAGTAAAGAAGATGCTGCCAAACTGCACTCTTAGGGTCTGGCCTATGCCTGAAGCTCGTTTTGCACTCTTCAACTGGGCAAATTCCTTCATTATTTGGAACAGGTCTTTTCCGGATTTTCCCAGCCTTTGTATAGCCAAAGGGAGCATCAATGGCAGGTGTCGCATTAGAGGAGTCCATAGGTTGCGTTGCGCGAGGGTTGGTGGAGGGCGACGCGAGGCTGTTGTTGAACGCGTGCGAGCAACCCTGGGGTTGACCGCGTCAACAGAAAGGTTGCTCGCCCCATGCGAGCAATCCTGGGGTTGACCGCTTCAACAGAAAAATTGCTCGCACCTACCAACCCTACCCCACCAAAGCCACAGCACAGACCCCTGTTCGTCGTTCGACCCGTTTCGTCGCCGCGCCAAAACCGACTGTAGATCCTTCAAAAGAGGGTTATTTTTTTCCTTTTAAAGTAAAGATCCTCAGCTTTTTCCCTTGGCAACCCTCCGAATAACTCAAGATTTGGCGGTTCCCGACCATATGCCACTATCGAGACTCCACTTTATTGATTTCAAGTGATTGACAGTCATTATCTAATGTGGGGACTCGGTTAATTCCGCGCCTTTATGGTTATCCCTTAGACGGATGAAAGTTGTCAAATTCGCGACCACACTCTTTCAGCTATCACTAGCCTAATAGAGCAATTGTTCGAAATTCTTGATTGGTTCTGTCGTTGCCAAACGTAAAAAGCAAGATAATTCCCTTACTAAGTGGTGCACTTTCCAGGTCGCGAATTTGACAACTTTCATCCGTCCAAGGGATAGTTTGAACCGGTTCAATTATGAGCCCGTCCCAATTCAACCATCAAATAAAGAGGCAAACTGTACCAACTATCTCGTTATTATTAACGCGCGCTCAAACCGGTTTATACCATTAAACCGATATATCGTTAGATTCATTGATCAAGGAAGATCTCCTTTTTCCTGGTGTTCTCATGATGATCCGACAGCCCCCGCTCCACCACGAACCGGTGTAAAGCAGGATCGAACAGCAATTCGGGTATCAAGCAGGGTGTGTAGCGGGCCTTGCAGGTGTCAAGCAAAGTCTCACAGGTGTTAATGATAGTGGGTGCAAAGGTTGAACTTCAACGCCCGTACACGTTGAAGTGAGACGGGGTGAAACATGATTCAGGCCAGTAGAGAATGTGCATTGGGGATAATCTTTAGCCTTGCAGACACGCGCACCCAAGCACCTATCGGTTTGTTGCAGCACGAGCCGAACCGCATCGTGGAGAGTACGCCATATTGGTGCCGGATCGAGCCTATCTGAATCAACGATCACAAGAAAGACTCGCTTACGCGGACCAATCACTACTCTATCCTGCAAGCATCCGTTTGTCACTGGGGCTTCTGCGCAGCATCGAAACATTCTCGCACGAGACCAAATATGTACCTACATACTGATATCATATACCTACTCTACAAAATTAAATATCTGACACGTCAAGACACTATGTATGTCATAGTACATACCAGTGGAGTACACGAAATGTAGAGTATGGCGCCCAGAGCCTAAAACCTACACCCTACTATCATACACGATGTGAATCCTAAGGCTTCTCATCACGACCTAAATAAAATGAAATTGAATAAAAGTGCTCCGGTCCTGTCTCGGGATGTATATGCTTTTTTCCCCCTGGAATTGTGTGTTGCTATTGAGGAGTAGGCAGCTTGCTAAGGAGACCTTTGTAGAGGGTGAAATGAGTGATCTCCGAATCAAATGGTGGCGCTAGTGATTTGATAGCTAAGGGACTTCCACAGGGCAGATCCTCGATGCTTGTTGTGTTAATTCCATTTGACTTGAGGTGCGGGCAAGTACTGGACTAGCTAGTAGGCTCCGGGCGTCATCCATCATTTGTGTCTTTGCAAGATTTGGAGCTGCCGGTGCATTCAGGTGCATTTTTGGTACCCCAGAAAGTCTCACCGATTCATTATATGCTTTTTTCAAGCCTCGTTCATGCATTTGACTCTCATTCATTGAAACTCGCAACCGACCCCGCCCCTCCCGCGAAGCAAGATCGAATTTACCACCATAGCTCGCGCAGATGATTATCCTTGAGATCATGCAGGCAGGTTGCCCATACATAGAGCACATACCATAAAGAAATGTATTCCTAAAGCCGGGGGTACCTCTGCGCACGTCACAATGGTAGAATCCGCATGAAAATCGTATTTGGTCGCCAATATTGTGTTCTATGCCACCTCACCTATTGAGTTTCACACAACGTACGCTTTACTCGCTATCCATCTTTGCTGCAGCAGTAAAAAAGAGACACCCCAGGGATATTGGCTACCCACCCCCGATGAGCTGGCTGATATTAATAAAATCAGAGGGCTATCTCAGTATTACCGTAGGACAAGGTTTGGTAGTCTAAGCCAGATGCCCTCAAATGAACTATTTCTTGAACCTTTACAGGCCACCTCAGACCGTCCGATCGCGATCCTAGCTTGGCACTTCCGTACGCGCAGGGCAAGCTCACTGCGGAGTGAATTTTCTATATAAATACCCCTCGCGCAACTCGGGCAGCTAGTTTCGGATGGTTTGCAACACTTAACCTCTGGTGGGTGTTGAACTTTCTCGTCAGGGAATCAGCGTGATTGTTTCTGAACACTATTGTCTACAGGTAAGCAGCACATTATCTTTATCTCTTGTTCAACTCCCATGTTCACTAAAGGCTACAGGCCTTTGTTCATAGATACAGAACTTCCTTTGCGCCAGTGAGAAATATCTTTCACCGGAGCCCAATTTTATCTTATCTGTTCTTGGTAAAGGTAAATCTGCGATCTTCCTAGATATGACGCACCCTAACTCATCAGCCATTGAGGCACATATTCTCACGGATTGGTTATTGAAAAGTAGGAAGAATCTCGGCCATTGACCCAGCATACCAAATTCAAAGTCGGTTTGAATCAATTCGGAGGTTATGATACTCAAGCTTCTGCTATTTCTGTTAGCCGTCTGTGTCCTCGCTACCCCTGTGCCGCCACCAGGCCAGGTGTATGTGCCATGGACCCCAGAGCCTAATACGCGCGGTACATTCAGTATCATCTGCACATGTGGCGTCACCCTCGGCCTATGCGTATGGACTGCTATTCACCCTGATGTCATGGTCGACGGAACCCCCAATCAGCGCTTTAAGAGGAAGCTAGAGATGTCGTTTAAGGCACTTGTGATGCCAGAGGATATCTTGACAGCCGCTCGAATGCAGTGGGGTCATGCACGACAGCTACATCGAGCGTTGATCGCCGCAAGATTTATCATGCAAAACATGGATCAGAGACAAAAGAGATTTTCCAAAACTCGAACTAACGCCGACACATCGGAGAAATCAGGAGATATGCCTGAATCGACCAAGTCACCAAAAGTACACCGACAGGCAAGCCCGGAACAGACAAATCACACTATAGAGCGCTCCCTAACCCTTCCAGAAAGACTGTTTTTTCGTGTTGCAGCCTGGGCCAAAAGGTCAATCGAGGAGCCTATCACGAGTCTGTTCAACAACTACATCTTGGCCCCTACTGCTGAATTCCTGGAACGATGGGGGTGGGGCGTCTCTAGAGCCCCATTGTCAATGCAGGTGGCTTACTTTGTTGTTATGGGTGGCTTTATCAGGTCCGATGACCGCACCCGCATCACATGTGAAGACTTCTACCGTGCGTTTGTGAAGGATCCTGAAGGACTGATCAGCCAGGTCAAATTGAAGGATATCGTCGACAAGGGAAATGCAAGCTTGCTTGCAAAGATGATTGTCTGTTTCCAGGGTGGTTGGTTTGTACTTCAGCTTATCGGTCGCCGTGTAGCCCATTTGCCCCTCGCGTTTCTTGAAATTCATGTCTCGATTCATATCCTCATCGCTGCAGTAATCTATGGCATGTGGTGGAACAAACAACTGGATGTCAATGAGCCTATCGAGCTTCAAATTGAAGGAAACAACGAAAACCCAAGCGAGTTTTGGTGGGCTGCGCCATCATACGCAGTGCGTCCAAGACACGGGCTTGGGAGGTTTATCTGGCGGTTGTGGCTATTGCCCCCCCAGAAGCCGGATTACGTTTTTATTAATTCCTTCTGGGCGATTGCTGAGGGCGAGATTACAGCGATTCGTAGTCCTAATCCATCCAACAACCCAAATCACCGAACGGTAATCAAAAAGGGATGTCGGGGATGTCGCCATGGTGAACAGATCACAGGGATATTTCACATCACGACCATGCCTCTAGAAAAGAAAGAAGGTGACGGAGAGGATGAACCACTTCCTATCGTGGCACCACAGCTATCCCCCAAGGAGGATATCGGTAATCAGATTATTCGAACAACTCCCCTCCGGAAAGATAACATACCGCAAAACCTCGACAACAATCAAGAAAGTGACAACCAGATGAAAGAGGATCTCACCATCGAGCATGCGAGAGCAAGGGACATCAGAAAGCGGAGTGTCTTTGCCTGCGTCTTCTACATCCTCTACTCCGGGCTTCACGCAACGGCTTGGAATTCATACTTTCCATCGGAAATCGAGCGATGGGTCTGGCGAGGTTCATGCTTGGTGGTCGGATCTGTGCCGCTTGCGCTTCTTCTTTTGGCCGGCTTGGCAATCTTGATCAAGAAGCTCAAGGTGGATCATGACGCAAAGAAATTGAGGGATAGTCAGTGGTACTTGGGATATATCCTGTGGATAATCTATCTCGTGGCTGCGGGTTCCTTGTTGCTTGAGTCGTTTGTTAGTTTGCGGAGTTCCTTGAGCGGAGTATATCAGAAGGTGGCGTGGGCGGCATATCTTCCACATATCTAACATTTCAAATATATCTATATATGTGTGTTGATTCTTTATAGCGCTAGAGACATGAGCTTCCCGGTTGTTCCCATCTCGTATGAAGTCATTCTGTAATTTCATTTTTATTTATTTAGGAGTCAATATAAACTCGAATACATAAATACAGACTATTTTTTACGTACATGACAACGTCCAGAAATAATATGCTCACGTTCACTTCTATAACCCCAAATATAACACTCCCTACCCCACCGCACACCTTCAGCTCTAGCAGATGCATTCAGTCAAACCTCGGACCAGTTATTAAAAATAGCTACCTCTGTTACGGCTTGGTATTGCGGCAATATATTAGGGCCCAGTTTATGGTTGTGGAAGACAGCGGTGACACAGCCCCGCCCCACGTCCCTACCCCCTGTCCCCACGAGTGCGAATCTATGACACTGCGTCTGCTGGATGCTATGAGAGAGCAATATACAACACTACTAGAGATAGATAAATATACTTTGCTCAGGTTATGTATAGCACGGAATGTCACTGCATACGCCATTCCATAATTAACTCAAAGCTAATTGACTGGAAAACGTAAACTTTATTTACCCATGCTTCACACTCCGATATACGTTGTTTTGAGCCTAAGAAGAGAAGAACTGTTGACTATCATCTGAGATCTATCATGATATATCTTTAGTTTTTTCACTCATAGTCTTGCTTTATCACTATAGGTGAAGATTTCAGGTTTTCCTATCGACAGATTTAGGCCTCAATAGGTGAGCACGCACATCCAGGAAGGAATTTTTCTGGTATGACTGGGACTAATTTTGGCGGTCCAGCGACCTAGGCCTGAGTCCCAAATCTTCTATTCAATCCTTCATTTGAGTCTCTGAAAAGAAAAGTGCTTAATAATATGAGATGCTCCCACCAATAAACAGTCAAATATATTTCCATAGAATTGTATGAAATATTAAAAAATCCTGTGATTAGCCTGTGACCGAGTTTAGACTAGCCCAGGCTCTGTTTTCGTCTTCTTGCATCTGGGAAGAGCGGGTCTTGTGGTTAACGAGATCTAGGGTGGATATCGGGCAAAGTATCGAGACTGTAGCTCGAGCACTAGGGGCCTCGTATGAAAATCAGAATCAGGGTTAGGGTTTAGATAATCCTTGAATTTATGCACATATTAATCAAAGTACTAGACCCTCCGCCTCGAAAATGCCCCACCCCCAACATCTTACGGTGCCCCGAGACGTCTCGAGACTGCCTTGGTCACTCTCGAGATTAATTGTCTTGCACTTACAGGTCTCGTCTTGCCTCGTGTCGTCGAAAAAAAACAAAGTCTCGAGACCTTTTGTCTCGTGTGCCTCACTAGCTGTGTAGCACCAGCAGCCACTCCTACGCAGGCACTGGTCGCCACTGAACTTAAGTGGGATTAGATTTTTGAGGAACCGTCTGAGTTTATCGATACTAACCTTATACCCTTTCCAGCGATGTTTCCAGAAAACGAATCAATTCATTTCTTTCCATATATGCATCACCGCTACACTTATTAATCCACCACCACAACACAACCGCTGCTGTGCACATCGTCAGCAATATTGCCCCAGTATCACGAGGCGTCCATCACCGGCACTGTAACCGCCCTTGAGACTGTCACTAACACCACCGCCACCGTTTATCGGTCTACAGTGTATGTGGATTAAATATCATAAAATGCGACATTAGCTCCTGTGTGGGGCCGGTGCTTCACGCCGCGTCCTATACGAGAGCGTAGACCCGACATACCGGTGGTCGGGGCGGAGCCTTGGCGCGAGTGACATCTCATGTTGAATGGCCAGAAACGGGGGGGGGGGGGTTGAACAGTGAGAAATTCGGGGGTATATTGAACTCTAGATATCGCTAGCCAGGGGTGGGGGGAGCCAGGGGTGGGGGGGGGGGGGGGGATAAGCGAGGCCTATGGAGGTTTGTTAGGGTGGCCCGACAGATCAGGTTGGGGCTGATGTTTGCGCGAGTTCATGTTTCTACATCCACCATTAGTAAATACCACCACGTAGATGTTGGTACAACTCTACTACGGTGGGAAATGCATCGTGACGATGCATCGGTAAATGCTTTCCCCTTTCGCGCACCATGACCAGAATAATGCATCCAGATAATGCATCGGCGAATGCATACCCAGTCCCACTTTACGATTTTACTGATTACATTACCCAAGGCATCTACATGCCCGTCAATTAATCGGTCAATTCGTCTGTCAATTCGTCTGTCAATTCGTCTGTCAATTCGTCTGTCAATTCGTCTGTCAATTCGTCTGTCAATTTCTCAGCAAATGTGTTCTACATTTCTATAGTAGAAAAATAAAATATGATATCGGGCCGGGATCGAACTTGTATTATTGTGCTTAACTGTCCCATCTCTTACCACCTAAGCTATCAGTTGACATATTGAGGCACTAAATTGGAGCTATATCAACCACAAATGGAGGCGTGTTCACCTACATAATGGATAAAATATTTACAAAGTCCGAAATTGGGAGGGATGTCAAATAGCTTGTTGGGCAGCAGATTTGAACACTTACCTATATGATGACTTTCACTACCACTTTACTGATGATAATCCACTAAGAACACATTTATTGACGAGTTTTGTCCAGAATGCCTTTAGGAAAATCGTCTGAGAACACATTGACCGATGTATTTACTCTGTACTTTACCTACCAATTATGGCAGCCGGATAGATTTAAACCGCTAACAACTTTCCATACAATTTTCCAGACGACATTCATCATGTTTGGCGGTGGGCATTAGTAAATACATCAGTCAATGTGTTTCCAGACGACTTTCCAGACGAGTTTCTGGACAAAAATCGTCAGCAAATGTGTTCTTGGTAGAATATCGTCAGTAAAGTAATCCAGAATGCATCACGCCTACGATTTTACACAACTCACAACAGGTTATGCATCAATTGATGCATTTACTTGCTGTGCTTACGTGGGCAATGAATCATTTGATGCATTTACCGCCGTGGTAGAGCAAGCGATGAGCCGTAATTGGCTGTAATAGAGTTGCCTTTGATTTAACAGAGCATGGTTCTTAAAAATACCGCTTTGTGCGGTCTTAGTGGCGGGGGCATATATCCGACCCGGCGGGCGATGCAATTAATGAATTAAACAAAAAAAAAAAACCCGGGCTCGCGGAGGTCTGGCGCGAGTGATATTACATGATTGTCTCTACAAAATCGGCGGATCTGGCCAATTTGTCCTTTCTCGTGTTTCTAGGTAGACCACATACGGGTAGGGGCGCAGGGCAGGCTCATTGAGGTTGGTACTGGAGCTTACACGTGCGCGGCGCAGTACGGTGGCATGGACAATGCGATTGAGCCTGCATTTTCGGAACTCTACGTCCCCATCGTGCACCATCATCACGCCTTCAGCTCGCTTCACCGCTCATTCTCGGCCATTGCCTCTCCCCAGTGGCACCACCTCTTTCTACCTACAGACCTTCGCATATTGGTGGCGTTCCACTCAAAACAAAGGTCACTACTGTGTTTAAGAATGCTCCGTCGCTTGCTATATACCCACGCGCTGTACATCGCATTTGAATTTACTACTGGTCATTTCATGATTAGTTTAGTTAAGTGCAGTTTCATCTCAGTCTAAATTGCGACAACGAAATTCCTTTTCAATACATATATACTTCATTGACGAACGCCGAGAGCGAATCGCAATGCTTGCAGCACCTCGAGCCAATGAACATTACTTGCAAATACTCGGTTGAAGGTGATGTAGGTACGGCTTGGGAAACTAGATGAAAAAAGAAAGAAAATGAAAAATGAAATGCCAGAATAGGATCAATGCCACAAAGCAATGAAGATTTCAATAGAACACTCTGTATCGTATGAAAGACTACAAACTCAAGTTTCTTCCCTCTCTAAAAATGCGGCCAATAGTCGTTCCACCTCGGTGTGTTATATGATCCTACGGGTGGGTGCCGCATACTCAGAAAGGCTATGATCGTGATTATAATAATAGAAACCGCATACGCCACGAGCAACAGTAAAACAACACAGATCAGCAACCAATGCAAAGTGGTCATGTAAGCTCCATGCCGTTTATTCCTTCCATTTTCTCCTTGCTGATCGATCTGATAGCCGTGTCGCTTTGCCATTCTCCCTAACTGATCGCCGACCGCCTTCGTAACCCCCCGGAGATGGCGTTTGCTTGTATAATCTTCGCGGTCCCCGAGATGGATTTCCCAGACCGCGGTCGCTAGGTCTACTTGGTAGGCCGTGACGGATGCAATAAGCACGGCGAGGGTGGGAGACGCGCACATGCCTACGGACGATGCCCGCCATAAAACCCTTCCAGCTTGAGTTTGGAAAGGAAAGTACCACGCCGCGGCATGTAGGGCGCCAGCTAAAATCACTAACGATACCTCGGCCCCCATCGCTATCCAGTCCGTCTTCCTGTCCGGTTTATTTCCGCTTTTGTCCGAATTATCAGTTTTGTTTGAATTGTCGAGGCAGCTGGAGATGTCGTAGAAAGCCTTTGCAGTTATTCCGGTTAGGTCTGGTGGCGTCCTTTTGCGGATGAACCTTTGGCCTGTGGGGTTAACCGCGATATTCTTCTCTCGATTTTCTCTGAGCTTCTTCTCTTCGGACTTGAGACTATCCCATTCCGACTTCAGGTCACCCCCTGCCTGCCCCGCGCCTGTTCCCCCGCGCTCAAGGTCGTCCGGTACGGCTAGTGAGGTACGCCGACGGCTTAGGCAAGGCTGCGCCTTTGAGGGAGAACTTGAGTGGTTTCTGGTCGCGTCGAATTGATCACACCCATCGTCTGGTTTACAAGGTCCGCCCTTCCTTCCCAGGGTTATCTCAATGTGCTCGTTGACATCCAAAGGTTTGCTCCACCAGCAGAAGAATATTATCATTGTGCAGAAAACCTGTATTGCCACGTGAACTTCAAGCAACGTTACAGGTAAACCTGCTTGCCATCGTGCAAAACACTGCACGATCAACCACGACGCCTGGAGACCGGCGAGACATTTGGCCATATTACTCGCTTTCCCCTTATCGAGAATTGCTTTTCTATGGCACCTCATCTCGTCCTTGTCGATAAGATTCCTGTAATAGTGTTTAAAACCTTCAGATGTGAGAATAACATATTCTTTGTTTTGTGCCATATGTGCGGAGGTTGCCTGTTGTTCGGTATCCTTACCCTGACCATCAACAGCGCTGCTCGCTACCACGAACCCACCCATCACCACAAAGAATGCCCCTTCCATGCCAAAGGTACTCTTGGAGTCCTCCCAGAACTTCAAGAAGGTATACCATGGCTCGTTCTCGTCTTTATACTTCTCCAACCACAGATTGTGAAGCTCTTTTGCTTCACGATACTGCGCAAAGGCGGATAGTATGAGACCTTCGGGGACAACAACCGCGATAAGCATGAGTACTGCTTTGTAGAAGAGTCGGTAGTAGGATTTCGCCCCGACGACGATGTTAGGGTGGACAGTCCCCCAGATGCAGAAGAGGAAAGTTGCAACACAACTAAGAATGATACCCATGGTTCCACGGCCCTCTGGCTCAGACCGGAATTTGATTTTAAGACCGACAACTGTGACATTCTTATCGGCATAGGTAATATTTTGCATGTCTGTAGCTTGTACGAGGGACTGATTTGCGAGCGCTAGGATACATGTTGTGTAGATCAGATTCCGACTGTTTCCCATGGAACAAGAATTGAAGGGTAATTCCTATCGATTGCGAGTCAACTACGCGTATCAAGGACATGGGTTATGGGGCTAGGTGTACCTAGGCTAGCTAGAGCGTTTTGGGGTTTCTTCTGTGATATGTCGAATCTCAATATCTAGGTCCAAAGTATAGGCAGAGACAATGGCCGTGAAAGGCTGGCTGGTTTAGCAAGTTGATAGAATGTGTAGCTTGAGGATAAGAAATGCTTGACACAGGATTTGACTCTTTAGTTTTTAGGTCTACCAGAGTCATGAGCGTCGGTCGCCTTCATATAGGTACGGGAAAATAAGTCTTTCCTTAGCCTCAGCAGACTTTGCTAGGCTTTGCACGAAAGACATATCACAGCTCGGTGGAATATTTCCCCGCTCACTATACCGCGTCAAGCTCAGTACCAGCATGCACATTATGCATGGTACAACTGGAGTTCTACTATTGGCAAGCCCAATGAACCGATCGACCCGTGATTGGTGGCCGAGATCTCAATTCTACCTGCGTTTACATGAGTCTATTAAAATGCGCAGCTTCACGGGACTCACTTTGTGCATTCTGCTCCTCGATCCCAGCTGGAGGTAATTATTCCTGATTTACCCGCATCTTCAGCCAATACCAACACTTTTCGGAACCAATCGATCCTATTTCATGCGGGATAAAGTTTCAGAGATAGGGGTACTGAGTATTTGGATTAGAGGCCTAGATTTTCCGCGTATTGACTAGGATGAAATTAGTTGGTGGGCATTGCAGCAGAATCGAGAAATTTGTATCTGGGTTATGTATTGATCCACTCACCTCGTGCGCATTTCACATGCTCAGTTTGAAGAGTAATCATGAAGGACACTTCTCACCCACAAGTGACCTTTTCTCACCCGCCTCCATCTTCTGGACAAGTCATGCGCATTTCACATGCACAGTTGAAACGTAATCATGAGGGACACTTCTCCATCTTCTGGTGAGATAATTCGTTCGTTCTGATCTCATCCGTGCTGCCAGCAATCAATTGAAACAGTAGATTAAAAAAGATAAATACAGCCACTCAGCAAAAGTGTTCGTGATATAGTTTTAATGTCAGTGCGCAGTGTGGCGCACCCGTAATACTGATGTTATTAAAGTTGAGATACAAAACAATGAAAAATATATAATATAGTTCGTGACTATATATAAAAAGAAGATAGGTCATTGATCTTATTTTTCATTTATTTGGGCGCCATTGGTCGCTGGGAAAGTCTTCTCTCTCTGGGGGGGATCTTGATGGTCCGCCACGGTACGTTACATATGGAGAAATGTCTCACTCCGAAATCGGAATCACAAACACTTTTGCAGAGTGGCTGTACATATACGCGACAGGAAATCTGCCACCACTAAAGGAACGTAGTGAAAACAGCTGTCGCAGGCAGAATGAGGTCGTACTCGTAACTAGATAGTGCTTTCGGGCTGGACTTGGTCTGCATATCGGCACATTCTGGTGGTTATGATGTACCATTCACCGAAGGTCACTCGCGAATCACAGGCCCGCGCCAAGACATAACCCATGACGCTAGCAGAGCACTCTACTTGGCCTTCCATTCCTGCTTACGTAAGATAGATTAGCTACGTTTTATTGTGTGTTTCTCGTGCGAAAGGTGCCGGATTTCTTGATCGCCTCGAGCCTTTTTTACTCTTTGACGCATGCTTATTGCTCCCTGGGAAATTTTGTCCCACCCTTTCCGCGAAGAGACCTAGCGCAAAAAGCGTCAACAAATGTTATAGTTGATGATGCAAGTCTAAATCAGGGCTAGGCGCGGGACAGGGGGACTGTGTCATTGATTAATTGATTTATTAGGAATATTGTTTATCCGTGTGTGTCTACCCTGACATTGTAGGTCCCACTCGCTCCGATTCGAACGTCGATCAATGATTGGACCTACAGTTGATCTAGACCGGATACTCTACCGAATCCACCGCCATTTTAATTTTTCTTTCTAATACTTCATTACCTAAAAGGAGTCTGGGGCCAGACTTACTATGCATGCAACCACGCAATGCGCACACCTAGTGATTCGAAACCTCTCAGTAGTATAGGAAAAATACGTTTTAAGGCTCTTTTTCTATCCAACAGCTGCTTGTTTCCGAGTATCTTTTTCCACTACCACCAGAATTAATTCTTTAATAAAGTCACCTCATCGTAGATCTTCGGCCGTATCTATGTCGCCATTCCCGATTTTATTTATTTATCCCGTGCATGTCATGCCCCCGTGAGCCTTTGTGAGGGGCATCTCATATCTGCCGTTTCTGGTCACTCGCTGGTCGAGCGGAGGTTATGTCCATATACGTTGGGGGATATTCGAGGTAGGGCAGCTAGCGAGCAGGTAGAATAAACCCACCTTCAAACCTGTTTCTAGAGCACCATTTTTCACTAGGCCAGGACCCACTGTGGCCTGCTCACTTTTTTCCAATCACGCGAGCTAACCTGGCGGGAAAGTCGAATGAAATTTTCATAGATGACATTGATAACATCCCGCTGAGGGAGTGTCTTTACATGATGAAGAACATGTCTGGTCCTACGGCTCCGGCTCCGGCGTGTCCGCCGCCCACCCCAGGTTTGTCTCCCCGGCTGTCCCTTGCAATATCTCCTTTATCAAGTCCTCGTCCGACTTATCCGTGCTGCTCGTCGAATTGTGCCTCTCTGATATCGCCTTCGACGTCTGCTCAACCACGGCCTACAATCAGGTTAGCTGCTAGATCTGATATCCTCAAAACACTGCCAATATACCTTCATACTGGCCACCATGACCAAAACCTTCGTGAGCCCAGTCAACCCGTTGAGCTCCTCGGGTATCTCCACAACCTGCTGTCGACGAACCACCGCGACCCCTCCTTCCCGGCAACACCCCATCTTGATGACCTGCATCTTCAAGCCTGCACAGAGCACACCGACCACCTGCAGACTCGGCGTGTCCTCTCCCGGAACCTTCACAAGCCCGCATAGTACCGGCAGCATGTCCCGGAGAGCCTTCAGGAGCTTTTCTTCGTCACCAAGCCGCTTGGTAGATTTCAATCCCCCTGCCGCAGAGCGTGCCACTTCCATACCACCAAATTCATGGGCCTCGTCCCCGGTGCTCCTGATTACGCCATCGAGTCGTCTGCCCTGCCGCATGCGGGTATCGAGTGTGCGCGCTCGGTTTTTGCGAGCGGCGGTAGAACGGCAGGGCGAGTCTTTGCGGACAAGAACGATTGAGGGGAAGGATAGAAAGCATTGATCGAGGATTGGCGCCCAAATGAGGTTCGAGTAAAAGTCTTCGAGTTGTTGGCTGCGGAGGGGGTGAGCGGGTGATTCCCAGAGGACGAGTCTGTTTGACCAGTGTTAGGACCGTTATACGGCACGAGAAAGGAAGGAGGGGAGGTACAGATTGCGTATCACAAGGTCGGCCCACATCCTAAGGAAGTCGCGCTCCGCATCAAAGGTTTGGCCCGGTTCGAGGAAGGAAGTAGTCGCCAGTACGTTACGCACATCCGCGGGGTTCTTGCAGGATCGGAAGCGGTGCAGCGATTGCACCATCGACAGTATGCCGGGCGTGCTGGGTGGTTCAGGGAGCGACCTGCTAATCTCGTCCAATTCTTCGGGCTCAAACCAGGAGCGCATGTTTGGGTCGTCCAGGTCGATGGTAAAAGATAGTGCAAGGGATGAAGACGAGGCTGGAAAGCTCATGCGACGACAGTTCTCGAAAAGAATAGTCTCAACGTCACGACCGGAGGCTAGACGCCAGCGATGGGTTTGGCGCTGGTAAGTTGCGGTGAGGGACTCAATAACGCGCTCATCAGCCAGAACTGGTCCTCCGACAGTTGAAGGCAGCAGCTCCCCAGCAACCTCTCCTCCCTCCTGCTCCCCGACATCGTCTTCGGGATCGTCATGTCCGTAAGCACGCACACTAGCGAAGGGGGATTCCGGCACTTCATCCGCAGGGCCCGTACCACCGGCATTCACCGCAAACGACGAGTTGACAACATTCGAGTTGAAGACTGGCGTGAAATTAATCGTCTGGGCTGGCGGTGTCGTCAGGGACTTGCGCTGCTTCTGGAGCCAGTGTCTACCGGCAACGCGATCTGATCCGGCACCCTGTAAACAAGTGTTAGCACTCATGAACCACTTTCCCATCGCACACAATAGACGCGGGAACCGGGTGATTCGGTCCTACGGTGTTATCGAGGCGATGGGGGATAGAAGGGGAACCAAATCCCATCGCTGGCCGGACGAAGACCCAACAGGCCGCCGGAGCAGATGGGCACCACATACGCGAGGATGAGGTCGGACGATCGAGCCGACCGTCCGTTCGGTCCCGCTATGGTGTCAAGCACAGAGGTCCAGCAGACGCCGTGCTTGTGGTTGTAGAGAAGAGCGCGAGAATACGCAGAAGGTAGAGAAGGAAATGTACCTTCCTTTTCGTCGTAAAGCGCCAGGAGACGAAGGGCACGGGAGCGTTGATTGTCGTTGTGGCATTCCAACTTGCAGGACGCGATGTTTTCAAGGGACGGACGCCAGCTGTCGATGATGCGGTTGGGATCTTTGGTCCGATGATGGCGGTACGAGAGGTAGTTTGCCAGAGACCAATCCTGATGGCGGCGCTTGAAGAAGGGGGAGTTCCTGTGGTGGGGGTCTGTCTGCCGGGGGGGGGGGGGGGGGGGGTGGACAATCAGCAAGACGGGATCTAGGTGATGGTTTTGGGGGGGAGGGGGGGAGGAGCGAGAACATACCCGGCTCACTGCTAGTAGTACTGCCACTGGCCATTAGGGGCGATGGGGGATCGATGTGTAGTCGATTTGTTGAGAAAGGAACATGATTGTGATGGATGGGAGGGAGTGTTAGCAAGAAGGGAGGATGTTGCGGAAGGTGGGGGGGGGGTGTGAGGTGGTTGGTGGTTGGTGGTTGGAATAGAGGAGGTTGGGGATGTTCGCTTCCTCGCCAAGACGTTTGGCGATGGTGAGGCCGCTGAGTCATCATCACGTTGACTCGTTGGCTCGGCGAATCACTTGGCGCCAAGAGTTTCCCTCTAGCTCTCCCACGAACTGGAGCTGTGGTACGCTTAGCAACGCCCTGAAGCTTAAGCATACAGTCGACTCTAGTAAAATATAAAGAATTCGACTTATGACCCGTACTCTGCACGTACTTGCAGCTTTTCGGCTCCTCCGCTCTGGTTTCCTCTTGCAACCGTCAATTTCGAAGTATCAATTAATTACTCTATTACATAAATTCGAGTATGGAGTAGTCGATATTAAATAATTACATCTCGATAAAACTCATAGAAAATGGGTAGATATGAGCTAAATTAAGGCCAATGACTGATAAACGGAGGGTGGAAGTAGCTCTGCACGGGTAGGATGTCAACTCGGCCAGGCGCGCACCTCTCGAGCTTGCCTTTGGCCTAGCTAGACGCAGCTACCCTTGAATGATCTAAGCCATAAGCAAGCACGATGATGACTAAAGTAGTTACTAAGCAATGCCTGGAGTCTTGTGCCCGCTGCTGGGTGTTTTCTGTATTCACTAGAGTCTAGGCTGTGTCGAACATAGATTACGATCGACAAAGCTGGTGTAGACAAAACCGAACCAGAGCATGTATTGATAGAGTACTAGGAGTCTAGGAGTTACAAAGTCTAATCTAAGGTGTTCGTTTCTCCCACGTTGCCTCCCAAATCGTGCTTATTCAGATATAGGTGTACCACGCCTCCACTATAGCTAGCGCCACGCGCCACACTGCTTAACCCTGAAGTAAACTTCAGGGCACTGAAATTTCGAAAGCTTGCATGCTTGTGTTTAAATATATATCAGTATCAATAACACTTCGTTCCACTCAAGTTACTAAACTGAGCACGAGCCTTTCTCCCGAGATTTATCTAGAATCAAAATCTATTCTGAACTCCTGGTTCGCCACAAAGGCGCAGCTGCCTGGGGCGTCACAATATATAATTAAGGCAAGACGGGAAGTGATCAAAAATTAACCTCCCTTTTCGAATTGATGCTACACATGTTGGTTTAACTCAAAACCATAATTCAGAAAACAAACTCGCTAGAAGGTCTGGTTCCTCCATCTCCGGCCCGGTAGCCGTGGCAAAACATATACAGAAACGAAAAAAAGTAGGCCAGAACACCAGAATACAAAGAAACGGCCCAGAACCTCATGATAAACATCCAATTCGCTGATGCCCCTAGTTGACTGTGAAGGGAGCCGAGGATCCTCTCGATTGGTCGTACCTGGACCGGCTCACAAAGTACACCCCAGGGAACACCTACGTTTACTAGTTGCCGGTTAAACGATCTTAATTCTAACTGATCACGCTTTGACTGAGTACGTATCTTAAATATGATCGAGAATCGTAGCAGGTGTTTCGCGGTAGTGATCCAAGTCTGGCCATACAACTCGAGCGTCGGGATTCAAGTCCACCGCCTCGCAGTCGACCAACAATTTTACTACCGCACCGCATATTCATAGAGTCTATCTTCGGTCTGTGAGGGTTCGGTGATCAGCGAATAGCGGCATATGAACTGGAGATTTGCCTTGGCAATTATCCTTGATCTCTTTCTAACCCAATCTTTCTGGTCATCAAGATCATGATATTCTTGGAATGTCCGGTGAACCAATCGACATGTATTGTTGACCGCCTCAACTATTACAAGTTCAAGACAAACTGCCTTTATATGATCTGAGCTGTATATCTCCGTAGGCGTTTCCTGCATGCGATAATATCCAAGGCAAGTTCCTTATTTCATCAAACTAGTCAGTCGATGTACCCTCGTGTTGTATTCCGATTGATAGTAGACGTAAGTACTTACGGTTTCCTTGGCAATTCAACCAAGGGATCTCTCGATTTATCCATTTTCGGAAATCTTCCATTACGAGAAACCAAGCTCCTGTATCTTTCTCCCTCGTCTGGACATTAACCATCTCATGCCATTCTCCAATTTTGCCCGCGAAAAGCCAATATAACATTTGCAATCGTCTTCTAGCTTCACTGGGTTAAGTACCGAGGTAAGAAAGCTTGGATTGGGTAATCACCTTCATCGTCGGTAGATACTTTGCTGTTGGTTTCTTGTCCAGTGGATCTATTGCGGATTAAAACACCAGGAGTTGAACCTATAATCTACAATCTCTTACTCAGCACTTTACCAGCTACACTACCGGTAATATGTCTTTTGTTCTTATTTTGTGTTAATAAGCTGTACTTAAAATCAAAAAAATCGGTTTATTGTTGAATAATGTGTTGAATAATGTGCTCTCCAACCTGTATCATATATTATATTAAAAGGAATCCTAAAAGTTTTACATAGTAATAGTATATACAATTACATCAATGATTCATTTACAACAAGCTTCGACGGTAATTGCATCAATTGGTGCCTTTTCCACGTACAGTTGTGTGGAAAATGTGCTTATTAATGCATTTACTCCCGTAGTAGAGTTGGAATGAGGTGATCATGTCTGTCAGAGGTCGGCATTATACACATCAACATGCAGTCATGTTTTGACTCTCCTTGGCATAAGGATTTGCGTATAGAGACCATTAGGTGTTACTAGTGGGTTAGCCCGGTGTTACCACCGCAAAGAGTGATCAATGACTTACATAGATAAATACGTTTTCAACCTGGTACCGTGTTAAACCGGGAAATCGGTCATCGGAATACATTTGGCTGTGAATATATTTGGTTGTAAGTAAATTTGGTTGTAAGTAAATTTGTTGTAAATAAATTTGGTTGTGAATAGAATTGGTTGTGAATAAACTTGGTTATGGTTAGTGAGGCCTAGGTCTGACAGGACTCACCCCTGGGTCTAGTAACAAGAACTGTTTCCATGACTCTAGGAGGGGAAATACCCTTCATTTCTAGCGGTCCCTGCTGAAAGTCGGCTGCCCCCCCCCTCTTCTAGAGACTAGTGTGCCGAGAGTTCGTTTATTAGACTCATACCAAATTATGCTGGAACAGGGTTCCGGACAATAAAAGTTGACTAAGCAGTCTGTTTTTCCGTTTATTTCTTTTTATCATTTTCTTTGTCCCATTCGGGAAATTCGTTTTTCCCTCCCGGGAATTCTTTATTCATTTGATTTTTCTTGGCCATGTCAATTCTCTTTCATGCAGTGTTAATTTCATTGAGTTTTCGGGATATTTCACAAAGGCTGGATATATTTCACTTTCTAGAACTGTCTCTACTATTTTGATAGAAAAGCTTCACGGCTATAAATGGAGAGCCAAAGTAGAAATAAAATAAAAATCATCCGAAATAATAAAGTCGTCTCGACACGTCCCTTCTTACAGCCACCCACCTTGACAAATTACTCTAGTAGCGTCAAGCCTTCCCCCCTCCCCTTTACATATAAGGGTTCACTATATCCATTAGTTCTTTCATGATCAGTGGGCTACCAGCCGCATCCGCTCAGCAAACTCTCGGACATAATTCAACGGATGTTTTCGTTTTTACTTACTTTCTTCCTTTAATTCAGCCGACTGCCAGCCGCATCCCTTCAGCAAACCCCGGACGTAGGGGACTGGATATTTGCGTTTTTCCTTTCTTTCTTTCTTTCGGCAGCTCTTTGGCCAATCGGTACCCGTCATTTGCGTGATTACCTTTCGTTCTGACATTTCATGTTATAGGAGATTGTGTCCGAGTCAGTTTAGGGCAACGACGGAAGGTGCCGTCCTATCGAGTGATATTCCATGACCCAATAGTCTCCCGGAGTCTAGCTCTAACGCGATAGGCAGGATTTCTCATACCGAGATTTGAGCACAGCGCATGGAACTCACTTTCAGATTTAGTCCACACTAGTTCAACATTCCTTCTATTAGAGTTCGAAATGCACTATTTGAAAGATGAATCACCCTAACCCTTGTCCGAAGAATGGAGCGGTTTGGGGTAACCGTGTTGCTCTGTTCGCGGTGTCTTAGTTAAACCCTAGCGCGAGGTTGAGGGTTGTACGGGTGAGCTCTTGTGAAGCCGGGGGTTTGATTGAAAATGGGTCAATACTACTGTAGACTTGTCTGATAATGGGTGTTTGGCTTGTTGGTATTTTTGGGGTATCATGGAACTACACCCGGCATTCCCATATGGATGGCGCGAAGCGAAAGACAGAACATGCACCAAGTCATCACACTTCCCAAACGCACTCAAACATTCACAAAGAAATCATCATCATTTCTACTTGAACCTTTCCATCGCGCCATCTCCATGCATCTACTTCTTTCCATATGCCTCCCTAATCTCCTTCAACAACACCCTCGCCCTCCCCGCACCCTCCCTCACCTCCTCATCCTCCTCCGCATCCCCCTCCGCATCCCCCTCCACCCCCTCCAACACACCCGCAAACCCCTCCCACCTCTTCTCCAGCTCCTCCCCCTGCACCCCCATCCCCTTCCCCGCCTCCCACCAGCTGCCCCCCTGCTCCCAAAACAACCCACCAACAACCCCCAACGCCTTCTCAAACGCCAGCACATTACTCCCGCGGTAATCCCACCCGCCCGCCGTCTCCCCCTCAAACACGCCCAGCGTCGCGCGGTGCAGCACACCACGCTCATTCACCATGTCGCGCGCCAGCAGGACCGCGCAGAAGTGCACGTACGACACCCACGCCCTGCGGCGGTCCTCGAAGCTGCCGTTGAGGCTGTGCGTGCGGTCGCTGGTGCAGTAGACGCCGTCGTCGCGGGTCTCGTGCTCGCCGGTGCAGGCGGCGCCGCCTTCGCATGGGCCGCCTTCAATCACCCTGTTAGCCGCTGGGAGGAAAGGGAGGAGGGGAGGGGGAGACATACCGAGCGCGTTATCGATAGTGATCCAGTCGAGGTCATCATACCTACCCAGGTCCTGTGTGCGGCATCCTTGCGGCGCAGAGGCGACGAGTCCGTCCCAATAGAGCTTGACAAAGTCGGCGAGCTTCTCGTTGTGGGCGCCGTCGGCGCGGACTTGGTCGATGAGGGCGGCCCAGACGTGGTCGATGAGCTGGCGGATGACGGCGATGGGTTTTGTGTCGGGGGTGGCGGCGGCGACGGTGGGGTAGAAGGCGTGGGTTGCGGCGATGGCGGCGGTGGCGAGGTCGGCGGCGGGGAGGGTCGCGGTCTGGGAGAAGAGGGTGGAGAGGGTGGTGGTGAAGGGTGTGAAGTCGGGGGTGGTCATTGCGGTTTGATGGAGGTTTGATGGAGGTGTGATTGGGTGATGGAGGTTTGATGGAGGTGTGATTGGGTGATGGAAAGTTGTGAAATTGGCGATGGATTGCTACTGGAGCTCTCTGGCGGTTCCGATACGTTTTATAGCAGCAGCTCGGTAGCAGATAGAATTGAAAATAGCACGGGCCCTGATGCCAAAGCAATGTCAATAGGAGCTATGATGGATTCAAGCAAGCAAGCAAGTAAGCTGGCAGTTTATGGGAAGCAACAGACACTCGCGACGCAAGGAAGAAAGAAGACGAGGAAGAAGAAGAAGAGCAGATTCGGAATGTGAGAATGTGAGACGGGCGGGTGGGGGAACAAGCTTTTAACCTCCACACCTCACCTGACAGGGATGCGCCTCTAGTCCACTCCCGGGATCATGCAAAGTTAGCTGAGAGGTGGTGGTCCATGGTTGGTTGGCTGCACAGTGCCTGCAGTGGGCAGTGGGCAGTGGGCAGAGGGCAGAGGGCCGGAGTACGGGGCTATGCAAAGTTGGGTGCAACGACAGCCAGCCCTGTGCTGTGTGTGCATCTGGAGTATCTGCCCCCCACGCTCCCGTAGATCGACGGATGGGAAAAGACCCCCCACTAAACTAAACCCCCACGCGGAAGCTGCCGGGATGACGTGCATCCCATCGATCCCTGCGCACATGCAGGTACACAGCATGACCCCTGCACCGCGCCACAACTACTTCATCTACTAAGCCGCGCCCGATCGGGAAGCTGGTGCCCTTCCAACGACCGCTCTCTGGTGAAACATCGTGCAAAGAAATTAACATTAGGCATGCTGACGAGGCAGATGGGCACTATTTCTGCACCTTCTGCAGGTGGGAGCGGGGATGGAGCGGTCTGAGATGTCAGGACGAGGAAGACTATAGCACCGGAGTCTTGGTGTAGGCTGTTGCTCTGAATAAGTTCCTTTCTGAGCGGTGAGGGTACGTCTGCGTGGTATTGGTGGGGAGAAATGACACTCGTCTCCACTCTGCGTGTACCTTTGGTCTACCGAAACATTGTTTTGGGGTTCCGGGCTGTTGCTCGGGCGAGCTTGAGGCTCGTGGACGGTTTCCGCCGGTGGTTGGTCTCTAGATCAACATTGAGTGAAGCGATATGATCTGAGAGATCGCTAGGTGCTTTTCCCTCCCGTGCAGATGCTTCCCCTCTCGTATGCAAACCAAGTGCGGAAACTAGAGTAGTCCAAGTTGCCGTTAGTTCCTCGGTTCGAGAGCAGTGAAATCCCCACAGTCCACACATGTAGCCCCTGCCTCGCTCGCGTCAGCGTATCGCCATAATCCCTAGCAACATGCAGACGGTCAACCACGGTAGTGGAGGTCTAGATTATACGCAACAGCCCGGAATAAACCAATTTATGTACACCCGCAGGAAAAAAGTGAGGAAACAACGAGTGGAACCAATCGGAACCCTAATGAAAAAGTGAAAATGGAAACGAATAGAAGTAATATGACTACACAATGAGATACAGAATAGATACTACGGCCTCTGAACTATATTTACCACTTTTTATGACTTCCCTTGTTCTTTACTACTGCTGCAATTCTCTTTGGTATGCTGTCAATGATTTTATATACATTTTCCCAATCTAGCCTTTCCCACTCTTCCCTAGCTTGGGCTTCAATAACTTTTATGTTTTCATTAAGAGTAGCCTCTGTTCACTTTCCGGACTTGTCAAAAGGCATGGCTAGGGAATACTCGTGAGGCTGTATTGCGGGTGTGGGGATGTCAAGTTAGACGCACTCGTTGTCACGCTACTCATTGTTTCCTCACTTTTTTCCTGCGGGTGTACATACTGTACTCGTTCGAGACATTCAGCCCGCATACCCTTTTCAACCGGAGAGGGTAATATAAGACGCAACGACCGCACCTCACTCTCCCATCCGCTCGATGCCGCTCACTTCCCTACTCGATGTGCTGCTGTGGTGGTACTTGTGCTTCGCTACGGGGCCCGTTCGGATGCAACGTCGAGACAGAGTTTGTGGTGGGCAGGTTGATTTGTATGGCAACGCAGTAACTCGGTTTCGTTTCGGTTTTTTTCATCATGGCCCGGTTTGCAAAGCAAAAAGGTTTATGCCCGGTCAGGCGCTGTTTAGAACTCCCTTGGGCAGTTTTCGGAGGAGTTGGGGGACACCTGCTTTGGCTGCAACGTTCAACATCTCTCTTTACAAGCACTTTCCCAACACAGCCGTTTCATAATTATATAATACAACCTCATAGCCACAGAGAACCGAGGAGCGGATTCAAAGGCAGCATTGTCATCATGCATATATATTACATACACGATATTACAAATACCGGGCACTGCTATCCACACCACCGCATCTTGGGGCCCCGCGTTTCCTCGTTGGCTCCTCCCCGGTACCTGCATGCACCAAAGACACCCCAACCCCACCGCATGCAAGGCCAGCTCAACCCCGCTCGAACTAACCTCAGGCACCACTCCCAGGCTTCTTGCCTGCGGCTGATGAATGTCGACCCTACCGGATAAGGGGACAACTACACAATTATAGACCCCGTTACAGTAGTCTGCAGAGCTGGATGTCCTCGTGGTAGGAGTGGGAACTCGATCTTATTCATACTCTTAATTCCGGGTACGGAGAGCGTGCGCAGTAGTTTCGTAGTACGTGCCTGGCCATGGGTGGATCGTACCACACGCTGCCGGTTGAATAGCATTTACAATGTGGCCTATTCCATAGATTTAGAACATCCGCCATGTGTCCCATCCGTCATGTTCCCTGGTTGAATCTCCTCCTGCCATGGTATTGGTAATGTCGCCGGGAAGGTGTGCCGTACGCGTGGGAATATACCACCGTTACCGGTTTTCCTCCCCTGATATACTACAGTGCTATAGTTAGTTGCCCACACTCGGGCTATGAAGTGAGACTGTAACCCCAGCTTTGGATCAGTCGTGATGGGAGAAGGCTTTCCACACCGGTATCTTCACCCTTCAACGCAGCTGAGGAAAGACGGCCGGTGATCCTCTGAATTCAGAGTGCTATATGTAAGCCGCTCAAAGCCTGGTATTCTCACTTCCTCATTCATTCACTAACTCACTCACTCACTCACTCACTTCAGTGCCGTCTAGTACCGTACATTCCATTCCTTTTTTTACACCCCTCAGCAGGTCCTGAGCTTTTTTTGCATCCGTAGTTTCTATTGATTTATTCATTGGTTATTTATACGTTCATTATTCTCAACTTCCACCGTCACCATGAAGTTCTCAGCGCTCATCCTCCTTGCCTCCCTCTGCTTCGTCGACGTCGTAACGTCCACCATCCTCTACTCCAACCCCAACGACGACGCCTACAGCCTCTCAAAACGGTACTATCCACCTCCCCGCTCTCCCCCCCCCCCCCTTTCCCCAGCGCACCGCAACTAATATCCCTAGTTCCCCCGCCAAAGACAAAGGCGGCAAATCTAGCCGCGGCAGCGGCGGTGGCGGTGGCGGCGGTAAAGCTCCCAAGAGCAAAGCCCGCGCCAAGCCCTGCGCATCCATGGACCCGCTGCCCGCCGGCCAATTCGGCCATCTCTGCGCGGGCAACAACCGACAAAACACCGCGGGTTTCCGGCGGCCGGCGCAGGCAAAGTTCGACAGGGCCGCCATTGAGGCTGCGTTGACGGAGGCGGAGAACGGCAAGACGTTCAGCACGGCGACGAAAGAGTACCCGGATACGTTTTTCAACACGTATTCGAAGGCCGTGCCGGGGCAGAAGACGAGGCAGGCGGGCCTGATGTTTCCGGCGGCGGCGACCAAGGACGCTGCGGGGAAGGGGAAGGGGAAGGGGGCGACGAGTACGGGGGATGACTTGATGGAGTATCCGATCTTTGCGCCGGGCTACGAGGATGTGAGTCCTGTTTTGATCTGTCGAGTCTGCGGCTGCAGTAATTGTGTTTGGAGGGGGGCTGAGTGGTTGGGCTAACGCGGGTGCTTTGGTGGGTTTGTAGGAGGGGAAGGCGGGCGCGTTCAGGATCATCTATTCACACAACAGGGTCAACAACAAGTGCAAGTTTGTTGGAATCGTGAGTGATCGAACCCCCATGTGTGTTTTGATATAGACATCTTTGTCATTGCACAGTTCTCTGACCGTCGATCCCTGAATACTACAGACCGAACATTTGAACGGTGGCCAGGACGTGGTCAAGTGTAACCGGGACCTCGTGAGAAGGGACAGCCTGGGAGACAAGCCGCACAAGGACTCGCCGCCATTCCAGGTCCCTCCACGGAAGACGCAGAAGGGCAAGACCAGTACTGGCGGTGGCTCTCAGAGACCGGCCTTGGTGAGGTCCAACACTATCTAGATGGGGGGCGTTTGTACTGGGGAGGAGGGGGGGGATGTTTGCGCTTGGGGGATGTGGGCTAGTTACGATATTGAGCTGGAGGCGGTGGAGATGTTGACATTTTAAATTTGATCATCAAACTAATATTCTCCAAGTCATGCCGTTTCCATGGTGCCCGAGTGTCTTTATGCCGGTGGTGAGCCGATGGTTGCGTATCTGTACTGCGGCAGCGCAATCCGGGAATCCAGCGGAGAGAATTAAACGAACCACTAGGTACCAATATTTTAATTCAAGACGAGATCAAAGAGAGTTGAAGGGTATGATTGAATTAGTTCTTGACGAGAACGGAAGGAACGAGCTCCTTTTATAGTAAACAAAGACGTGGTAATTAAACACGTATTGCCAAGACAATCAAATTTGCAAACTCGTTGGCTTGACACAGTACTAATGGCAGACTGCAAAGACTGCAAAACATCACCATTAACAACCGAGGCGAATCTGCAGAGAATAGAGTAGAAGATTCAAATGCTGCAAGCACTCCAGTAATCTACGTGGCCACCACGTTACCCCACGGTAAAGCAACATTGGTCGCATCTGCATGAGGTATCACTCGGAAACAGCACTCGGAGAGTAGATAAAAGCATCAAAATATTAGGTAACCTATATGTACTGACCTACTAGTAGGTATCATGGTTTAACGCTCCCCGAGAAAAACATTCATCTTTTGTTAACTCCCCTCCAATGTACCAGGATGAACCTGAGGATAAGCTGCAGCTCTGCCATTCAGCCTCTGTCGTCCTCAAGATGACTCATAGTCGTACTGTTGTGCACAGTACACTCCGGTGTAGGCACCCAGATCAGTTCATTAATTACCAACTAATATATTCCCCTATGCACGCCACTACCTTGCGCGGAGGCCATCTTGCCTTGTCAATCATTGGCCCTATCACGTGTTTGCTGACTGTGGCGAGTGAGTGATTGTTCATGTCGCGGCAGTTTCCGCTAATGTGTTTGCCAAGACTTCAGTATCTTGGCACGGATGTTAGTAGAGCCAGGACGGCCGACCGTTCAACTTTGCCAAGAATTGAGTTGATTTGGTAGGGTTTGAGGTAAGGTTTGAGTTGAGTTGGCAATTCTCCGACATTTGATAAACCAGTTGCAGGGGTTACCCTGTGCCAAGCCCAACCAATCATAATCCAGTGTCACCACACTGTCATCACACACCTTTGACAATTACCACTGACACCACTGGCAACCCAACCAATGTCCGAATCAGTAACCGAAAATACCATCCTTGATCTGAGTGCAGATTCAGCCGTCATACAAGCATGGCTGGCATTGAAGAACTCTAAAAAAATCAATGGCTGGTACATTCACCCCAGAATCGTTTCCTACACCAGTCTTAAGCGCAAACGAAACGAAATTGCAGCAATCAAACGGAACAGCACTCTCAGTGACGAATATCTTGAGCATCAAATTGCAGACTTCGAAAGGCCATGCACCATCCAAACTGCATTCACTAAAATAATCAAAAAAGGCACCATCTACTTCATGTCAGGCCCAATTCACGATGCTCATAAGATCAGAAGTAAGAAATTGGACCCGGATTTTCATTCCTTTGTCCTCATCTACTACAATAACATCGTCGTTCTTATGGATCCGGAATACAGCAATGCAGACAGGGTGGAGAAGTTGGACAAAAATGGCGAAAAGATCCTGATGAGATTTACAAAGATTGGTGGTGGGCTAGGAGTTGCAATTCCGTTGATGAGAATGATAAAGAATAAGTACAAGGTTGAGCAATGGTGGATGGGGAAGGGTACAGATCTGGCTGCAAGTGACGGTACCAATTGCAATGACCTCACACAAGATATCATTCTCAATGTGCGCAAAATCGATGAAAAAAGGGAGGTAGATTGGGCTGCATTGGGCTTTGAGGAGCTTACCTGTTAGTTACTTGTAAAGAATGTAAAACATTCAAGAATAAAACAAATTAACCTTGAATAATTAATATGTTCCAACTTTCATAATTGCTGTACAGTGACGTTTAGCACCAACTTTCGGAGTCGAATCTAAACCCTGTGAATTATAATAGAGCTAGAGTAATGTGCGTTGAATTTATATATTGAATAAAATGCCAGCTAGGTATCCTTATGGCCGCGTGGTTGAGCGGGAAGCGGTACCTGTTACTATGGTGGCAGTTACCATACAGCAGGTTCAGCACCAACTTTCGGAGTCGAATTTAAACCCTGGGAATTATAATAGAGCTAGAGTAATGTGCGTTGAATGTATATATTGAATAAAATACAGGCTAGGTATTTTCTTGGCTGTTTGGTTAAGCGAGAAGCGGTACCTGTTACTATGGTGGCGGTTACCATACAGCAGGTTCAGCACCATCTTCCGGAGTCGAATCTAAACCCTGGGAATTGCAATAGAGCTAGAGTAATATGCGTTGAATGTAAATATTAAATAAAATACCAGCTAGGTACTTTGGTGGCTGCGTGGTTAAGCACGAAGCGGTACCTGTTAGAATGGTGATGGTTACCAACAGTAGGCTTAACACCATATTTCGGAGTCGAATCTAAACCCTGAGAATCATAATATAGATACTTTTCGAAGAGATAAATGTAAATTGAAAAGAAAATACCCGCCAGCTATAATCATTGTATCATTATCCAGCGCTAATTCTACGACAATTTTTGGTATTGGTTGGATTCATAAAATTATATATAAATAATCATTATCAAGGATCTCGCAACAACTACATTTGGAGTCAATATAATCTGTTTATATATCCAAATCAGAATATGTAATGTCTTCAATCGTTATACATGATGGAATTATGGCGCTAGCTATAAGCGCTACCGTGCTTTAGTGGTATGTAATAAGAGTGGAATTAATGCTCTTGGCTCAACAGTTGTCAAAGCAAACGACAGAACATGATCTCCAGTTCAATCTCACACAACAACCCTTGCACAAAGCCTACAATAGTCATCAAATTTCGCGTTTCCAGACAGAAATCATGTCCAAATCTGACACTGAATCAATTTCTCAGTACCCTCCTTCTATTTCTATGCAGGATCCAGATAGTCATTCTCAAATGAATGATTTGGATGAGATACCTCCTGCTAGAACCTCTCCTGTGCCCGAAGCCTTTAGACCTAAGCGACCAGAAACAAATTCTTGGATATGGGAGCATGGAGAAAGATATATGGGGTGTGATAGATATGGGAAGCAAAGTACTAGGTGGAAATGTCGCTTATGTGAGTACTTTCAGTTACCTGATATTTATTAGAATAATATCAGTGGATTGGGATTAACATTTGTTTTGATCAGGCCCTGATCCTGAAACCGCGAAAAATTATTCAATAACATCAACAACCAATTGCTTGGATCATTTAGTAATGAAGCATGGGTTCTTTCGAAATGGCAGCAGAATCCCAGATCAATCATCAGAGTCTGGGAATCATATAGCACAAACTCTCCGAAATTCTATACCAAATTTGGTATTTAATTCTGAGGTTTTCAAGAAGCTGCTACTAAGATATATTATAATGTTTAATATACCATTTGCACAGGCAACTTCTGTGATGTTGAGAGCAATATTTGTATATTGCTGTGCAGTTGTAAGTGGTTACCACTGATTTCACATATTTAACATACCAGGTCCTAATAGGTGATATTAGAAAGCCACATTTACAGAAATCGGCAGAGCTCTCCCCAAATCCGGATCCACCATATCTCGTTGGATCTTTGATTCATTTCAAGCAAATAAAGAAGCTGTTAAGCTAAAATTGAGTGAAGCGGTTTCCTCAATACATTTGAGCTTTGATCTTTGGACCTCCCCAAACAATATGTCCATGATTGCTGTTGTCGGATTTTGGCTGGATCAAAATGCTACTCTACGCCATGGGTTACTAGCTCTAAGGAAAATGGTGGGAGCACATACTGGTGATAACCAGGGGTCTCTAGTATGGGGAGTTATTACTGAGTACAAAATTGAAAAAATACTCGGATTTTTTACTCTAGATAATGCTAGTAATAATGTTACTGCATTGGACTATATTGGAGCGCAAATCAATTCCAGTTATGAGATCCAACTCAATAACCCTATCTTCAATACTCAAAGCCGGTTCAACAGATGCTATGGTCATATTTTGAACCTAGTGGTCAAGGTGTTTCTCTATGGCAAAAAATCCTCCAGGCTGGCCAACAATAGAGTGGAAAAAGACAGTATTGAGCAAGAGAACCGTGAAGTGGAAGAGTGGAGGAAGGTTGGACCTTTAGGGAAATTAAGGAGTATTACTGTTTGGATTCAGAGATCCCCACAGAGACGGGCCGCTTTTGCGGAATTGGTGGAGAAAATGATGGCTGGTTCTGGGAAACAGGCCAGGCAATTGATATTGGGCAATGTTACAAGATGGACGGGTGATTATGACGCACTTTCTCGAGCTCTTGAATTCCGGCAAGCAATTGATTTGCACTTTCAAATGCTCATCATGGAAGATTCCAAAATAACAATCTCCAATGACCGCCTAACTTCAGATGACTGGTCAGTACTGCAAACAATTTCCGGAATTTTGGAGCCATTCAGGGAAGAGACTCTTGCTCTGGAGGGAAATAAAGCTCAGGGTTCGCTTTATGAAGTTTACACATCACCCCAGGCATTAACAAATCATCTTGCACAAACAAAATCCAACCTTGCCCTTCAACATTCCCCTCTACAGAGATCACTGGATCTAGCCATCGAAAAGTTCAATAAGTATTATTCCCTTGAGACACTGTCACCTGTTCTTTGTGCCACTATCATTTTGAATCCAAACATGGACAACTTCTTTGCCAGTGAATCCGGTTGGGGTGGGCATCCAGATTGGGTATCTCATGCAAAGCATCTTGTTCGTCAGCTCTGGATTACCAATTACAAGTCATTATCATTGCATCAACAAGCGATTTCTACTCCAGATTCACCAAGAAGAAATCAAAACCCGGCAGCCATGGGCCCACCAAAATCAGTACGCAGCTTCAAAAAGCCAAAGGTTTCTCCAAGAATAGACATGGATGAAATGGACCATTATTTGCGATGGTGTGAGCATAATGAGGACGAATTAGAGAATCCTATTCAGTGGTGGATTAGCAAAAAGCCAACATATCCCAAGCTATCTATTTTTGCTCTGGATACTTTTTCTGTACCAGCAATGGCAGCGGAGTGTGAGAGAGGTTTTAGCAGGTAAGTTAGATATATTCCCTCAAATAATATAGATATCTAACACTTAAAACAGTGCAAAGCATCAAATTACCGACTGCCGTAATAGATTATCTGAAGATATAATTGAAGCAGGAGAGTGTCAGAAATCGTGGGCAAGGTCAAGCCTGATAGCTTTCAACGTAGCTGATGAAATGAGTAAAACATTGGAAAAGGCGGAGCAAGATGCTTTGGTATTGGAAACAATATCCGGTTAGAGTATTTGTATGAATGATTGAGAATTATTTGCACTATCATTATAACTAGTGTTATCTCGCCGCAATACAAGGCCCAGAAAAATATCTAGGGAGTATTTTATTTCATATGTACATTTAACGCATAATATTCAATCTATATTAGAAATCTCAGGGTTTGAATTCGACTCCGAAAGATGGTGTCGAACCTGCTGTATGGTAACCACCACCATAGTAACAGGTACCGCTTCCCGCGTACCCACTCAGCCAAACAAGTACCTAGCTTGTATTTTATTCAATATTTATAGTCAATGCATAGTATGCTATCTATATTATAAATCTCAGGGTTTAGATTCGACTCCGAAAGATGGTGTCGAACCTGCTATATGGTAACCACCACCATAGTAACAGGTACCGCTTCCCGCTTAACCACGCGGCAACAAGAATACTTAGCTGGTAAATTATTCAATGTATATAGTCAACACATAGTATGCTATCTATATTATGATTTCCAGGGCTTAGACTCGACTCCGAAAGATGGTGTCGAACCTGCTGTATGGTAACCACCATCATTGTAACAGTTACCACCATCCTGCTTACCTACTCGGGCATAAGAGCACTTAGCTCGTATTTTATTAAATATATAGATTCAACGTATAGTCTCTTATCTATATTATAATTCCCAGGGTTTAGACTCGACTCTGAAAGATGCTACTGGGGAGTAAACCTCAATGCATAGTAACCATCACCATTATACCAAGTATCAAATCGCCGCTCAACTACACGGCAACAGGCATACCTAGCCGCTATCTTCTTCTATATATACTTCACACGTATGCTACACTATCCCTATTAAAATTTCTAGGCCTTAGATTCGACTCCGACTCATGTTACTACTACAGACCATCATACCACACAATGCGGGCTGTTATCAAATTGAAACTGCCAAGAATTGCGATTCAAGTTGCCAAGAATTGCCAAGAATTGCCGAGATTCATGCATGGTATTTTATGCAATCCGGCACAACAATTACAATTACATTTGTCAAATCACAAACCAAACCTTGGCATCAATTGATACAGATGTCCACAAACGCCCGGCTGCCCGGCTCAGTTGTTGGCGCCGCTGAGTAGAGCTGAATGAGTTGCTGCCGAAATTTATTCCACCCGTTTGTAGATTTGTGTTTTCATAAGTTGTATTTTGGTCTCGTGGTTTAACTCCTCAAGTTGTGGCAAGTCTGCTCACTAATACCTATGCTGCGTTTGAGAGTTCTCATGATCTGCGGTAAATGTGGTGTCGTATAAGATGCATAGTATTGTAGGAAAATTATCCATTTTACCAGGGATTTAGGGATAAGTAGGCGATTTTGTGATTCAATGATCACATTAACCTTGCGTAGATTGCTTACTTAACCCGAGTATGTATGTACGGAAGCATTATCTCGTTTTGCACATAATGTAGCGAGAAGGGGTAGAGTACATATGAGTATTGCAGTCCGTGTCCTGGCATATGGCCAGATAGGAGTCACTATGACCTGTATAGTATAGCGTTTGGTCAGTGCTGAGATAAGAAGAGAGATCAGCTCCTTCACTTGTAATCATCATCAAAAGTTGAAGTCACAACGATGCTGCATGTGACATGATTGATCCCCACTTTTCACGTCGTATGAATAACGCTCTCCAGCTGCTTCGAAACGCGGATCACAATCAAGTAGAGCAAACCTACATTTCAAGTTTCTCAAAACATATTCTTGATAAGCACAACCCTAACCCTACAGGCACATCTTCTGAAACGCGTTTACGAAACTGCAGCTATGAACTTCAGGACTGATGCGATGTCGATATTGAAACCTTCACCTTATGCCCAATTGTACCACATGCATTATATCGTTTGTCCTTTTTGCTGTCACGGCACATATGATGCGGAGGTCAATAGCGAGCAGAAAAGGTGGCTGATACTGCTTTTTTGTGGTCCGTATCATCTGATGCCGTTACAGCTCTTGATGAGAGATATGGTAGATATAGGGTAGGACTTATATAAGGATGCTCTCTATTGCGATATTCTAGCTTATTTTTGAAGTTTCCAGTATATCGACACTGTTCGTAATAAGAATTGCTCACTTCTACATCCTATCAATTGTCATGGGTTCTGATTCCCCTCTACAAGGAAATAGGTACTATAGGCTACCTCTTCAGAGTACGCTTGTTCTTCAAGATGTTTTGGGTTATACTCGACCTGAAATTCACAAATTCTTGGAGCAGGCTACGATACGCAATAAACAAATCGGCCGCCAAGAACAAGTGGATCTCAAAAGGGTTTGGGAGAGCATAATTGACCCGTTCTTGTATGTCACTTACCTAATCCTTTAGAAACGGTGCGTAACACTACTGATAATCCAGCCGCGATAAATTTACCGACATGAGCCCGGTGACTATCAAAGTCCATGGAGTCTTTATCAAGGTCTTTTACATACATTGTGCCATTTCCGCAGTTTTGTCAATTACAATGACAAACCCGGTAGTTAGATTTCCATCGAGGAGAATAAGGTTTGACTGGGCTCTTGCCGTGACAGTGGTACTGGGCGCCCTCTGTAAGCTGGGTGGCAGTGCAAAAGGAAGAGGGAAGCCGCGCATGGTGTGCGTTATGTACGGAACTACTAAATCAGGGTCCCCCGTCTTGGTTTGCGGAACTTCGAAATCCTATCTGGCCAAAGATTTCAAGTCGAAAAACGAGATGAGCAAGCTCCGCTGGCGGCAGGAAAGGTTGGAGAGTTTAGAAGAGGCGATCTACGGCCCGTCTAGACGGGCTCTTGTACGAACCGCCGGCACGGGAACCCCCGAGCTTTCTCACCAGACAGCACCCTCACGGAATGATAGTCACTATAGAACCTGGGATGGAGATTGTGCCGAAACGGTACCGATGACGGTGCTGGCGGCGAGGTGCTCGGGTGAGGTGGTCTCTATTGCTATACGCCCGACGGACATACCTGATAGGGACTGTAACCTTTCAAGGTTGGTTCATCGCATGCGGAACAGCGGGGACAGCAGAAGCAACTTTATCCTCTTTCAGACAAAAGCATGCGCCAATTGTTTACGTTTTTTTGACTTACTTGAACAGAAAAAGGGTATCAGAGTAGTGCATGAGCGTCTTTCCAAAACAGAATATCCCCTGGCATTTCTGGATACAGGGTACTAAGCAAAAACTTTACAAGGACATGATGAGACGGTCCTTATGTATTAGGCGATTGTATTCTACGCATGAGAATAAGGGGATTTAATTACGTAGAATCGTATGGGTTACAAACGCTCAAAAGGTTGGAGTTCGTTCCCAATAAATTATTATGTAGACTTTTCCTATGTCTGCTAGCTTTGACTTTGTTTTCTTTTTCTTTTAAGGGGATGGGGGGGTGGGGGGGGGAAACATGCGCATGTAACTCAATGTCCTAGTTGAGGTCATGAGATATCACTCGGATAAACGAATTTCATTTTATTAGAACATAAAAGAGTTTACTTAATATGTTCAAGATCTTGGCTCTGGATCGATGGTTTGAACAGATTTCCCAATTAATAGTCCGACAAGGGAAATGTTTTGCTGATATTGTTAAGATGATATAACTTAAAAGGTACAGTGTCCAGAGTAACAGTTCCCCCCTGGCCTATATATCAACGTGGTTTCATCGCATCATACATTTTCTTAACTCGTTATACTTATATGTCATGTTAAAATTAGCGTCTTCGATACAATAGTACGTCCCTGCGAGGTGGGAGACAGGGGTGGATGGCCCGCACTGTATCTTTCCTTCTACTCTCGCTGTTTCTTCTCTTCCTTCTTCTGTCATATAGAGAAAACGTCAAATATGATCGTTCATCAAAGTTGATCAAAAGCCTCTACCCTTTCAACATGCCAATTCTGTTTTCTGTAATGTTCTAAGTCTTAGTGTTCTGATTTATCCGATTTGAGAAGCGCTTCTGTTATAATGGGATAATTCACAAGTTGGCAACAGACCAATAAACAATCCCAGGCAATAACAACAAGCTTTCTGGAAGTTGTTAATTCATTCGCTGAGTGAGGACTTACAGTTACACCGTGGTCCTTGTAACCTAGGCCGTAACCTTTATTCCCTTCGATTATCAGCGAAACGTTTTATATGCGAGATGTTTTCTTACTGAAGTTTTAGCATAAACTAAAGATCACTTTATCCGTCTCGATATCGATTAGGCACACGCCTAAATCTTAGTCCGACCTTATAGGGTGGGCAACATTGTTTCACGGAATAATTGAAATTGCATCCAAGACGTACTTGGCTCACTAAAGCAATTAGCATTCACGCAATAGCTCTTATAATCCACGTGAGGATAGATGGCGAGGCCTTAATGTTGTACCAGAGTCTAGCAGGGAAGACCAAGGTGGATAGCCGGAGGTGGCGGCAATCAAACGAGTGATCAAGAAGATAACCGAAAACTAAAAACCATCTATGGTTGAACTTGAAAGACGCTTCAAGGCAACTTCAGCCATCATTGAAATCTTGAAACCTTGAAACCCAAGTACCTCAGCAGTGTCATAGTCTAGTATATAATGTGCGAATGACAACACATAAAGCTGTATATCGTCACTAACCGTACAGTAAAGCATATTAACATAGCTTTGATATTACCTAGCATGTCGTCTACCACACTCCTTACAGAGCTCACAAAACTGAGCAGGGCCGAAATATTACTCCGGGGTATGCGTGTTAAGTTGTATACAGAGCTTTCAAGATGTATGTCCTTATCTGAGGTGGTAATTCGCGGTGCCATTCTTGATACAGGACCCTTTCCCGACCTACATAGGAGGATTGGATTCGTGGGCTGGGAGTTTACGGAAGCTATTAAAATGTTGGGGGAAATGATTGATAAAGGTCGAGCCAGAATATTCGTCATTGAGAAGGCTTTATGGAATGATTTGAGTATGGGTGAGGCAGTTAATCAACTTGCAATCATGAGGTACACCGGCTGGAGAGGATAAGTAGTAGTAGACTGTAGACGAGATCATTGTACGCCTTGGTGAGGATTTGAAAGATGAACTGCGTAGTCAAAAATTGATAAGATAATATCCACTTTCCCGTAGTAGATATACTGTAGGCGAAGAACAACCGTACACTCATTGAGCTTTGCAAGACTCTCATTTTGTGCCCCAATTATAACCAAAATCTGACGATGGCGTTTTTTGATCTCTTGTTGCAATGTTTCAAGCCATCTGCCCGGATCGTATCCCGGGTATCCCAGGTCAGGTCCTCCATTTTTCAGAATCATTTAGGTCAGGACTGGTGAGATATTCTATCTGGGTAATTTCCAGCGGGTACAAGTGTCTGTTTGGCGTGAAGTGTAGTCGGATTTGATGGTCGAGTGATATTTCATGAGTCTTGGCAACCATGTTCGATTCTCTCTTTCTCTATAGAAAATTTCTGTTTTGTTTAGCTAAAAGTATCTTTCTCGGCAAAACCATACTAAAACATGAAATCAGTTAACAAATAGTAATAGGAACAATACAAAATAGGACGATACTTGAGGATATTTCGTCAGTGTGTAGTGGCCGGGTCACCCTTGGCATGTGTCCACTTCGTGTAAACTAACCTGATGTTGAGCCGCCACTCCCTAAACACAAAATACTCCTTTCTTTTTCGACAATAAAACAGTTTGCTTGCGCTAACAATTCTAATCATTAATACACTTAGCCCAAACTCAGCGCACCTCTTTAGGCGTTAGGCCACAGTCTGTGACCTCTTTTTCAACAGATATTTTCTGCAGTTCTCGTTTAATTACTGTGTAGATGGGCACGAACGAAGGGATAGCGACCTGGAGAAGATAAATCAGAACCCTAAACCTAACCCCTGTCTTGGTAGGCTTGGCAGGCTTGGCCTCAGTTCAAGTGGCGAGGGATCATGGAATATGACTCGCCCTAAATTATTCTAAACGCCGTATATACGCGACTAGCAAGTACGTGTAAACGGCAACACAGGAGCCTTGCCAGCAATAAATAATCTTTTATCCCTGTACATAATCATTGCTTACTTATCGCTAAAGTTAATAGATTAGAAAACATCATTACCTCCAAATTTCTGAGCTTCGAGATTAATATCCTTGCTTAAGGGACGTATCCGGAAAACTTGAAGACATTTTCGATTGAATCTTTCAAGTGGGTCGTCACGCGCAAGCTTCAAGCGAGCCTAATGCCATCTTAGTCCTAAGATAAGTATATTAACGTTCAACTTTTAGCCTACGATGAGTGTCATGAAACTCGAAGGCTATAGTTTCTGCGGGTTATAAATATATAAGGTATAGACGGCAACATCTCTCCTGACAATACTTCAAAAAATACATCAAACAGCAAATTTACCTCCAACAACAAACCTAACATTCATCTGAACAAAACCTTCATCCAAGCCTAAACTAAACCTTCATCCAAAAAATACTACTCACTCACACTCGACATGGCCAACACACAACGATCTGCAGCCACTCTTGCCGCTCTCGCCGAATTAACAAGACTCACCTACCACCACCTCCTACTTGAAAACATGGGTACCGACCTCTTTAACGTTGAAAGAAACCACAGACAGGAATGCGACGACGCCATGTCCGAACTCATGTCCACCGAGGCCCAAGAGCAGGTTCTATTCATGCGTCAACAACATGAGGAAGCGCTGACGATATTGGACACTATGGCTCTGGAACTCGAAAGTAAGATTGCTATTCATGAAGAAGTCCTGAAGGGCGTGAGGAGCATGCGGGCAGAGGTAAGGAGGTTGAAAAGGGTTAGAGTATCTTCATTTGAGGTTTATTCGAGGGTTAGGGATGTCATTATGGAGGAGCAGCTATCGAGGATGGAAAAAATGGCTTCCAGAATGGATGAAAGAACGTCTAGCATTGAAGAAATATTGCGTATTCACAGATCACAGTAGGACTTCTTTAGATCCATACGTAAGACGTTAATCTTGATGAGTTCATATTTGAAAGATCTGATTAGAAGTTTGAATCAATGAATTAGCGAGAATATTAGGTGATTAAATTTTTGACTATTACTTTACCAGTGAACTATATTAAGCAAAGCTTCCGGGCTGCATACACGAATAAAATATCAATCAAGCCAGTACCCGTGGTCTAAATGAAGCTACATACTTATACTTCATGTCAAGCTTAGCGTTGGGCTAACCCGGGCAGAAGTATGGGTCGGCTCGGCCTGGCGGCCTCTGCTATATAGTTCTCCAGCCCGCCCAACTGTAAGCTATACTAGCCCGTGCTATATATCCTGGGCCGGCCCGGATAGCCTAAAATTATACAGGCGCGAGTAAAGTCCGTAAAGGAGTGGTGGTTATTGATTTTAAATAGCCTTTCGACCGATGTCGTTTAATTGAGCTGTGCTTTTTGACCTAATTCTGCGGCCCAGGGGAGGGTGCAAAACCATATATGGGCGCCTTCATGGCATCCCATCCAAATGATCGAGCCCCCCCCCTCCCCCAATTGAAAAGCCTGCTTCCAGGACAAGATCCTTGCATAATAAAAACTTGAAAGTCATAGTTCGCCAAGAACCCAAGTGTTTGGGGAAATGCCAATGCTAAGCGATAGTTCTGTAGCTTTTAAACTTGTAATATTGTAAACCGGATTCCGCTCGCTGAGTGACTGATGATGCCACTAAGACGAAGCTGAACCCTTCCCTATTTATACATGTTGGAACCTATGCCAAGGCCCGCTTTCTAATACTAATGAGATAACGATAATAGAATAAGACAATCAACCCGAAGATAACCCCAATAGAAAAGCGCCCCCGCATAGTCCCGGTCATCCATTCTAATTCCGACACGTAACCATGAACCCCGCAATTGCCAGTAACCGAGCTGTATCATGCTATTGTCCTAGAGCTACTTCCCTAAGTAGAATGGCCTGCAGCCATAAGCCCCGCTTCTATTCCGTTCCGGGTGAGACACCCAATAGTAAGCGTGCCCTCACAACAGCCTAATACTAGTGTGGTTGCACCCGGTGCCCCCACACCCCTCGGTACCTTTCTATGCTTGTTCCCTCGTTACCCGACCGTACCCACATCACAACCCATCACTCGTATTATCCTTGTTCTTTGACTTAGGAGCAGTGTTCGTGTTTCCTGTAACACCAAGTACATATATAAGACAGGAATCGCAACATCTATCCAAGAACACACCAACACCACACATCACTATTCACAAGATAACCTTCATACGAACAAAACTCACAACTCCCCCACAATGTCCAACACCCCGCAACCGATATCCATTACATTCGCTGTCGGCGCTCTCTCCAGACTAAAGAAACTCACGCGCCACCACATCTTAATGCAGTCCATGATCACAGACTTCTTATCGAAGGAAGAAGAACGCAACATGATTTCCGAAGCCGCGGTTTCGGACCCCGAGTTTGCTGAGGCCCATGGGCAGCTTGCGGTCATGCATCGACAGTTTGAGGACGCAGGGACAATGTTGTTAACAATGAGTTTGGAGATTGCGAGAAAGATTGCTGCTGAGGAGAGCACCTTATCTGGGTTTCTGTGTTTTGCAGGTACGGTAAGGAGGTTGAAAAGGGCCAGGATGAATCAGTCTATCAACTAGTATACAGCTATATACAGAGTATACCTACGTATGCAATATTAGTCTCGCGCCAGGCTACCAGGCTCAGAGCTAGGGTGCGGGTGGTACGCGTGCGTAGGAGGGTATGTACCCCAATTACCCTGGAAGAACTGCCTAATTCCGTCAGCATCTGAGTTTATCGAGACCAATGCAATGTGTGTTTTATAGGTTTTGATTGGGTGCAATTTGGATATTTTCTTTTTTTCCCGAGCTATCTGACCAGGATGACCAAGCTGAAAAGAAATGTTGGAGGTTATGTTTGAGGCTGCCTTTCTTTTTGTTATTTAATTCTGCTATTGTGTGATTGTGGTACGCCTTGTGATTCTGGTGTGGTTGTGATGTGCAGGTACACATCTTTTAGCGGTCTCATTATCTTTCATTTCGTTATTCTCACCGGCCAAAGGCCGGAACCAGCTTGTACTTTATGTGAGGATAGTTGGTCAGATTGAGGTGGAACGTTCACTCAGGAGAACAGACTACTTATGTAGATAGGCCCCATGCCTTCTGGTGCCAGGGTAGAAATTCTAGTATCACTCGATCGAGCTTTGACACCGATTTTGATTAAGATAGAAGTTCGATTGGAAGTAGAAACAATGAATTATCTAGAACCCAAACTGATGATAGCCTTGACTACCATCTTACAGATGAAGGTTTAACCATACTGAATCGTTGCACCCACACTGCATCGGATACTTACCCCGGATTGCTCACTGGTGCTGGCCACCAAGCGGCGATGCATCATGAACTATCACTCGACCGCGCCCATTTCTCTGATTCGGCCCAATCACGAACACACTATTATTATACGCAAAGACTGCCTGATCTTAGCTTAACAGTAATATACTGATCAGCGCTATATTCTTGTATGACCATGAAGAAGTCACGCTTGTACATGTCCTGCGAAAATGTACAGATCGACCCCGACGAAATATTCGAATGTTAATGTTTTTAGTTTTCGAGTTTATACAAGTGAGTTGACAGAGATAAAAGTATCAACAAGTCTGAAGTGTAGTATAAAAAGGAACATATCTCACCTTCCCGAACTGCACAGGGAAATGCCTGATTCAAACCTACATATCCCCGTCCACATCACCTGTTTTTCCTAACTATTATAGTTTTCTAGCCTCATAGCCGCATACAATATCCACGCCCGCGTGTTTTCATCTAATCATCTCTTCGCAGTCCTACCTATACCCCACTTCCCCCTCTATCTCGCCAGTAACGTTCATACCCCACACCACAATGCCCCGATTGCTCAACCATTTTAGCAGCATACCCACATGCACCACCAGCTACTGCTCAGCATAAACAGCCCTTCGGTCTCTCTCAACAGACGGAGCCCTATGGTTATCGTGGAGTGATAATCCATGTCGCCTGCTACCCTCACCTTCCAACTTCCGCTGCACCGGCGGCGGTCGTTGCGGGAGGGGTGGAATGACGAGCTGGATGTTCGGAGCACCTGCGAAGACGGCCTGCATATTTGGGGCGGTGGATACAAGTGTATGGTTTGCGTTTTGCCTGCTGCTGCCTAGTCCGCTCTCGATATCAACTCTGTGTGGGCGTGGGTGTGATTCTCGATGGTCGTTGGTAGAGATGTTCGGTACAGGGGGTGCGGACGTTGTAGTATATGTCATGGTGCCGTTACAATTTGCGTTATTCGATACTGCCTGTTCATGCTATAAAGCCGTTAGTATTGGAGAAGAAGAGATGTGCTAATAAAAGGATTCGAAACCTACCAGTTTCCGTCTGTGGTAGCACCGGCAGAGGTGGTTTATGGCGATAAGGTTGATAGCAATCGTTATGGCACCGATGATAAGCGCGATTATATCGCTCCTGCTAAGGAGATCCTGATGTTTACCCATTACGAAAGTCGAGAAGTTTTAGATGCGTTATGTAAGGGGCCGTGTCGGTGGTGAAGTCGATATCGTTGATCTTGGAAGGCTTTGTTGATATCGATATTGGCATATTCGTGGTGGATAGAAGTTATACCTGTATACAACTTGTGGGGGCATCATTGGGTTTAAACATTGCTTCACGCCAGGCGCACCGGTTGTATGACTTACGTACTCTGGTGGTGACAGCCCACTACATGTAGCTACTACAACGAGGAATTAAAGAAGGCTGAAATAAAAGTTCAGATGTGGCCGTGCAGCTAGTGGCAAGAAAGTGCATTTATTGGGTGTGGCGGTGCGTGCCACACACACAGACCTTTTTCCATTTTAGGCCATTAATTCAGCCGAATAAGCGATCATTTCCCATTTATGTAGAGAGAGTACGTCAGGCACCTGTTGGGTACATACTGCGGTACATCGGGGGCCGGGTGGCGAGAAGACAGTGCATAGTGGCTCACTGCCCTCATAACGAAAGTGCAACTGGACGTCGGGGCTCGGGGGATCCGGATATCCAAACACTCCGATTTGAATATCTCTCGTGGCCATGTGTAAGCAGCGGTTTTGTGTAAGTACACATTGCGCACATTCAGTCGAAAAACCTGAGACATGGTACGTAAGTACGTGTAGCGAGGCCTAAGCATAGCCTCCATCTAACGTTGATTCCGCCCTACGATGGATACATGTATGTATGCATGCGGGAGAGGATCACTGACTGGGAATAGCTTAAACCCGGATGAACCCTACACCCGTACTTGCCTGCATGCAGTGACTTTAAAGTTGACAGAGCATGGGGCTCTTTGGAGCTTGTCTTGGTAGCGAAAACTCCCTTCGAACGGGGCTCTGGAATCCCGGGGTTAGTAATACATGTATACGATATGCATGTATATGACAGGGCGCTGATCATGAGTCTGATCGGCTTAGCCTACCTGGCGCATTCACTCCAGTGGTCGGAGGCCTTAATAGCTAGCCCCGTCAAAGGGCTTACGAATTCGAAATATTTTGGATTTGGAATCTGTGTATATACGCAGCCTAACAGCTGCGGTCGGGAATCAATTTCATGCTCGGATATACGTGTGCTCCGGGCCTATGATGTGAGCCCCGCCTCAGGGTTGAAAGTCTGGAGGTTGAAAGTCTGGAGGTTGAGGCACGTACACCCGAGCGGCTATCACGAAAGGTCTCTTCAAGTAAGTATCGGGACAACGCATCTTTTTGTGAGGGTTTGCTGGTCGCACAAAAACATTCGCAGAACGCGCATGCGCAGTACTTTGCCTCTTACCAAAGTACAGTGGCAACCGAAAGATGCATCTCCAAAGAAAATGGCGGGGTTGGATACGATGTAATTGACAACTGTGGATACATGTACATGTATTTACGACATGCGCCAGGATCGGGTGGGGTTACAAACCCTACGAGTGATGCGCCATGTTTGGAGACTGCCAAGCCCGAAGAGTCATCACCTTTGTTTACGGGCGCTCGGCCGGATATTCGACCGACCCCGACAGATGTGCAATATTGATATTTAAAGAATATAAGAATATAATGACTGGAGTCAGCATTATATGATATGAGGCACCAAACATACATATATCGCTGGCTTTCCCGCCATATGTTACGGGGGTGCTGCGCTGAGCGGTCTCATTTTGGTCCGTTCGAGATTTGGACGCGGTGTCGGGAGAGTAGGAGCACAGCCACCCCGCAAACGTATTCGTGATTCCGATTTCGGAGTGAGACATTTATCTATGTGTAACCGTGGCGGACCATTAAACAATCCCAAGAGAAAACTTCCCAGTGACCAATAGCGCCCAGAAGCAATGAAGAATATGATCAATTCCCTACCTTCTTTTATTACAGCCACGAACTATATTTATATTTTTCGTTGTTTTGAATCTCAACATTGATAACATCAAAATTAATTACGGGTGCGCCACACTGCGCACTGACATTAAAACTCAATCGCGAACACTTTTGCTGAGTGGCTGTATATACTAACTGGTTTTGTGCACTATTGTACAAGTCATTACCTTTGGACGCATAACCCCCACCATTTTAAAACCATTCACAGACCTAGATGTAATGGGTTGCTTGCAAGCCAGAAGGATCGTAAATTGTTCAAAAGTCGATAGGAGAAGAGAAGTTTACTTCTGCTTCTATATATATATCCATCTTTTGCTTCTATATATATATCCATCTTTTGCTAAGAACATCTGTCTTTCATGTGGTGTTCTGGGCACTTGTGATACATGTATCAACTCGTTAAGGACAGCAATTAACCCTAACCTTAAAAAGACACCGTAATCTTGCCTTATTCTGCGTTCGTAGGCCGCTTCCCACACTGGAATATATGCTTCCGTTTAATAGAACTATTTAAAAAAAAAATTTTTTTTATGCTCTTCTGAGTCTTTGGTCTTGTTAATTCTTGTATGGGCAATTTGTCTCCGCAAAATATACGTTCTAAACGAATCCTCATAAGAGAGAAGGTGTACTAGGTGGACCATTTCTCATAGAAAGCTGTGGACGCAGAAACAAATATATACATTACTGCGCAATGTTTGTCATCTGTTTACAAAGGACGTCGGGAGAATGAGAGAAAATAAAATAAGACAAAACAGAAAAAGTCTAGTCTCGAGACTTTTCGAAATATGTGAGTGATCGTCTGTGATCTAAATCTATCAGCATTAAAATCTGGTTTTTCTGGCTTTCCCCCAAAAATATCGTATAAAAAAATATCATCGCGTAAAAAGAATATCATCGTAACCTGATACGGAAGATCAAGCAGATGATCGACCCTAACCCTAAGTCTCGAGACTTCGCACAATACATGTACATGGCTCAAGTATTACCTATTCCGAGACCTGTCTTTCTGTAATAGACAAGAAAAGACAAAAAAGTCCTCAAGTATCGTCTTGTTTTGTATTATGCCCATCACTAGAGGCTTGTTGAAGTTGCAATCTGGGCCAGGGCATGGCTGTCTGGTTACCACTTGCTGCAAAGCGGGAGGTTACGGGTTCGAATCCCGTGTCCTCCATCTCCACAATACCCACCTTGACGGTCAGGCTGGGTTTTTGGAGTTTTCCCAAATGTTCCAATGGGACAGTGGCAATCCCTTATACTTCGCTATAACTTCACGGTTGCATGCGAGTATGAGAGACAATAACTATTATTATGTAATGTGAGGTCGCTTCATAGAATATCACTCGATCCAAACCTTCTGGTCCGGCCGCGCTCTCTCCTAGTCGAGCCGGGTTCAGCAAAATAACCTTCCCGGATAACTCCTATTGGGTTCAAAGCTTTATGTTTCTCGTTCTGGCATTAAAAATGAATCAATCAATCAATTTCTCAAATATGATCGGATTTGATGCTCGAGTGATGTTTGAAGATCCTTAGCAACTATATTCTCGGTCTAAACTAGAAAGTCCAGGCAAATGATATCTTGGGCGTACATGTTACAGTACTGTCATGCTGGATGTTGAACAACAGGAAAGGGGGCCTCGATCAGACAAGGGTCCGGGTCGTCGTGGAGCAAAAGGGGGCTCCTGTCCTGTCAGCTCGCTCTCCTAGCTATAGTTCTCCCTCTCTTTCTCTTTCCTTTCATCATCATCATCGAGTACAACTGTATATTTATCACAATACAAGTAACACTGGGCCGAGAGTCCTTAATTTGCTATCTGGCTATATTATGAATGGATCGCAATGGAACTTGAAAATTAAAAAGAAGACATTCCAAATCACACTGGTTTCATGAATTCAGCAGATACCTCAGAATCTCAGGAATAACAAATCGAACTGACCTCGGAATATCAGGCTTTAGATTGGTCAAATGCGTGTTGAGCCCTCATCTCACAAACCCAAAGCTTTTGTCATCTCGACCAATGGGTAAGTACATGTAGTATTCCTAAGGACGGAAATGGGCCTTGGGTTGCTAATATAGAGGAATTTTACTAAATGAGATTTTAACTTTACACTAGGTCTTAACTCTAGACCCGGTAAGTGACCTTTGACTAAATGACCCTCCCACATAAATAGCTCTCCCACTATAAATTCACCATCACAAGCGGCCCTCCTCTCTTTCAACACTTCAACACCAAACTAATACCAACACCACCACCACCACCACCACCACCACCACCACCACCACCACTGCCATCACCATCACCATCACCCTTATCATTATCATCATCATCATCATCATCATCGACATCATCATCATCATCACCAGGGTCAACGTAAGTCTGATCCATCGTGCTAAATGATAGGGTGACTTATTAATTGCTGCTAGAGTTGGGCCTGTGGGCCCAGGTACATTCTTGGGCCTCTGGGCTAGGCCTCGGATCTCAAGACTCGGGCCGAGTCAGGACGGAGATAGCTTAGGCCCGGCTAGCCCATTTCCTCCCTTGCAGTATTCGAGCTCAGTTTCGTTATTCCTGACATTCTATAATAACCATATATCTATCGTCGTATTACCATAATTTCTCATTTTCATATCTTTAACGTTTTCTAGACCCATACATAGTTTCATACATTCAAATCTGCACGCCTTCATACAATCGTGTCCTCTAGCTCTTCATTCCTCTTATAGTCATCTCGTGATCCGATTGCCAAGCCGTTTTCGTATGCACCACAAATCCAGAGATACCACCTGACACAAGCGACAACCTCTTCAATCCCCCGAAACCAAGAATATCAACATCACCACGTAGCCACCTCAACCCAGCAACCGCAGCACCCCAGCTACTTCTGAGCATGATTAGGCCGGTGGTCCCTGGAGGTAGATCTAGACGGGGCCTTATATCTATCGTCGGGTGATAATCCATGTAGGCCGTCAGTCCCATTTTCAGATTTCAGTTGTGCCGCCGACGGTCTTTGTGGGAGGTGCGGAATGACATGCGAAATTTCCGGAGCACCTCCAGGGCAATGCTGCATGTTTGGAATTACTGGTATATGGCGTGGCAGATTCTCTGATCCGTTCTCAAGATCAACTCTCTCTGGGCGTGATTCTCGATGATCATGAATAGGGCTGCTAGCTATCGGGGGTACTGCTGTAGTAGTGCTGTTTGCGTTTCTTGCTACCGCCTGTTTGTGCGATAACTTCGTCAGTACGTTATAAATCTATGTGCAAGAGACATGGCTTCGTACCCTGACCAGTCTCCGTCTCTGGTAGCACCGGAAGAGGCTGCTGATAGCGATAAGGTTGATAACAATAGTTATGCCACCAATGATAACCGCGATCATGTCGCTCCTACCAAGAATCTCTTGATCATGAACCATTATGAATGAAGAGTTTTTATATGCGCTGTGAGGGCTCCTAAAGGTAATTTATCTTGGCAGGGCTTCGTGTTTTTATCTTGAAAGTGCTTTGTTGATATTGGTGTTAACTTTGTATCGTGTCGATGGATAGAAGGGACCGATATTGATGGGCACCAGAGGAATTTATATTATTTACCCCCGCCAGGAAGGAAGTGGCCCAACCTAGGCGCTCCGGCTACGTTACATACGTACTCTGACCGTGAAAGCCCACTTATAGCCCCTAACAACGATGCGGAATTAAAGAAGGCTGCAAAAAATTTCAAAAAAATGTAGCTGACCATTGGGACCAAACCGCCAACGCCACGCCGCACAGCGCACACAATCATCCTATATCTCAAGGTTGATTGAGCAGTGTCTTTGGAGTTTAGAGGCGGAGTGCCCGCTCAGACCAGGTTCCTGGAATTATGGGCAGCTGGTAATACATATTTTCGGTCCTAAACACGAGTATGTCTCATTTACCAGCGGGTCGCCTGTCCATTGCCCATACGGGCCGTCCTATTCACGAGTATTGGCTATTGGCCAATGCCTACGAGTTTGGGCAAAGATCTACCGAGATTCTGCCAATTGTAGATTTATAGAGTAGCGATTGGATGACTTCCCGTAGGATTTAGAAGTAATCTCTGTAGAAACCGCAGGTCGTCAGGGGAAGGTGTACTTATCCAGATCGCAAGTCTATGCATACGTCATGTGGTGCTCGAGAAAGCACCCAACCTCAGCGCAAGAGCTTAGTACTGGGATATACCGGCATAAAAAACTATCAGGATTGCACCAAGAGCGGCCAATAATTACTGCTCGCGACTGGGACGCAACACATAGACATATGGCGGGGCTAGAAGTACTATGCAGTTAATTTCACAAACATTCACTCAATGCGCATGCCCGTGGTTCGCCTTGCCTAAAGCGAAAGTAAATAACCAATTAATTATGTATCTACGGAGGCGAGACCGGTGATTGAGTTCGAGGTATATAACTCGGATTAAGCTTATGAAACAACACCTCTCTAATTGGTCTTTCTCGCGGTATGATACGGTGGCAAGAATGCGTGTAGCCAATGATCACGGTCGACACACGCCAAGCCTTTTTCTGCCTACTTTTCTTGCTACCTTTTTGGTACTCGGGGCAGGCATGAAGAACCTGAAAATCACTTTTTATGGTAACGACCTCTGATTCGCGGCTGGCGAAAAGCTACACCAAATTGAGCCCCTGCTTGCAGCTTGCATTTTCAGGTTCTTATTTCCTGCCCCGAGTACACATCCGCATAAGTGCACGTGTATGTATATGAATGCTAGTATGTGCGTAGCTAATGATTACAGTCGACACACGCCACGCTTATGAGGTTCTTTCTGCCTACTTTTCTTGCTACCGTTTTGATAAACACCCGCATAAGTATATATACGTGTGTATGAATCCTAGTATGTGTGTAGCCAATGATCACGGTCAACACACACCAAGCCTCTTTCTGCCTACTTTTCTCTACCGTTCTCATACTCGGGTACAGGAATAAGAACCAGAAAATGCTGCCATACAAATAACCCTATTGCATTTTCTGGTTCTTTCTCCTGTACCCGAGTACACATCCGGATAAGTATACATATGTGTGTATGAATACTAGGATGTGCGTGGCCAATGATCACGGTCAACACACACCAAGCCTCCTTCGGCCTATTTTTCTTGACACTTTTTTGTTACACATCCGCATAAGTATACATACGTGTGTATAAATACTAGTATGCGTATAGGCAATGATCACGGTCGATACACACCATGCTTATGAACGAGGCTTTTTCTGCCTACTTTTCTTGCTCCCTTTTTGTTACACATCCGCATAAGTATACATACGTGTGTATGAATGCTAGTATGTGTACTGTAGCCAATAATCACGGTCGACACACATCATGCTTATGAACGAGGTTTTTTCTGCCTACTTTTCTTGCTACCTTTTTGATACACATCAGTGTAAAGTGCACACAGTAACCGCACCTACATGCAAACACATGCCACCAGCCAGCCGTCTGAACATCTCCTTACAACACCGCACCTTCCGAGCTCAGTGAGGCCAACACTTGACATCGATGCTCATGTGCTAGAGTACAAGAACTCGGTGGACCATCGGAAGCCCGTCGGTTAGATGTCAAAGGAGGGAATGCGACGTTCTATCTTTCTTCCTAGCCGGCCTTAACGGCGCCTCTCAACCTCCGACGTGAAACTTAAGGTTGATTTCAATCCCGATATCACAATTTAGATAGAAGAGTATTACTTACACTAGTACATAATGAACATATTATCATATGGTAAGAAATCGACATTTCCACGGTTCTTAATTACTTTGCCGTCAAAATCGGTAAAAAAATAAGCGTTATGCAAGGCTTAAATAAGGGTCAAATAAGGGTTTTTGGCAGTATAAGGCTTATTGATTTTTCAAGTCTACAATAACGAACTCTGGCCACTAAGCATTATCTCATGTAAGGATTATTTCGGGTTTTAAGGCTTATTTTGGATTAAGGGTTATTTCGGATATAGGGCTTATTTTTAAATAAAGACAAAAGGAGAAATACGGGGGGGTTGAACCCAGAGCCTTGTAGGTAGCATCTACCTCATGATACCCACTGAGCCATGGGAGAACTGAAATTCTGATGCTGGAAGTAATATATGGTCAATATAAAGCGAATTTTAAGCCTTATATAAGCGTTATATAAACTTGATCCACCGAAAAGCCTTAAAAAGGCTTATTTGATGAATGAGGGAGATCCAGTATAAACTATTTTGTAACAATTATCTAAGTTTAAGGGTTACTCATAAAATAAGCCATATATATGCCTTATTTTGCATCAATCTTTACCCAGAAAAGAGCCTTATATCAAGTTAATACTATTACCACGGTTTCTCATCAAAAAGCACTTATTTAAGGCTTATTTGACAGTAAATCGTTACTAGAGGCTTATTTTTTTTTTACCCATTTTGACGGTAATGTATTATCATAACTTCCATACTTGTATGTGGTTAATCTGACAGATACTACATACATGTAATTGGGCTGAGGGCCGAGGAATAAAGGTACCTACAACCCCCCACTACCTTTGTAACCTTGTAAGGCGAGCCGGCAGATGCAGAATACAGAATTCATGTATTACCTTACTTTGGACTCTAAACCCCTGCTATTACTGTAGATACAATTACGTACACTGCCTACAAAACCTCCTCTACCACCGCAGAAAATGCATCAGTGAAAATCGTCCGTAAATGCATCGAGACTAGTCCCTAAAATAATGCTCGATAATGCATCGCAATAATGCATCGCAATAATGCATCGCAATAATGCATCCCAATCCCACTCATGCATCACCCGGGCCGCCTTGTTCGCTAGCCATTTTGAGCACGACCAACGATTTTTCTGATGATTTTACTAACAAAAAGCGGAGGTAGCGGTCGCCAGCTATGATTATACTGATACATTACGCGCATCCCGGTTGACGCTGGTACGATTTTACGGACGACTTTACCAACGAAATAACCGGCGTTAATAAACTGCCGGGTACGATTATACTGGCGCATTATGCGAATCGCGGTTGATGCCGGGTACGATTTTACGGACGACTTTCCAGATGACTTTACACTATATAAATCTCGTGCTGATGGGCGGGATTGAACTCCTATAGTTCCGAACATCCAACCTAGAGATTACCACATACGCCATAATATTTACTCAAAGGACAGTACTCATATACTAGTGAAGTAAATGCATATAGTGACGACTTTCCCTACACATTTCCGGTTGGAAAATTGTCCGAAAAGTCGAGACATTTACTTGCACTCGGGACGTATTCCCTGATCTATTTGCTTTGTTGGTAGGGACGACTTTCCCTACAACTTTCCCTACACATTTCCAACTAAACGTTCGTCTGGAAGTTATCTGAAAAGTCGTCCGGAAAACCGTTCACTTGCAATTGCACCCGGGATACATTTCCTGATTCCTTTTATGATCCATTACCTGATACATTAATCGGATAGTACATTAAACAACGACTTTCCCGACAAATTTCCCGATTCATTTACTTTGCTGGCTAGTATAGACAGTACTATACGACTTTCCCTATAATTTTACTGACAACTTTAGCTACAATTCGTCAGTAAAATTGTTCAACCAACGATTAAACAGACCCCTCGACCTGTAATGCATCAATCGGTGTATTTAACGGATTATTAATCTATGGGCAATGCATCAAATGATGCATTTTCTACCGTGGTAGAGCTCTTTGTTGAACGGCGACCTCGAGTGTGCCTTAAAATTGCTATTTGTCACCAAGAGCTTCAATCACCCGCTAATCCCCACTGTAGACTGAAATCAAAAGAAAGTAGAAAGGAGTGCATGACCGACTTGGTAGAGTTGAGTCACTGCGATGGGAAGATTATCAGGGGCTGGGTGGAGCAGTAGCAGTGAGGATTGTTAATTATAGCTTGTCTACCACATTAAGCCTTTAAAATATACTATTTAAGAAATCTCTCTCTTGATTTTGCTTACGACACCCGGCCCGTCCTCTGACCCTATCATACGGGGCCCTGAATGAAGGTCCTTCATTGGTTCTAGATAAGTACCTGAAAGCTCGCAGTTGAAACTTGCATCGCCGGCGCGATACTCGATCTCTCCTGTTAAACACAAAGAATGAAGTGGGCCGGCCCGAGTCTTCAAAGCCGAGGCCTGGCCCAAAAAAAAAAGGCCCCGGGCCGGACCCAGGCCTCCTTGAAGCGCAACGCTCCGTTTTACTCTCATATCACCCCGATAACCTTTTTCAGGCCCCTTTATTGGCCCTGGGATTATCTCGGAATTTTTACAATTTTGTCCTAGAGACGTCTCGTCCCGCGAAAGCAGGGTCTCGTCAGGTCCCGGGATTTAGTCCTCCCGAGACTCCCGGGACGTTTCGTCTCGTGCCAATCACTAAACAGGCTGTTACCTTTGGTAGCGGTTTGTCTTTCCGCCAGTTAATGCGGTTCGGGCTACTAGTTGGAAACGGCACTACTTGGGTGCTATAGAAACTCATTAATTGAATGTACGAGAATACTCTCATTGACCAAGGAGGGGAGCAGAAGAAACTTTCATTGCAGGGGCGCTTGAATTTAACAAAGGCTGCTCATTAAAATTGAAATATGGTTGGGGACTCCTGTAACCCGACCACGTTTCGATCACCTTTCGCTGCAGGCGCTAATAAGTTCTCAACCACAAAACCTAAAACTCTTCAGGCTCCTATAACCACTGTTATTCCTCTTCTCTACAACCTAATTAAGTCACATTCATTTTATCCGCCCTGGTTGTCGAGTTGTTCAATTAAGATTCTGAGATATATGTCACCAACTACGTTAATTAAAGGTTAAGAGCCAATGATAGTCCTTTTAAATGGGCATATTCTGGCTTAATATAGTCGTTGACAGTATACCAGGGGCTGACGAACGCCACACTAGTCTACCCACCTATACCAGAGGAGAACAACCCAACGATATATATGCCAAAGGGCAGCTTGAATGAAATAACGACACATATCCACAATCACCCAACATCAACATCCATATCTGTCCATTCTCACTCCCAAATTCCCAATTCTCACAACAGCCAACTTCCCCCGCCATCGTCCCCCATCCCGGAGAAACTCCCCACACTCCCCCTTCCCCCGGCGCTTCTCCGCATTATTTACACCCTACCCTAGCTAGCTGCTCACTCTTTAGGATGATCTACCCCATCTACGGCCCCGGCGCCACCACCGCTCGGCTAAACGCCACGCGCCGGTTTAGCCCTACCCTTGTCCGGGCACTAACGGCAACCCGGTAATGATCATGGTATCGTACCTTGCTTGATCGCTTGCGTGCAGAATCTCAGGGCACATCGCCAATAGCCTAAAAAGTTTAGATTGAATGCGGGGAAACCATAAAAGGCAGAAAACGCCCTCGCTCTCGGGGGGTCGGGGGAATGGTGGGGGGGAGGGGTGCTCGGGTTAATTGGCGAGGAGGACCTGAAGAGGAATGAGATTGCCCGAGTGACGTGATGTTGGGTTGATGGGAGTAGGAATGAGAGCGACATCGATGGAGAGTATCTAGGGTTGAAGCCTGGTATCCTTCTATATGGGTAGAGAGGAGGAGGGGGAGGTGGCCCGGTTGAGGAATTGTATAAATACCTCGATACCAATCGAAAATGAGGAACCCACACCGACCTGTCATCCCACAATATCTTTCAACGGTACTAATGGCGTCCTTCAAGCCCACCGCCCTTCTCGCAGCGGGGATCCTCCTCACCCTCACCTCCGCCCTCGATGTCGACCGCACCCTGACCCCTCCCATGGGCTGGAACTCGTACAACCACTACTCTTGTTATGCCACCGAGGCCGTCATCAAAGCTAATGCCGATGCCCTCGTATCCCTCGGTCTCGCCGACGTCGGCTACAACTATGTTGTCCCCGACTGCGGGTGGAGCGCAAAGGAGCGTACTGCGGATGGGAAGATTACCTGGAATGAAACGTTCTATCCCAGCGGATATCCGGCGCTCATTGAGTATGTGCACAACCTGGGACTCAAATTTGGCATCTACTCGGGGGCGGGGACTTGGCAGTGTCATCCAGAGGCCGGGAATGGGTACCATATCCAGGCGAGTTTAGGTAGGTTTTAACCCGTTTCTCCCCAGGATAGATGGTGATGGTGCTAATCCCATGGTATAGGACACGAGCAAAGTGATGCGGAAACTTTTGCGGCGTGGGGCGGTGATTATCTGAAATAGTAATTATTGGTCCCCCTGATGTAGCATTTGTTGTTGAAACGATCATTGACATCCCATAGCGATAACTGCTGGGCCGACGGCGTCAACAACGTCGTTTACTTCCCCAACGAGGACCCCTCGACACGCTTCAAGACCATGGCCAATGCCCTCGCTACAGTCTCCCGCGATATCGTCTACGCCATCTGCCAGTGGGGTATTGGCGACGACCTCCCGGAGTGGGCGGGGCCGATTGGAAACTCATGGCGCATGTCAAACGATATCAACAACAACTGGATCAGCATTTTCCGTATCACAAACCAGGTCGTTCCGCTTTCAAAGTACACCTCCCCGGGGCACTACAACGACATGGACATGCTCATGGTTGGTAACGGTGTGCTCACCGAGGAGGAGGCGAAGACGCATTTCACCATCTGGTGTGTGGAGAAGTCGCTGTTGATGATTGGCGCGGGGCTGGAGGCAAATCTATTGGACCCTGTGGCGCTTAAGATCCTGAGCAACAAGGAGCTGGTAGCCATCAACCAAGACTCGCTCGGCCAGGCGGCGAAGCTCATGCGGAGGTTCACGCTGGAGCAGTATGATGTATGGGCTGGGAACCTTTCCGATGCCCGTACAGTGCTCATGGTCATAAACTGGGCGCCCGTGGCAAAGACTGTGACCATCAACCTTGCAGACGCGGGCATCTCGAGCGCCGTGAAGGCGAGGGATGTCTGGGCCGCCAGTGATCTTGGTGCCCTCGACGGCGTGTACAGCGCCTCTCTTGCTGGCCATGGCGTCAAGCTGTTGGTTCTGGAACAGACAACACCGGCGGGCACATATGTCAACCCCAAGTACACATCTTCCAAGTAAGTCCAATTTACCCGCAAAACGATCATTGACCCCCAACCCTGCTAACCAATGATCACCAGCACAACAACCGCATTCGCAAACGTCTACGCCCTCACCAGCAGCACCTACAACATCGCCGTCACCAGCTCCGCCACCTCCACCGCTGCCCGCACGATCACCGTCATCGCCGGCAACACCCGCCGCACCGTCAGCGTCACCGGCACAACCTACACAATCCCGGCCTTCCCCCTCCCCGCCGGCCAAAACACCCTCCGCATCCAAGACTCCACCGGCACTATTAGGACCATCAAGACCACCCTCGCCACCGCGTCCGTCTACTACTCCGCCCAGACCGCAACCCTCGCCGGCGGAGCATCGCTCAACAAGTGCGCAGACGCCGACGGCTGCAAGCCCACAAACTACAAAGTCGGCAACCTCGCCGTTGGGTCGACCATGACCTTCAGCGGCGTCTCCGGCGGCACGGTGGCCGGCTCCAAGTGGGTGTGGTTCGACTACATCAACTACGACCTCGCATTCGACCGTGCCTGGGACGGCAGCGGCACGAATGTCAGGAACGCGACGTTTGCGGTCAATGGCGGGACGCCAAAGATGTGGAGTTTCCCGATCTCGGGGGGTGACTGGCAGGATACGGGGAGGATGGGGGTGCTGCTAGATGGCTTTGTGGCCGGGAGTGGGAATACGCTGGTTGTGGGGGCGCCGGGGTGGGAGTATGCGCCGGATGTGGTTGGGTTGGAGGTGTTGGCGTAGATGGGATATAGTTGAAAAGAAAATAGGTGTATATAGGTAGGGAGAATCAAGTGGGGGCTTGTATGTAAAAGATCCAAATGATGTTTATTTACAGAATTATGAAAAATCTCTAGTCTAGAGAAAGCGATACTTTGTGCTTATGAAGCGATATATAACGTCCCCATCTCTCGGCGAATCTTCAGGAACTATACCCAATGAATATATAGGAAGGAGCAACTGGGAGTAACCTGAGACCTGACTCTTTCAAGAACTGACGATTATACCATAAACCGTCGAGATCGACCAAAGCGAGGAGAGGTAGAGGGGGTTGATGGAAAGTTCTGGGGTCTTGGTCCGATATTGTCATAGCTGTAAGGCTGGATATATATACAATTAATGAGTTAAACAAAAAAAAATAAAACCGCCGAGCCCAGATATGCTGACACTCTTTCGATAAATGCCAAGAGGCGGCTAGAGCCAATAAGCTTGGGGTTTTTGTTGATCTCTTGCCCGATTCAGTTGTGACTTTCGGTCTCACTTGAGGAGTGTCACCATCGACTTATGTAGTATAACCATACCGGGGAAGGTGCTTGATCAATCGGTAAATATCAGCAGCTCTTTATTTTTCCACTACTATGTAAGGCTATGAGGAGGTCAAGGCATATAGATTGATAAAAAGCTGAGCGCGATATTCAAATTACACTCCTATAAGGTCCAGCGAATATATCGAGGAAAGAGTAACATATATACCTACATGGCCAGCCCAAGTGTATTGCTGAGTCTGATATACAAAAAGAGAACATAGATCTAGAAAGAACGCTAGAATAAAAAAAGCCCGAATCGCACAACGTAAGGCCAGCAGCGAAATACAAAATAACCTAACCAAAATAATAAAATAACACCTGAGAATACAATTTGTAACAAAAGGAAAATGAGAGAACCCAAAGCATATTTCAACCGAACAAACTCTTGATCATGCTGCCCAATCCTTTCCGAGACTTTTTCGAGGACGCGGAGCCAACCGACGATGACATGCCTGCCTGCGAGTTGACCGATGACCACCCAGAGGCCACTGACACACTGGAGCTGGCTTTAAGATTAGAGTACGGCGCGATTGCTCGTGATTTGTATCTATCGAATCCCGGGCTGTCTATCTGGCGAATAGAAGGAGGCGGGCTCAGGAGAATAGGATCACTAGAGTACGGCTGGTCGAGTGGATGGTATCCAACGAATCTCGGGCTGTCTATCTGGCGAATAGGAGGAGGGGGCATTGCGGTGTTTCCGGTTTCCAGTCTCTCGAGAATGTAGGTAACTATTTCACTGTGCCCTTTCTCCCCAGCGAGAGAAAGGGCTGTGGCCCCTGTGATGATCGTTGACATGATATTTGCTCCTTTAGCAATAAGATGCTGGACTGCCTTTAGTTCTCCATTTTCCGCGACGAAATGGAGAGCATTATAATTCGAGTTATCTCTTTCATCTATTCCGAAACCTTGTGACAGGTAAAAGTCAATCATGGGGATATGCCCCCTCGCAGCCGCCACCATTAAACAGTTCTGCCCGGTGTTGGTCACACATCGGATGTCTGCACCTTTCTCGAGTAGAAGCAGGACGGCGCTGACGTTTCCCGATAGAGTTGCAAAGTAGAGGGGTGATCGGTTATCATTTGACGGCTCCATCATATCCACGCCTTGTTCCAGAACATACATAATTATGGGGAGATCCCCGCTCTCTGCTGCCCTATGCAGTGAGGTATATCCATCATCTGTCCGGTCGCGGATATTTGCTTCTTTCTGCAGCAGATACCTCACCAGCTCAACGTTCTTTGACGCGCAAGCAAAATACAATGGCGTACGTCCATCCGGCGTCATTTCGTTCACATGTCCGCCATTTTGCAAAAGGTAGACGGCGCTGGGGAGATGTCCGACTTGAGCTACCCTTTGCAGAGCCGTGATTCCCTGGAGGTGATCACGATGCGAGACATCTGCTCCCTTATTCACCAAGAATTTGACGATGTCTTCGTTATTTGATAATACCGCGAAGTCCAATGCCGCTCTGCCATCAACCGACTCTTCCATCACATCGAAACCCAGTTGTATAAGATAGTCGGCCACGGCGATATGTGCTCTCTCAACCGCTGTATGCAAAGCACTAAATCCCTGTGCCGTGCGGTGCTTCATATCCGCTCCATTCTTGAGTAAGAACATAACACACTCCAGGTTTCCCGAGATACCAGCAAAGTAGAGGGGATCACGGCCATCCAATGACATCTCATTCACACTGGCACCATGGGCAAGAAGAAACTCCATGGTGGCGAGATGTCCTTCCTCGGCCGCTGTGTGCAAAGGAGTGATCCCCTCTTCGTTACCTTGACTGACAGGTGCACCTCTTTCCACTAGGAACTGGACAAGCGCGAGATGGTTTCCAAGGGCTGCAAAAATGAGTGCCGTTCTCCCTTGGTAATCTAGTGAGTTGAGATCGGCTCCTCTATCGAGCATGCTCCGAACAAGCGCGAAGTTACCATTGGCTGCTACTACGATCATTGCGTCTTCTTTCGGTCCTACAGTTGACCTATTAGCCGGTACATCACAAGCAGAAAACATCACAGAGACGAGCCATACTTTACCTTTCCGTGTGGGTTTAGCGATTGCAATCGCCTGCGGTTGTTTTGGTAGCGCTTTCACCTGAATGGGTTTAAAGTTGGATGGTAATTTTGATTTATGTGTACTAAGGAAGGTGTCATACGGGTCGAGCACGGTTTTATCCTCGTCCTCCTCCTCATCTTGTATAACTGGTACCAGGGGGCCCGTCTTGGCTGGAAACGAGTTGACTCTACTACTCCGACGACTCGGGAGCATGGTCCAGACGGTGTCATCTCCTGAGTCGACTGAAATCCAAGAATGCTGCCTTGCTTGTTCCGCAGTAACTCTGTCCGCTGGGAGTGGCATCAACAAACTAGCCATGAATTCGACAGCCAAAGGTGAGACGTTCTGGAGGTTTCTGGGAGGGAATGTGACACGACTCTCAACATAGTCGATAAGCCCTCTTGGTTCGGGGAACGGAGGCTCCTTCGTGAGCATAGCGTAAACCATGCAGCCCAGGGACCAGACATCGACAGCTGTTGTATAGGTGCTGGTATCGCTCTGCAAGATCCCCCAGATCTCGGGTGCCATGTACTTTTGACTGCCGGTGAATGTGCGTCCTTCGATTATGCCGTCAAAATGCTTCGAGACTCCAAAATCAACAACCTTGACTGTGAGTGGCATCCACCTTGCAATAAGAATGTTCCCTGGCTTTAGATCCCTGTGGCAGAGGTTATTTTGGTGCATGATCTCCAGTCCCTCGAGCACCTGGACCGTCACAGACTTCGCATCGCTCTCTGTCAGCTCCTCTTCTTTCATGAGAGAGCCGAGATCCCCGCACTGGAGGAACTCCATTGCTAGGTAGATGTTGAGACTGTCTTCAAACCACCCCGCGAGCTGGACAAAATGTTGTGGTACTGGAAGAGGAAAAGAGCAAGAAGTCAGCCACCAGTGTAAGTAAAACTGGAGCGCATAGCAGCAGACGGGACATGTGATCTTTACCGAGCTAAGTTTCATCAAGACACCTATTTCGTTTGATTTTGCCAGCGACTTCCTGATCTGCTTGACAGCTCGAACAGCACCGGTCTCGCGACACCTTTCCCTATAGACCGTACCGAACCCACCTTCCCCGAGCTGATGGAGCCTCTCCCATGTCTCCACCCTACTGGGGCTAGCGACAATTGTGTGCTTGAAGTTTCCATCGAGGAACTCGGTAGGGAGCTTGTACTTGTCGAACCGCGTAAAGGTAGCCATTCCGTCCCAAGGATTGAAGGATGCGCTATAGCTACTTGTATAGAGCTAGAGGGGTTATGAATTACGATGGTGTCTACCTATGCTGAGGCTGAAGTTTGAACCGTGTGATGGTATATTAATCTGATCGGAGAATTGAATTAGCGCCCAATCATAAATGCTTATCGGCAATTTCGTGTAAAATCTCGGCGTGGCACAAAAGTGGAGTTGATTTCCATAGCGTTTTTACGGGAGCAATCTTCCCTGGACCCTGAGCCCTGCTACCCTGTGGAGTTTGCTCGCGCTCGCCAAAACGCAGATCCCTAGTACGGGTATGAGCCTAATCCAACCACAACCCTCAATATTACTACAACACAGGCCAACCGGGCAATATGAGACAATCTTCATAAGTACATACACGTGGTTCCGACCGGAGCTGTCCTGTAAGGGTCCTTGGTAGGTTATCCCGTTAACTTTACCATCAGCGCGGTTGTTGGAATCATGCGATCACTTGATCAGATCAATATTCCAAACTTGGGCGATAGTCGGACTAGTGTTCTTCTCGTGTGGATTGAGTGAGTATCGGTGAGCCAAGACCTAACATTTGATGAGGTCGAAGTACTCGTAATTTCATAGCGTTTCCGAACACGACCAATATTGCATGACATGCAAAAGGTGGATTTAGCGCTTTTTATATTGTAAGCAATAGCAGTCGTGTTCGGAAACGTCATTTACCAAATTGAGTGGGGTACAGAATGTGATTTCGATACGTCGTACTTACAATGCACGTTTCTGATCTCTAAAACCCGCACAGGTCATACATGACAAGTCATTTTAAAGATTTTATAAGAGGCAGCCCATAGAACCTCCGCTCAGTCCTCTCCACCGATCCTATGCACTCCCTTATTCTTTTATCGCACCAAAACCTTCCATCAGATCAAGAGGTGAGTTTGACAGTTCGCAAATATTTTCATAATGACTGACTGAGCCTTTAGCGGGTCAACCATACCAACATGTCCGAAGTTACGCCTGCTACATCAAATGAAATCGTTGAGATGTTACGATCAATCATGCTTGCCACCTCCCAGCTCCTTTCACCCGCCGAACGCGATAGGATCACACCCGAGGAGTCAGCTCTCGCGCTCTCCATATTAAAGACAACAGCCGATACCACGTGGAGATGCGCGGAGACGGAGAGACTGAGGATGGAAACACTAAAGCTAAAGGCTGAGACAGAGAAGGAGATTGCCCAGAAGGAAAAACTGGTGGTGGAGGTTGAAAGGGTGAATGCTGAGACAGCGATTCTCCGACTACGCATATCTTAGAATAGACGCATGGAAGCTATAAATCTGTCGCTGCATATTTGGTATCTATAGTACATAACCAGATCCAATGTTCGGATTAGATGAGATCGACAGGGTATTAATTAGAGCAAGTTTATATGTTGCAGGCGAGTTCTTAAACGTCTGCAATAAATACACAGTACTTGATGAACTGGTTTCTAGTCATGAGTGTTCCACTCAAGTAGTGGAGCTTTGTAGTCCAAGCTTGCTCACACAGGCTATTAACCGGATCCTGCGAGGGATTCGAAGAGATTTTCTTCCCCAGAAGGGTAAGGCGCTTGAACTTGCGATGATCAACGTTGATTCTCTATATATATATGTTATTTGGGACCAAGTGCACGGTTTGCGGTAGTAGGCCAAGGTTCCTGACATTGAACGGATTGATAACCCTGCCCAGAGCTATCAAGCAAATTTTCTAGGCCAGGGTAGGCCGACCGGAGCGTAGAGCCCATGGCCCAGTCTTCCATCGAAGCCGCTGAGTGTTGTTCTGACGTCGTGATTAACGCTTCCCAGTCGCCAACGTCTTTTGTTTGATCAACAGGACAGAGTTGACGACTGCAGCCGGGGGCCTATCGTAATATCCCAGGCTACAGAGCAAAATAGTGTTTTTCGGTTTAATTCTAGAAGAGGAGATGATTTTAATCTAGACGTTAACACTTGTAAACGGCTTTCTTATATCATTTTTACTGTTTTGACTATGGTAATTGAATTAAAACCCTAACCCTAGATCTGCCTACACAGACCAAAACATGTCATTAAATTGGCATTGGATGGCTTCTCGTACGTGTCCGGAGAACAGATAGTTCTGACCATAGGGATAGGTGTTGTGTTTATTAGCTCGTGGGTACTATTTACAACAACGTTCTTTCGACATAAAATCAACTTCTAATATGAACGAGTGCATTCTACAAATACTTCTGAATCATCTTCGGCCTCTCACACTCTCCGACTGCACAAAAATAGGAGACGCACTCCAGTCTTAAGAGCCTGAATACAGGGAAGACCAAGCCCCGTGAGTACCAGCGGGTACCCCTGGAGTCCCAAGCACTCTAACACCCCAGCTTCGCTGTCTTCCATTATTTGCGGACGTTGCTGGTGGTGGGATAGAAAGTTCAAAGGGTCTGTTGCCTTGTAAAACATGGTATTCACTGCTGGTCTCCGAGGGGAGTTCCTGGGTATGTGGCATTTGTGGACATACTGGTGTCGGTTCAAAATCTCCTCGCAGGGCTTCACCTCGTAAACGCATTGAATCGTATACCGTTAACCCACCCTCGGAAGATATTGCTGACTTTATTTCAGTTCTATCCTCCTGTATAGCGATATCTAACGGGGTACGCCATTCTGAATCGAAGGGGTTGACATTGATACTCTTGTGGTTCAGAAGCATATGCACTATTTTAACCTCTCCCCCATCCCACTGCCGCATGCAAGGGGGTGCTGAAGTCGGTATCGCGCGGTTGATTTACAAGTATGTCAGGGCTTTGAAGTAGCAGTTCAACTACCTTGTCATCACCGCGTTCAGACGCAATATATAACGGTGTGCTACCATGGCTCCAACACCTATTTACATCAGCCTCCTCCCTACGAAGGAGTGATTCAACAATCAGATGGTGACCGTTATAAGCTGCAATATATAATGGTGATGCAATTTCACGATCGCTGCACATGTTCGCAGAAACATCTTCTCTGTCCAAGAGGAGTCGCAGGGCGTCTTCATTACCATAAAAGGCGGCCATTTTCAAGATACGGGGCGGAACTGTTGGGCACTTTTCTAACAATTCCATGGAGATTTCCAGTAGTCCAAATCGGCAGGCTACGTCAAGTGGTGTGATTTCATCAGCATCTGGAAGCGTCCACCCACATTCCTTCGACTTTAACGGAATTGCGTATGTCCTCGGGACAAACGTGTGGAATTCTGGTCCAGGTATAAGGAGTGTGCGCTGTAGATGTACACATGCGGACCTGCTTTCACTAGTAGTTTGATTAAAGTGATCTAACCAGTGCTCCACGCAATAGCGCATAAACCGCTCGGAAGGTTCTTTCACCAAGAGGATAAACAGATATTCAAAGCAACATCTGTGAAGAATGCCATGATCTCCTGATCGATTAAGAGGAATATCCTCTCCCATATAAGGAAAATCCAACTCGTCCTGACCCCTGGCAAGAAACTCTTTCGCCGAAAGGTCGTCGAGATTCAGGGCCCAGCCCGCTGTAGATCCATAACTTGTTGTGCTTCGTACTTTCAAAGTAGTAGCGGAAGGAGTTAAACGATCAAGTGCAAACATATTTTCGGCGAGATTGGAGAGGTTTACCCAAAGAAAGTCCTTGGACCGGCGACAGTTGTGCATTTCAAGACCATGAAGTAATTCCACCACAGAGAGTGTTCGAAATACAAATATGACCCATCTCAGGACGCGGGGTGCCCTTCTCTGGTTATTCCTTTTTAATGCTGCGCCGCCATCCAAGTTCTTGTCGTATACTGCGTGTGGATCCGGGAAAAATGTGTTTACGATACACTCTTGATAAGCTTGGTTCGCATCAGGCGATAGACGTGCGGCGTCCAGCTTCAAACGAGAAAACATCCCATTGCAATCTCTCTCTAGCCTTTCGGCCACCATCCGTTGACGATTTATATCGCTAATCCTTGCTGAAGTAAGAGCCTCTGCGACCTTTTTGATATCTTCAGCTATATCCAATGTAGTTATATCATACTCCGAAATTATGTGGGTACTGGACCCCAGATCATGACGCTTGGAAGGGCGACCGAGGGCGGAGGAATCCCAATTTCGTTTCGGCTACAAAGGAGAATCCTTGTTGACGTTGATTTAGTTATACTAAGGAGAGTGCCAAGAAAATTCCTTCTGGACGTTTTTGCGAATACTCGGCCTGTGAGATCGTTATCAAGGCACTTATCAAGCCCGTCAATGACAAGATCACAAGTTCCACCGGCCTCAAGAACCTTAGCAAAGAGTTCCCAACTAACTAGCTCTACCGGTAGCCCTGCGCGTGTAGCCTTAGACTGGAACTTATAGCTAGCCTCGAAGGCCGCCTCACATCGGGTAGCCAATTGGTGTATCAATGACTGTACGATAGATGATGTTTGACGTTTACGAATATCCGCATGCGTACAGAAGAGATATGCAGTGGGATAGATAGAGTTTGTCTCTAAATAGTTTATAATGCTCGCCGAAAGAACTGTCTTGCCTGTCCCAGGCCCACCACGCAACCAAAGAAAACGAGACATAGCCATGGAGTCATCATCATCATATTGAGAAAACCAGTCAAGGAATAACTCGTTAGATTTGAACCAGGTGCAAGTGTCTGGGTATCTCTCGTGCGTAGCTGCCTCGTACTCATAAGCTGTAGAGATTTCCCCGATCCAGTCCAGGTGCTCCCTTCGCTCCAGTTCTTTAGGCTGTTAGTTCAACGCTGGTCCTGCGCTACAGTATTTCCAAGGGTTAGTGACTCACCACCGATACCTTGCCACACCTCCCGACCTTGTTCTAATATTCGGCGAGCACTATTTTCTTTCCTTTGCTTCTCGATCTCGTCCACTATTATATTTGGTTAGCCAGGCGGGAATGAACACCAGGGAGAGAACTTTACTTTCGCAATTACCAATTAGGGCGCCCAACCAAGGGCCAACCCCACCATCCTCACGATAGACAGCCCTCAATCCAACTGCATCATAAAGCTCCTCAATATCCGATCCCAGACTCTGCATAATCATCGCGAGCTCCAGATCCCCCCCCCCCCGGCCCCCAAATACCACCTGATTTCAGAGTCTTGGCTCTGGGCCACCCGGGCCTTATATGCAAAGTTCTGAGGTGACAACAACTTAAAGAAGTGAGGAGCGTACAAATCCATATCGATTGCGTCTTATCGAGGAGCGTACAAGCCCACGTCCTATCTAGTGGGTCTATGTTGTCGTGAGAATGTTGATAGTCACCCCACTTCTGTAAAAGCACTATTTCCGCCTTAAACATGCTAAAGATCCACTGTGGAAGTTCTTTAAAGCATTCAGCGCTGTTGATATCCCGCTCCAATTTTACCAAACAAGAATGATACATAGATTAGATTTCATTGTCGTAACTCGGGATGGAAACTGGTTTGGCCATGTGGGCAGATTAGACTATGTCGGCAAGGGTTACCGCTGTCTGTCTTAAGGAGTGGATAGGTGTTATGAAACTAGGGAGAAGAAACCGTTTCCTTTGGGTGAGAGGCGGATCAAAAGAGGTTGGTATTGCGTCCAGCTAGGTCATAAGCTGACCAGATATTTGATAGTCTCGTAGCTATTATATATAGTTGGTGTTTGCTGGCTCCTCGCATCTTGAGGGTGTGGTACGTTATGAGTGGATCCAGTCAAAAGGTCGGTACCGGTGTGACGGCGATGGTGACCGACAGGATTTAGTAAATGGGGTTACACTACATACGCACAGTCGGAGCTGTTGGCGTTGCAACCCCAAACATCCAATGGTTTGGGGAGCTAAATCATATTAGCCTCATCAACCCAGATAGACGGTTTCCCTGCAGCTGGCCATTCGGGCACCCCCTTCACTCGGACAGTTAACGTAGAAAAGAGAAGATCAACGTTTTAAGTGGCTTCTGTACTAGGGTTTAGCGAAAAGTGATCAGAATCTGATAAGACAAATACACGTATTCACCGCAGCATTCACTTATCAGATTCTGATCACTTACCCTCAACACCCGGTACCTCTTCTTCACCAATCATCATTGACTGTCCGAGTGAGGGGATGTCCGAGTGACTAGGGAAGTCGTCTACGTCTACTACGTATGTACTGCATTAGACGCTTGCCCATTTGATTGGCTGAGAGGTGCAGGGGTGGGTTTAGTAAGCACGACATACCAAAGTTAGGAGCGGGCTGACACTGGCCGCATGCCCGGCATTATATTAATTTAGTATGAGGTTGCCAATTACATGTACATGATCTTGGAGTTGGAAAGCAAGAAGGGGTCATTTCTTTATATACTCGACTGAGGGCATCAAATTTCGCTGGAAACCGTAACCGCGAGAACTGATATTGCAAGTTTAAATGGGTCACTACGGGAGGAGCTGGCCAAGTACTGGATCATGGAGCTAGCCATGGTCAACTGCGAGAGCTGTCAATGGAACTGGGGAGGGCGACTGGGAAAGCTGGCCACCTCTGAGAGCTAGCCTACTATGCTGGAGATGACTAAGGGATAGATTAACTACTGGAGGTGGCCAAACACTCACTATGTGCACTGGAGGTGGAAAGTACTACATCTAGGCAGGAGAGATTTTCAGGTGGGAGGAGACTTCGCGGTCGCGAGGTGGGCCACTACTAGTAACATGTATTTGATAGGGCCTGTTCGGCAACGGTATAAATTACAGGGTTTGAAAACTCGGTTTCAACGGCCTTTTTGTTAGGCATTCACCCTTGGAAACTCTGTTTTTTCTTGTTGCCGAACGGGCCCTTATTAAGAAGGGACACCATCGCTGGTTGGCAGCACAACTGGCCTAGCCCATCCGCTCATGAAATATCACTCGTCATGTTAGATACATAATTACATATAACGAGTGATCAGTGATGACTGACGCTTAGCTATATTGACCAATTGATAATTCATTAGCTTAGCTATATTCTGCGCAAGGGCGTGGGGGTCGCTGGCTACTGATCATTATTAATTCATCTAGTATACAGCTCGCTATATGTCACACATACCAGAAAATGCTTACTGTTCCCCGTGCGTAATATACTCCAAGACAAGCTTTAATCTTCGGAACTGCGCTCGGGTTATAGAAAATAACTATATAAGGTTACTATACGCTCGTTTATTTACTATCCCATGAGGTCCTAGTCACTATAGAACCTCTAATTCATCAAATGAGAAACGGCTAGCTAGACTCGAGCTCTACACCGAGAAGGTTTAGCTCAATCTACAACCCCCGTAGAATAGGACACAACAGTGCTGATGTCAGATCAACACTGTCACTGCCAGGTCTGGGCAAACTATATTCCGAATGTGTGTATGGGTAGAAGAAACCTTGGGTTAAGGGAAACGGGGGTATTTGTTAGGACAAGGATTATGCGTTAATATATCTACATTTCAGATATGAGAGTTAGTAGTAATCCGCTACTATAGTACCCAACGGTCCTTATTCGTTGCAGGTCAAATTGGAAATAGTTATTCGTTCTTGTGTCATGGATGGGAAAATTACATGTGCTTGTGGAGAGTCGGCGTTAATGTTTTCAGTTATCAAAAGTCCGAACAGACATGCACCGGGTGTACGTGTACATTAAATTATCGCAAGCTTTGCTATATGTTTTCCCATCAACCCCCAAATCATCTGCCCGATTGAAACCTATATTGGACAACCCTTCTCATAATATTGCTGGAAACCCTGTATTCAATTGATCTATAGTCTTGTTTTCGAATTTATTCCTACTTATATACGAATATTGACCAGCATCGCGAGGGCCTCTGCAGATATCGGTATTTTCGAAGCAATGGAGGAATTCTGGACCTTTTATTACTGTAGAGTTTTTGGAAGCGAATATTTAGCATATCCCCTCATGGTAGTATAACACTGCACAACTAGATCCCACATAACGTTCCTTGGCCCTCGTCCTCCCTCCTCACTCCCCCGCTCAATCTCAATCTCACTCCGGTTTCTTCGCAACAACATGGAAGCTATTCCCACAGCCAAAGATTAGCAAACTCTCATCCGGACCTCATCCCCATGGAAGCCCAAAGCCAAACTCACAAATTTATATACGAATGAATCTTCCTATTTCTGATATCCTCGATGGCGCCCGCAATCAGTTTCAGCACCTCTTCATTCTTCATGCCCAACACCCTCGTGAACAGCGCCAGCGAGTATGCCTCAAACCCGGTCTCGCAGCAGATCTGGAGATACTGTCCGACCTTCTTCAGACCCGGATTCTTCGGCCAGCCGCCGAGGGGCTGCTTTTTGACATGGAGCTAAACATATCATTAGCAGATATGGCTAGCTGTGGGGATAAGCGGGGGTACGTGCCTGGACATCCACAAACCCAGCCTCCTCAACCATCTTCTTCATGGCCCGCCCCACATGCTGCGGTAATCCCCCAATCTCAAGCGCTTCGCCGTATAGGCGCATTATTATCGCTAAGGAAGAACCCTCAGGAATACTGTTATCGTCGGATTGGATCCCGGCCTCGAGCTCGGCGACGTCAATGTAGCCGCCCGGGCGGGTGTGTTTGTACATTTCTTCAAGATAGTTAGGCCACGATTTAATTGACTGCATTAGGTTGCGCGAGTGGATAAGGTCGAAATGGTCGACGGGAAAGGTCCAAGGCATTTCGGCATCATCGACTTCAAAAGTACAGTTCGGGGGTACCCTTTTGGTCATATGATGTTAGTTAAAGTTGAATGCGAGGGGATATTGTGGTGTACCATTTTGGTTGTATGGGACTCAAATCGATGCCGACCACTTTGGTAGAGGTGTATAAACTATTGTCATCGTACTAATTTAGTATCGGATTGATGGGTTCGGCGGACAGTCTTTAATCATACTCTGCCATCTCGATAGCCCAGATCCCAGTACCAGTTCCCACGTCCAAGATGTTCTGCGGGTTTTTTTCGATAGGTGCAAGGTGAAGCTTACCACCTAGGAGAAGACCGAATATGTGGTGGTGCATATCAAGCCTAATATATTAAGTATCTCAGAGAAAGAAAGAAATTAATCAAGAGTGTTTATGTGTAATTACCGATCTTGTTCGGTCTGTATTCTTAGTAAGTGATGTGAAGCTATAATTCATCCCGGGGGAGAATGGAAAATGCATACCTCATCATTCGGTAACATATATGAGCCCTCTTTGTATCTGTGATATCTCCTACCATTTTCGTAGATATAGTCTATGATGGAGGATTTCAGACTTGTCGTGTCGGTCATTCTATAGAAATTCGTTAGGCTGGTCTTGCAAAACAATTATGGGGGTACGAAAAGCATACAAAGAATCACCATAGTCTGAGTCGGATTGATTTGCCTAGGGTGTAAATGATCAGTCTACAGCGTTACTAAGCCCAGTAATTGGTAACATCAAAACACCCGATAAGCGCGGAGAGAGATTCCCTCGCGAAACTGAGGAATACAACATACATAGTCTTCATCAACAACCAATTCAGGTCCAGAGTTCGAAGCTTGAGCCATCTTTTTGAGGGGTGGTATCAGGATTTTAGTTGGAAATGTTTCGTTTCAGGTGTGAGATACGTATGAATCTCTTAGAAGAAGGGGGAAGTGGTCGCTTTATATTACATATGTCCTTACTTCTGCTGGAAATCCCGGGAACAAAGCCGGTACCCGTTCTGTCGGGACCCGCGGAAATAATTGGTCGCACGTGGGATATTGCTTTGTCTCAGATGCGTAAATCAAGATAAACTAATCAATCTGCGCGGAGTGAGACAGTTTTCATGGACGGGGTGACATGTATTAGATACCCGTAGCCTATATTCCTAGTTCTGCGTCTAGGTTCACATCAGCGCAGTCCAGGAAGCAAGGGGGTCCGCAACGTAAACATTTCCGGGAATCTCTTTACCCACCCAGAGCTCTAAGAATCTACCACACATAAGCTCGCATTCCAGGATAGGTGCCAAATGCAGGTTTCAGTGCACGGGCACTACGCGCATCTTGGCCTTTAAGCATCCCTATTCCGGAAATCCCTATTACCGGTAGACCAAGAATGGCTTGTGTAAATAACTAGTTTTTGTTGCATGAGCTCCGAAATACGTTCTCTTAATTAATATGAAAGAAGGAATTCTGCTCGCTTGGCGCCCTCTGCTTCGTTCGGGGCGGGTCAGAGTGTGTATAAAGTCAACTCGCGAGAGATACATACTCATTTATCCCAGTTGTTGGGGAAGATACATGTATGTACTAGAATGAGGTATCTCCTGGGATCACGCTTTGGTTGCCTTGAAGTGCTTCATAGACACATCCGGAAACTATTAGAGTATATACAGCACCGGGATTAGTCATTAATATGCTAATATGCATGAGGGAAATACCAGGGTAGTACTCACTACATGTAGTATTCATGTGGATGCATGTACTTAGTGAGCAGATATGGCCAGTATTCGTGTGAAATTAATAATATCTATGAGCTGAAAGGTTTATTCTTACCGAACAATGCCGGGTTTGATTGATTCCAATGCAATGAGCGACCAGCGTATACGTATGTATGCTCGACTGCCCACTCACCCCGCGGTAGTACGTACACTTGTACTCTATATCAAATACGAATTTTCATGTGTGCAGGTAGCGGTAGGAAGTGCTCTCGATTATGTGGAATGTGCATGTGGATAAGTCTCCCCACGCACATACGACCCATCGTAACGGTACGATGACAAGGGCATGATTGGCTGTCCAGTCGGGTCCTCGGGACTGAGGAAAAAGTCACCGAGGCCAGGCATTTCAGGACCTAGCCATGATGGACCCGTGGCCCAAGCTTCCCTCGGGATCGGCCGAATACTGGCAGCACAAGCCCCAGCTGGCGATGTGAATTCCGACTGCATGTCCAGACCGCCTACCTGATCGGTGCTTATGCAGACATTTATCGATTAGGTATCTAAGCGCGAGCGAAATAGCCGGGCCCGGGCATCCTGGTCAGGCAAAAAATAATCGGCCACCCTCTCGTTCTGCGGTTAATCGGCCGCCACCAGCGGAACGGACGTAGAGCAGGCGCCCGTAGATATCTGTTTCGAAGAGTGAGCTGCCATCTATCGGTTCGAGTGACATCAATTAAAGGCTGACGTATCATCCACGACTGCTGTTGCAGCAGAGATCTCTTCTATATGCTCAATACGGGACTCTCCTCATGGATAGGTAGCGGAATGGATTCGTTTAAGAAGATGGGTGGATTGGTCTAGGGGCTTAGAGGACATGAGAGTACTGACGGCAGAGAATACGCATACGTACACACATGGAGCGGTGGAGCGTGTAGCCCCCTTAGTCCTCTATGCGATTCGACGGACCTATCATAAAGCATACGTTACATATGTCAATACATCCTATCACACGTCCTCGAGACGCACAAGTACAAGCTGTAGCAAACTGGGAACTTGATACTCCGATGCTTTATACATCTCTAAGGCACTCTGATTAGTAATCCTCTAGAGTGATCAGTTATCTTTTCCCGGCCGCTGCGTGTTTGCTCCAATTTAATCTGCTCAATTGATATATGTGATTGGCAGGGGCGGGTAGCTGTCAATCACTTTATCCCGCGAAGACCAGACCTGATATTGACCCACTTAGTTTAGGAAGACCTCTGCTGGTAGTAGGTCTAGTCTTCCAAACGGGGATCTAGCGGGGGGTCAAAAATAAGGTTCATGGGTTAGGGTTAGGCACTTAGCAAGTATCCAATATCAAGCCGTGTTCTTGTATCGCTCCTCTACACCTTCTGCACCCCTCTACCACCACCCCCCCCCCCACCCCCCCAATCTCCCTCCTCCATCAACATCATCATCCTTCAACCACCGTAGCCAACCACCCCGATCATCTCCACCATGCCCCCAAACGCGAGCCAACCAGCGCAGAGAGTCGAAGAAGACCAACGCATAGTGACCCGCAAATTCTCTGTGAAGGACCTCAAGGTATGCACACCCTACGACGAACCAATCTACTAGCGATTCCGGAAATGTTATCGATCATGTGACCCACCACTCTCACAAACTCCTCAGCTTTACACCAATACGGCGGTCACATGATCAATAAAAATTTCCGGCATTGCCAGTAGATCGTGTGGAGTTGGACATCGCTGGCTAACGTCATTAGATTCCCGAGTCCTGGGCAGCAGCAGAAGTGCAGGCTGCTATCGATATCTGGATCCTGTTCTTCCCGGGGAGGCGCCCTTCCCAGGTTACTGAAGAGGAGAAAAATGTGTTCATGGAGAGTGGCATTGGCTTACATGGACATGAAGAGCTCGAAGAGATACCTTCCGGCCTCACAGAGGATCTTTATCTCCTCGCTAAGCGTACATACCTCCGCTACTTGAAGATCGAGGCGCCCGATTCGCTCGTTGAGCAGATTTACGGCAAGAGCCTAAAGTTGAAAAACCCGCGTGGCTTTACAACCATCAAGAAGAGGATGATGGCCTTAATGTCTTCGATTAAATCTAACACCATATTGAAGTTCTATGCCCATGTGAAGGAAGCCATGGAGAAGGGAGGAGAAGTTATCCGGACAAGCAGGGATGATGCTACTATTCGTCAATTCTTTGCGGCGATATTCTCCATGAAGGACGTCATGGGCATCTTCTCTTGGGCGGATTCTATCATTGATATTGAGAAGTCGAGGAATAGAGTGAAGAACTTCATGTACGGTAATAATCTCCCTTCCCACTATCCTCCTACCTCCAAAACAACTAACTGATGCATCAGGGGTTTACATCAACATGTGCACGATCATTAAGCACCACCTTGACGATCCATTCTGTCCACAATACGATCGTCATGCTGTCCTCTCCTTCTGGGACCGTATTGGCCAAGCAAAGGCGTGGAGTGACATCGATCTGAGCCATTTTGCCCTACGCCCAAGAGACCTCAAAAGGAAAAGGATTAAGCAAGGTGGGGGGAAAGATTGCAAGAAGAATAAACCCGGAACTCATGCCGAATGGGAGTTGCCGGACGTGGAGGAGGGCAAGAAGGAGGACAGAAAGGCGATTAAAACGAACGTCAAAAAGGAGGTCAATGATGAATTGAATTGATTTGAGACTATCTATACTCGCTAATTAAAAGGTCGGAGGTCGTTGCTACTAAATCTCTACACACAGTTCCGACCTTTTAATGTACAGATCTATAGAGGCGATGTAATCGTACATACGAATAAACGTGCCCTGTAGCTTTTGAATAAAAGGATGTGCTAAATATAATAGATAGACAGTTCGAAGTACGTCCAATAAGGCGCATTCTTCCGGAACACAGCATATACGGCTTAATGCGTGAGCACGTGGATCCCTTTATATGCCAGCGGAAAACAACGTTCACGGCTTCTAGAATACCAATGATAGGCCCAAAGTAGCGATCAATAATCTAGAAACACAGTGAAACCAGTTCACGTTCAGCTCCTCTCACTAAATCGACAAGAAGCCCAAAGAAAGGTGCGAGTGATATTCTATGACGCACTCCCGCATACCGATCCCCTTTAACAAAGCACGACCCGAAGTTTGCTTGTCCATCGTGCTAGAAGAGCATGCTTAATTGAACTGGGCCTTGCCCCCATTGCTTTCTATTCCGCCCACTGTTGGTTTCCGCATCTCACGTATATATGCGCGCGCCTCACTCTTTGTGAACATTCCCGCTAAGTCTTTCATTGTCAATCAGTTCGATGCTTCGTATATCCGGTTTACTACATGTACTGCCTCATAGCCAATTCTGGATGTGCGTGGAATGATACAGCCATGGTCTATGACAGATCCAAAGATTCTTTAAATACCAACTTTCGCCTCCCTTCCCCAGATAGCAAGCTACTCCTCACAAGTAACGGAACTACATATACCAAGCACCTCCCACTATGGATCGTCTATCCATAAGCCCAAAAAGCAGCGCCGCAACAATGCCCACCAAATCCACTCCCACCAGCGACGCCCCCTCTCCAGATCCCGCTGCCACCGCTCTGCCACCCAGCCCTACCACAATCTCAACCACAACCACCCCCGCTGCCGCTACCTTACCACCCAGCCCCACCATCACCACAACCGCCCCCGCCGCCCCCTCCACCACCACCATGAGCAGCCCAGTGCCCGCCGCCACAACACGCAGAGCCCGCGCCGCCAGCATCAATGCAAACGTCGCCCTTGCCAGCCGCTACGACAGCATCCACACGGGACCCTACCGCGCAACGTATGTGGCCGCTTATAAGCACGGCTTTACGCATGCGATCTCCGCGGTAATAGTTGCGCTCGATATGATGGACGAGGATGAGACGCGCGGGCCCTGGGAGACGATTAATGCGGCGAAGGAGGCGGTGGGGCGTTTAGAGCCGAGGGAGGATGTAACTGGGGAGGCGGTGGAGGAGGATGAGGGGCCGGAGTAGGGCTGTGTTTGGTGAGGATAGATCCAGTGAGACTAAGATATGTGTGCAGTGGTGTAGCTGCTGGTGTCGAGTGTTGTCTTTGGTTCCTCGGGGTCGTTACTACACTAGCTAGATAGAAGGCAATATCATGAAGTAACAAGCGATTGCCACACACCCCCAATTTCTCTTGACCCCAACCCCCGCTGCCGAAACGAGCTGTAGACCGCGGTTAATCACAAGCTCTCACTCGACGAGTGATCAGGTGACCGGGTGACCGAGTGACCGAGTGACCGAGTGACCGAGTGACCGAGTGACCGGCTGTGAATGAGGACGGCTGATGATGATGAAGGCACGAATGTGCACGGGTCTCCATCTCTCTACTGTAACGTAACTGATGCATACACATCGCACTCGTCTCGGCTTGCAAACGCATGTGTAGCAAGTCCCTGAGCGTCGACGTCATGGAGCGGATCGCCGTTCGGGTCCGAGCGCGCTGTGGTGGGAGTCGTTAGTATTGACGTCATTTGTGTTATACCGCAAGAGTTGGAGCTGTGCACCCGACCCGGGTGTTGGATAAGATCATAGTAAGGATTTACGACCCTTCGAACAAGAGTTGATTCTTTTTACGAATGTACCAGGGCCTTCTCTAACGCCGGGGCTCAACACTCCAAATCTTGTGGTATCATGTGCTGGTGGGTGTTATTGATTGGGGTATATGGCATCATGCTATAGCTATTATCGCTTCATGATCATCTGGCGAAAAATGGTGCTCACCCCGAAAAAGCAGATGTTTGTGTTGCTTTACTAACAGGTCCCGTTATCTCTCTTACGAGTGTGGTCAGATAATAGGGCAGCACCGCCAGACGATAGGATACGCAACGAATCAAATAAATCAGTCAAATCTCGACTTGTGGCTACCACCACCACATATTAAGGCCTCCAACAAGTTGGTTTGGGCTGAAAAAAAACCTCACCTATCGGCATGTGAGCCGAGAATCGATATTAGTGAAGAATAGATCACAATCAGGACTCATTTGCTGCGTGTGTTGGGCTGGATATAAACCCATCATCTCCCGCATGAACTATACCCGTACCCGCACCCAGCAAATAACCTCGCAATACTCCGCACGACCTACCTCTCAACTTCTTCTCTTCACCCGTATCCTCGCCCACCAAACTACCCCATCATCTACCGCACAAACTCCTTCCATCACCCACATCCTCGACCGCCAAACATGCATGACACAATCCCCACCTCCAGCACTCCCACCGAGGACATTTCTCCCCTCAGCGAGAAGTATATCACCTACGTCGAGTGCCTGGCATGGAAAGAGGGCTACTGCGAAGCCATGTCCGAGATGATTGACCTGTTGCAAGTTGAAAGGGCCAAGCTAGATGATATGAAAGATCGGGTGTCTACATTCATCCGCGAGGGATTGAGGGAAGGGGACGATCTCAATGAAATGGTGGGGGTGGTGTCCCGTGTGCTTGAGACTGAACGGCACATTGAAAATGTTAGGAAGATTGTAGCGGAGGTTTTGCGGAGGGGTATGGAGTAGATATTGATTGAAAGGATACGCCGGGGCGGAAGAGATCGAGATTTGGAAGAGGGTTGAAGTCTTTCTCGCGATGCGGTATTTATTATTTTAGCTCTGTCTGCTGTGTATGATGTATTGCTATGTTCTCCAAGTCTCATCAGCAGAGTAAATACACAATTTAAAATCAAAACCATGTTTCAAAACTGGAGTTAAAGTTTGGGTGATAACGAGTTATGACATGAGTGCCTAGAACACAACGGAGATAGGTGTTCCCGGTGCATAGAGAGATATAGATAACAGCCGGGGGAGCCTATCACAAATACTACTACATTCTCTCTCACTTGCAAGTAGCCTATTACACATCCAACAAATTAGTCTGAGCTAAACAAACTTCACATACCCGCATCCACATATATGAGCCAGAAGTCGATATATGTGCAATCATAATCAGGACTTTTAAATTTTCTCACACTTTCAGGGTATGGTCTTTGTGATCTCTCTATCGGAGGTTTTGCTCAGATGCAGGATATAGCAGTGATGATGATTGGATTAAGGAGGTGCCGCAGCGTAACTCTATAGGCTCTACGAAACTAACAAATGCGTATATAGCCGAGTCCAGCGACGTAACCGCTGCAACCTGTTAAAACGAAACACATATCCGAATACCCTGCACCACAACTTGAGTGTTGGGCTTGATATATAAAACCAACACCCCCCACACTACCTATCTCCAACACCCTCTCCCTCCCTATTATATCCCCCGCCAAATAGCCCCACAACACAATGCCCCACTTGCACAACGACGGCTTCCGCAGAGCCATGTACGACATGGTGCAGGTCCTGCTCACGGAGTCAGGGGAGGTGGGCGAACTGATTCGCCGGCTGTCTAGCTTCGATAAAGAGAGGGAGGGGATTTCAATGATGTGGATATGGTGGCTTATGTTTCCGGTTATAATCGGGCCCTTGATAGTATTGTTTGTAAGATGGTAGCGGAGTCTATGCGGTGGGAGAGGTAGACTTTGATGAAGGGGACGTGCCGGGGCCGAGTAGGAGCAGTTGGGATGGGATGGGTGGCCAAGTTGGATTTTTGAAGAATGGGGTTTCTTGCTGGTGTTTGGTGCTCATCGGTGGTGTCTTTGTCTTTTCCGGCTGTGTGTGGCACTTTTTAAAGCTCTGTTTGTAGGCCTTATCCCGGTACTCTCCGAGTCAGCGGAGCAAATACACATTATTTTGGTCTCTTTAAGTTATTGCCAACATCGTGATCTGACGGAGTCGTATGATTGGTACCACTTTGTGACATCTCACATTCCGCAAAGATCCACACACAAACAAGCAGCCGTTTTCCAATAACCTGGTGCAAGCTTCGGTGTACCGGCGCTGAAAGGACAGAGTGACCACTGAGCTCTATTCCGGCTGAAATGCGTGAAAAAAACCATCGACTGATACCTGTTGATGCTCCACTTCACCTCCAGATATCACGATCCCAATCTAGGACTCTTGTTGTCATTTGAAAGACTTCCCCGCTCTGGGAGAGGATATAGTGAGAAAAAGTTGCTATATTGGCCGCTCTCAATCAAAGATAAAAATGTAAATTCAATTCGACATCTGAACAGTATTCTAATCCCTAGTACGGTGATGCTTACAATGCTAGGAAAGGGACAGAGACAAACGGAACATATAAACTAAGGCCACCCGCTCTGGATTGCCATTCCTTTTACAGCGCCGTGACACATACCGTCTTAGTGACATTGTAGAACCTCCACAAGCCCCGAAACATGTATCAGGTAAAGAGAAAAAACAAGGACAAAAACAAAAGAGTTCGGTATCCAGGATTCCCGCATGGTCACCCACTGCAGTACTAACTGGACGATACGTTGTTTGGGTATGGCAGAGCGGACGGGATGCCCCATTCTCAACGTTCTATGACCGAACACGTGATTCCTGCGCACTTTTTCAGTTTCGAACGGGTGAGTGGTCATGACCGGATGCTGGCCGAGTGATTTTACATGATGCAATTACTCAACGATTGATTGATCTTGTTAATTAATTTGCAAGTACTCAACGAATCAATGCCTTAGACCCTTTATTCTTGGTCCTATTGGGCTCTGTTTGGATTTCCGTAATCGTGCTTCCGGAATGAGTCTTTCTTTGAGGAAGGATCGAATCATGCGTCGCCACTCACTGGCGGAACCAGACATTCAAAGTCCGTAATGTCAGATTGGTTTATGATCGTATTGGTGAATATGAAAACCTACCGGAAGTCCTATATATTACTACATAGCAGCCTGCACGTTTATCGATTTGGCAGTTACGCCGTAGCCTACTCCGAGAATGGTTGAGGCCCGGCCACCAAAGGGCAAACACTTTTTTTGCATAGAGAAAGCTTTAAACATCGAGGGTGTTTTAAGGAACGGTTTGAGAACTGACGTGTTGGCATGTCTATTAGAGTTTTATCGTTACAACGCACATTGGAGTCATAGTGTCTGTCAGTGACACTTGTCTCAAGTTGTCTCGAGCTTTCGTCTTGAGCTCTTAGGGCTTAAAAGCTCAGCTATACCACACAATGATTTGGCTCGAGTGTTGTCCAGTGCTCGATCTGTGTAGGCTCGTCGGTCACCTTAGCACATCCAAGTGTTAAAAGATCATTTGCCCCCAGGTTTCTAGCGGGACTGTTGCTTAACGCCGTTTCCTATCCAAACTTGTTCCGTCCAAACTGTCCCTTTGCGCTCCAAAAACCAAACCTACCCAAACTAAGCACAAAAAGAAAACCAAAGAGTTCGGTATTCAGGATTCCCACATGGTCACCCACTGCAGTACTGACTGAACGATACGATGTTTGTGTATGGCAGAGCGGACGGGATGCCCAATTTTCATCGTTCTATGACCGAACACGTGGCTTTTGTGCGCTTTTTCGTTTTTCAAACGGGTGAGATTTCATGATTTCGACCGAGTGATCTCGCGTGATTTCGGCCGTTGTCGTTGTCGTACACTGTGGTAGCGCTTGCCGCCGCCTACATGTAGCCACATGATAGTTTGAGCTCTGATATGTGATAGGGCTTAGGGTTCGAACTGCTACTATGGGTTCGCCTCCAGGAACTACTAGCGGGTGCGGTCACAAACCGTCACCCGCACGCACCCACAGTCCTTAACATATTTTCCTACCTGTGCCCGCCTACCTGTACTGCCCGCCTAGAGTATAAAAGGGTATATAGTAATAAAAGCAAACAAGTTTGTACGCGACAACCACAGATAGGGCACACACTCACGCTGGGACGCTTAGCGTATCAGAGGGGCAATATTGAAGTCTTTGTCAACAGAGCTCACTCTATTACACCTCCTGTATGCGCCTCGAAGTCGGCGTCTTCGTCTGGCCTGACTGTGGAAAGACTAAACCTTACCCGTACCTGATTTAGGCCTGAGTGGGCTGTATATCCGTATGTACATGTATCGCTGGTGCAGGGATTGTTCGGGGGCTTTTCCGGATTTCAATCCTCTTATAACGCTTTTTAACACTTATTTCATCCTTAAAACATGTGAATATCACACTCCCGAGGTTCATAAAGCAGATACCAGCAGCATCCGACAAGCCACTATGGCCGAGTGGTCTAAGGCGGCGCACTTAAGTTCTCTGGGACTGATCTGCGTTATCGAAAGATGCGTGCGTTCGAACCGCACTGGTGGCATTACTTTTTCTTCCTGCACTGTCTGGGTGGCTTACGCGTACAGCAAGCGGGAAGGCAGGACGACCCGACACGCGCGGGCCCTCAGCGGGGTTCTGCAGGTCGATGTCAGTTCGGCGTCTGCAGATCAGATCTGATCTGGTTATGTATGCGGGATGCATTGCTCGGACGCGACGGGATCACGCAACGTCACTCGTTATTGGTTCTCGGTGACGCGATGCATGCCGCTACTTGCAGTGTTGGCAGCCATCATATGAAAAGGGGTGCTTTGTCGCTGCATTGCGCTCTACCCCATTCAAGCCTCTACCCGGAAAAGAAATCAGTACATAGTGGATGATGGTATAAGACGAGTGACACTCCATGATACAAACACAATCGCACGTGAAGGTCGGAGTTATTAATGGAATGTTTATTGCATGTCCTGGTACTGGTAGTCACAAATGCAGTATTCTACGATGGACACTCAACAAAGCCAGGCAGCGGCGTTATGATGCCCCTGGTTTCGGGAATGAAATTGTCAGTTTCCGTTTCCGTTCTAAACACACCTCCACCCACAGGCCTGCAAGATCGTGGTGTTCACAGTCTAGCTTGACTACATGTAGACGTGTCACCATCATATTTACCTACAAGTATGTAGAGATACTCCGATCCTGTCACACCAATGACATGTGGAGGACAAGTGGCTACTAGTAGGTAAGTGTATTAACCGATTTTAGACGGTCACCCCTTAACACAACGATCATCTCACCTCTTTCATCCTGCAACCTCTTTCGACCTCCATCCCTACAGATTTGACAGTTCATCGGTTGGTTGATCGATCATGATTGCCCACTCTTGATTGGACGAACTCTGCTTAGTAAGCGTGACTTTCTCGTCAGGGCAATCCACAAGGGTGCACCCATACTAGCGATGTTTGGGATTTCCCCAGGGGCCAAAGCGATCGATTGGTCCTTGTTCTTAAGCTTATTTTTGTGCAGAAAACGGGGGTAAGCTGCATTTGTGGGGAGGGAGGGGGTGAAAAGGAAACCGCGTTTTCTGGATCTATTGACGAGGCGTTTGCATGGAGGACTGATTGGTGGGTGCTATGGAGATTTTATTCTATTCGTCACGCTTGGCGAACGACCTCTTCTTCTGCAGCTACCTGCTACCAGGCCTTTGGGTTGCGAAAAAACGAAACAAATTAAATTCAGGCTGAAGTTGGACTGGCCACCCAAGACGGCAATGGCCTAGAACACTGCTGATTGCGCTACATAGATCGGAATGATCGTTATTCCGATTATCACGCACCAGCAGATGTGATGTTTGCGCAGCGAGTAATAAATACATGCAGAACAACCGTTGTGTTCGACCCCCCAATCCCTACCCACCCACATACCCGTGAGTGATGTCGGTACTTGTGATCTGCTGAAGGAGGATGGATGGGGGGGGTGGATGATAGGTTGTGTGCCTGTTACTCCGTACTCCACATACCGGCTGACTCACTCGCACCACCCTCCTCGCACCCTGATCCGGGCCAGAGCTCACACACACCCGCTCATGCTCACTCACTTTCTCACCGGCGGGCTGGCTGGCTGAGCAGAAGGAATTATTACCATTGCTATTCATTCTTATTGCCTGTCCTGCTGCTGGCTCTTATCATCTCCCCCCCCCCACCATCACCACCACCATCATCATCATCACCATCATCAGCATCATCGTCATCCCATCCACACATCCATCGGTCGCATCCCAACCCAACAAGCGAGCAACCTAAAAAATAAAATAAACCAAACAACAACGAACGCCACACGCACCTCTTCGACAGGGTTTACTACTAAACCCCCAACCCCCAATCTCAAAACCCCCCCCCCCCCCAAAAAAAAAAAAACAAAGACCCACAATGACACCCTCAAGCACGGCAAGCGAGGACCGTATCGTGCGAGTCCGCGCAATCAGGGCCTGCATCTCGTGCCGTAGCCGTAAGATCCGCTGCGACCAAGTCCGCCCGTCGTGCGGCTCCTGCACGCGCGGCAACATCCACTGCGAGTTCCCCAGCCAGGCACGACGGCCTCCGCGGCCACGCCAGCCAGATGCAGTGCTGGTGCAACGTCTGGCAAGGCTGGAGAGTGTGATCGAGCAGTTGAGCTCGGGACGGGGACAGTCGGAGGAGACGGACGACACGTTGTCGCCAGGGAGAAAGTCAAGTGGGAGTGGCACAGAGAGTGTGAGTGGTGGAAATGGAGATATAAGGAGTCCGAGTGCGCTGGACGATCTGGAGGCGGGCGTGGGGAGGTTGTTAGTTAGTGATGGGAAGAGTCGTTATATTGGGCCCAACTTTTGGGCATCGCTTTCGGAGGAGGTGGGTTATCCTTAGTCTAGCTACTTGACTTGCGTGGTTTGTGCTGTACTGTGTCTGTCGATGGGATGGATACGGATATGGATATGAAAGGAGAAATGCGTGACAGCACTGATGTTGTGGAAACCCAGGCTGCAGATCTCAATTCGCTCCTCCACGAGACCCAGGAAGATGAGCCCGAACCGCCATCGCCCAGCTTCGGGGGCCACCCTTCGTTCTTCGCGCGCACCTATCCCACGGACCTCTCCATCTACCACCTGCCCGTGGCGGTCTCGCAGCATCTCTACGATACGTACGTGCGGGCTGTCGACCCGCTAGTTCGTGTCATCCACAAGCCGACGTGCGCGCGCCAGCTCGCGACCTTCCATGCGCTCGGGTACGAGTCGGCGAGTAAGGATTTTGAGGCGCTGCTATTTGCAATCTACTTTGCGGCCATCACGTCGATGCTGCCGGCGAGGGTCGTGGAGCTGTTTGGCTGCGATAAGAAGGCGATGTTGACGAGGTATCATGTGGCGGTGGAGCAGGCGCTGTCGAACGCGAGGTTTTTGCAGAGTGAGGAGTTGATGCCATTGCAGGCGCTTGTGCTGTTTAACGTATGTTCAATTTCCGTTTATGGATTGTTATCTCCCCCCCTCCCTCCACTTTCAACCTCTGATGGGGGGTTTTTTTTAGGCGTGTCTACGCGGAGGGGAAGATACTCGGACGTCGTGGACCCTCGTTGGCCTCGCGGTTCGAATAGCGCAGTCGCTCGGCCTCCACCGCGATGGCTCCCATTTCCCAATCACAGCGTTTGAAACGGAAATCCGTAGGCGCCTCTGGTACGAGATCTGTCTCCTCGATTTCCGGACGGCCGAGGACCACGGCTGCGACCCGAGCATTCTCTCCATCTCGTACGACACCAAGATGCCGCTCAACATCAACGACGACGACCTCACCGAGGACAGCGTACCCGTCTCGCGGAAGGGACACACGGAGATGACGTTCTGCCTGTTGCGGTTCGAGGTGCTGGGGTGCTATGGCTTCCTGTTCCGTAACGATGGGAACGTCAGTCTGGCAGAGAGGGAGAAGCGGATAGAGGATACAAGACTGAGAATGTTTGAAAAATACCTGAGGGAGGTGGACCACACGGAACCCCTGCAGAAGGTGACGTACACGGTGTGGAAGCTGATGATGGGCAAGGCCTTGCTGAGCCTGTATCACCCATTGCGACACTTCAAGGACGGGGAGTTCCTATCCAAGGATCTGAAAGAGAGGTAATGCCCCCCCCCCCCCCCCCCGAATGAAACGGAGCAGGCAATTGACAACCACCCCCCAGACTGTTTATAGCCGCGCTAGAAACGCTCGAATACGGTGCCGCCTTTGCCGCCAACTCGCGCTCCCACGGTTACGCGCAGTGGAACTGGTTCTTCCAGAAACACGGGCACCCGCACTCCCTCGCGCTGGTGCTCCTCGAGCTTAACGAGCGCCCCATCTACGACTCCAACGGGCTGTACGACCGCGCCTGGCGCGCCGTAGATGGCTACTTCAACAGGGACCTATGGTCCATGGGGAAGCCTGTGCTGTCGGAGAAGATATGTCTCTGGAAGCCGCTGGGGCGGTTGAGAGACAAGGCGCTGAAGCGGAGGGCGAAGATCATGGCGGAGGAGGGGTTGGGGGGCGTGGAGGTCGGGAAGGTGGAGGTGGGGAATGGAAGCGGGCTACTAGAAGAGCTGGTGGGGACGGAGGAGTGGGGGTCGATGGAAGATTCTCCTCCGATTGATTGGGTAGGTGGTTTTGGTGGTGGTAGTGTTGGTGGTTATAGTGGTGGTGGTGGTTTGGAGTTGTGGTGGTGAGAGAGAGGATGATAGCTAACTAACGGGTGGCGTAGAATGCATGGGATGATATGTTTACGACCACAACGATGGAGTTCGAGTAAGGACGGGACGGAACGGGGAAGGGACGGAACGGGAAAGGGGCGGGGGATTGGTTGGGGGCCGGGGGGAGTTGCTGTTTGACTATGTGGGGTGTTCTGTGCAATTGGTTGAAACATAACGGTACGGTGTTTTCGGTGCAATGCTTCACATTTGACTTTTTTCCTCTCTCTTATTTTCTCTTCTCTTTTCTATTCTTTTTCTTTTTCCTTTTCCTTTTCTTTTTTTTCTCTTGAGTTTTTGGAGCCTCGAAGTTGACTACCAACATATGTATCTACAATCTATAAGAATAAATAAAAACCTCCCTGATTTTTCTCTAGATCTGCCCACGGCCCCCAGAACAACACAACAAGACGTACGGGCCCACTGGCAGCTAAGCGGATGAATGGCCGGCTGGATCCCTCGAATTAACCATCAAAACCGCCCAACCACCCACACTTTCGGGCAAGGGCACATTTCCATCTATTTATTGATTACCGTACATACAGCACCCCACCTCGGCGACCCTACACTACTGCCAATACATCACACACTTGACTGATCCCCGGACCCCTGGTCCCCGGGTTTCCTAATATGCGGCCCATGCCCAGCCAACCTGTCAACCGTCAAACCCACACACCCAGCCCGTTTCCCCACACCAGAGCGAGCGCCAAGACGGGGGCGGAAAATTACACGCTAAGTAGTTGCGTCGGCGATGGGGTGGTGGATGACTAAGACACCTCTTGGGCACGTTCGGGGACCTGGGGAGCCAATCATTGGGTTGACTAGTTTTTTTTTTTCTTAGTGCGCTGCGTCAATGACCTCGCCGACGTCGAAATTAAGGAAGCCGAGCAGGCCGAGAAAGCCACGAATGGAAGTGGAGTGAGCGAAGGAAGGGGAAAGGGAAGAAGGGAAGATCAAAGGAGTGACTTAGGGGTGACTTAGGGGTGACTTGAGGATTCCAGTGGGTTGGGCGGAATTCTAATGTGTGCGCGGGCAGATAGAGTGTCGGAGATGGATATTTATAAAGGGTAGTAGATCTCTTTGTTTCACTCTGATGTCAAATACTCACTCCCCCACCGCCCCCAAGAAAGCTCTCTATTATCAAATACCAAATAAGTATTTACAGCACCTACTACAGTCCAAATGTTCACCCCCGTCGAAACCACCATCGGCGCCCTCCTCCTCCTCCAATCCACCACCACCCTCCTCCTCACCACCGGCCAGCCGCTCGGCGCCTCCTCCACCCTCGGCACCACGCTCACCTCCCCCTCGCTGCACAACCTCCCGCTCATAACAGGCATGCTCCTCGCCACCACGGCCACCTCCCACCTTGCTCCGCACCTCCTCCCACCGTCCTCCCCCGCCGTCTCCAACCCGCGCTACATCCTCGCCGCACTCCTCGTCGGCGCCGGAACACGCCTGGCAAACGGATGCACGTCCGGCCACCTCCTCTGCGGCGTCCCGCACCTGTCTATCCGCTCCATCGTCGCATCGGGCGTCTTCTTCACCACTGCCGCTATCACAGCAACGCTCTCGTCGGTGTGGTATAACACCACCCCTGGATGCCCTGGCGGCCTGCCATGCTACACACCCTCCTACCCGACCTCCGCAGAGACAAGCACCCTCCTCGCAATCCTCGCGGCCACAACCCTCGTCTCAGCGGGAACATTCCTCCTCCCGCGCGGACGGGCGTCGCATGCGCTGGTGCGCGGCTGGGTCGGCGTTACATTTGCCCTCGGGCTACTGATCTCGGGGATGGCGGACGCCACGAAGCCGCTTCGCTTCTTGACGTTTCGGCGGGAGCTGTGGGATCCGAGTCTGATTATGGTAGTGGTTGGTGCGGTGGTGCCGTCGATGGTGGGGTGGGGGTGGGGGGTGCGGCGGGTTGGGAAGCCGGTGGTGGGCGGGGAGTGGATGGTGAGGGGGAAGGAGGTCGGGGCGAGGCTGGTGGGCGGGAGTGTGCTGTTTGGGCTGGGGTGGGGGATGGCGGGGGTGTGTCCGGGGCCGGGGGTGGTGGGGCTGGCGGTGGGGATGGGGGGTGTGGCGGTGGGGTGGGTTGCGGCGTTTTGGGTCGGATGGGGTGTGGCGGGGTGGTTTTAGGGGGGGTTTCTTTGTCGGTGCGGTGGTGGGGGGTGTTTTCTTTGTTCTTTCCCCCCTTCATTACGGCAGACGCTGATTTATTTTGTGTATAACCTTTCTATATTCTTATCCATAGATTAACGCCATAGATTACCAAACTCCATAGACTTACCATAGATCCAATAAATAAACCCTAGCTTTAGTAACATCTTCATATCCAGTAGTAACTCCAGTGAGCTTACTTCTACTAAACATAGGTATACTACCACCAAGGTAACCACCAACAGCTTAACTGCCGCCCCCCCCCCAACCCCATAGCTGAAACAGTAATAGCAGTTCGCCGTAGAGTTCAGTTCGCCGGCAAACATGCGTGGTGCGCAAACTGGGGGACAAATTAACCGAGACAAATATCTGATCATGTTCCGGGCACTTCTACAGATCTCAAACAGAAGCAGAAACAGACCACATACCGGGACTACCCAATTCCATCGGTTTCACACCAAACCTCGATCCTAGATCCGACTAAAATCTATGCGCAAACAGACTCACCTGTTTGTGTCAGTCTCACCACACCACCAAACCAAAAAGACCAACCGACCAACAAAACCTACCACGCAAACCAAACTTAACACCAAACGTGAAAACAAAAAATTAATGACAGAAGTGGGACTTGAACCCACGCTCGTTTCCGAACCAGGATATTGATGTTAAGAGTTAAGACCTTAACCTGGCGCCATAACCAACTCGGCCATCCTGCCATGGGTTCTCGATTCCTACTATTCCCTCTTGAAATTACCCCCTCCCCCAAAACTCAACTAATAATGGCCAAGCCAACAAACCAATCCTGGGCGCTTGGCCAAACTTCACCCGGGTTCCAGGGGCGGTGACGCAATCTGTGCCACAAACGGCGTGCCTCATTTGCTGAAACCTTAATTTGACTTCATGGTTGTAACCTGCGTGTGTGATGGCATCGGGCGGGGATTGGCAGGTGGTGCGTGGGACCGGGTTGGGAAGGTGTGATTGGAGGAACGCATTTGAGCGGATAATTTGGCATGGGTGCTGGGATATTCCTCTTTCCTAGGTTGTTGGTAGCACACCTCGCACCTATTTTCATGTACTTACCTGGTAGGGCTGCGAGATACAACTGTGGGGTAAGAAGTACGCCCAGAAAACTAACTCTCGCGCCTGGTAAAAAGGCGCGACAAGAGGCCTACTCAAGCTGAGCAGAAAAAATAGCAAAAGAGTTCGGTATCCAGGATTCCCGCATGGTCACCCACTGCAGTACTAACTGGACGATATGATGGTTGTGTATGGCAGAGCGGACGGGATGCCCAATTTTCATCATTCTATGACCGAACACGTGATTCCTGCGCACTTTTTCAGTTTCGAACGGGTGAGTGGTCATGAACCTTGACCGAGTGATTTCTTGTGATATCGGCATGTCTTACAGTCGTTCGCGGGGACCTTTCTCTTCGCACTAGCTTAGCAGGGCTCCTGTCTGCTATTATCGGTGCTAGCCTCACTCCGTGAATAATCGTACACTGTGTTATTGCTACAGTCCTCTCTCGCTATTCCATAAACCGTCGATGCTGACACCACTCTTGTGAGACAAAAGCCACAACAAGATCGAATAAGAGATCAGCAAAACCATTAGAAATTATTGACTCTAGCCACGTCTTATCCAGGTGGACGAAGCGTCGAGGGGTTATGGGATAAGGACCAGAATTATATATTCTTCTGGCTTACAAATGATATACTACTATGTAAGTACGAATCCCTTCGTCTACCGAAAAATGTCGCCCTCCCTAAGGTTGGTTCCGGGAGTGTCTTTTCCTCGCTGATCCCTTTATTTTCGTTATCGATTGCTTGATATCTCACCACGATTGCGACCCTTTATGATGATATGGTGGGCAGAATCGGCGGATGGAGGGATAGCGAGAGACTGTTGTATCTTTTGCACGATCATGTTCGCGCGATGAAAAGACTGGCTACATGCGCCATGCGTACATGTATCCCACTACGGTCCGTCATACTGACCCTCCTTGAAGTCTAAATCGATAAAAGGATAATCCTCTGTTTTGGCTAAGGGTCGGATTAAACGTGCCGTTCTCTGCTGCGCTACTTATTCCGTGCGGGCCAAAAGCTACAGCAAATCCGGGCGAGAGATTGGGCAGAGGGTGATTCAGATCGAAGAGTTGATAAGGATATCTTAGCACCAGTCACCTTTTGGTCATCAGGAAGGAGGGTCAACATGTCTTGACGAGTTGTGAAATACCCATACTCCTGACCCTATTTCCCCACCAATATGTATCTGTGGGTGTTCCCGCGGGGAGGCGAAGGCGCGTAAAAAGAGACACCAAAAAGAGTTCAGTATCCAGGATTCCCGCATGGTCACCCACTGCAGTACTAACTGGACGATACGACGCTTGGGTGAGGCAGAGCGGACGGGATGCCCCATTTTCGTCGTTCTATGACCGAACACGTGATGGCTGCGCACTTCTGCGGTTTCGAGCGGGTGAAAGTTTGTGATGCGGGCATGTACTTACATCTAATGAAGACCGAGTGATTGCTTGTGATTTCAATGTTCCACGAAGGAGGTCGTGGTACTAAATAGGATATGCGCAGGGATGAAGTACACTCTAGGAGGCTGGTCCATATCGATATAATTTAATTTCCTTATTTAGAGGTACATAGATGCGTATACTAAGATGTAATCATGTAAGGCGAGTTCTATGGAAGCAATCAAGTGGTGCTACCGTCTAAAGGCTAATAATACTACACTGTAGTGTAGACACGATAGCAAGAACGGTGATGGTGAAGGGCCAATTCAGTCCACGGAGCACCTTGGGGCTAAAAAGAAGGGGGGGGGGGGATTATCGACTCCAGTGTGGTCCACGAGGCGCATCGAGGCGAGGAAGATGGGGCGTACCGAGAGCCCCCGCCTCTGAGGAGACCTGCTCTGGGTTGCCTCGAGCCATATACACCTATGCCTCGAGCTGTCTCGATGCTCCTCGAGACAGATCTTAGCAGCGGGTTCTCAATAGTTCTTGTCTAGCTCGATTTGATCCCCCGGGATATATATTTATACGTGTATCTCCGTTTTAGAAGCCTGAAAAGTATATCTTGTGTTAAATCGAGTCGACTCGAGTCGAGGAATATACCATGTATCGAGGTACATCGGCCTCATCGAAGGGTATACCTCGTGTACCTCGAGGCATTTGCTTCGAGGCGAGGCACGAAGTACTTCGCCCTCGTGGACCACACTGATCGACTCCATGCCTTCACTTTCATTATTTTGAAATAATAGGCAACAAGTTGCATATTTAGCTGCTCGACTACTAATATAGCCAGCCTTCTCATAGCGCCGGCTTGATCGTGCAAAAACAACGTAGCACTAGCATTACGGCCCAAAGAGGGTTTTTTTATAAGTTTCAACTTATAAAACTCACCAAATTCTTAGACAAACCATAGTTTTATAAGGCCCTCTTCGGCTGGTAAATGAATCCATTTTTAAGTGTGATATCAATCTTATTTCATGCTTCAATAACGCTTATCGGAGCATTATTATTGATAAAGGACTTGGTAAAGTTTATTCGAGGCTTGTAAAAACCCCGCACGCATTCCGGCGTTAAAATACTGAGACCACAGCATAACTCCCCACAGGGTAAGGGTAGTTCGCCCAAATCACAAGAAATCACTCGGTCTCCACATTCCGCATCACGAACTCTCACCCACTCGAAACCGCAAAAGTGCGCAGCCATCACGTGTTCGGTCATAGAACGTTGAAAATGAGGCATCCCGTCCGCTCTGCCATACCCAAACAACGTATCGTCCAGTTAGTACTGCAGTGGGTGACCATGCGGGAATCCTGGATACCGAACTCTTCTGTCGTGTCTTTTTGCTGGCATCTTGGTTAGGTACTGGTAGGTAGGCCTCCCATTGTCTTTTGCGAGTTCCCGCCACCGAATAGCGTTAATAGACACACTTTAGCTATAGATCTAGGATAGAGTAGCGTACTCCAACTACACTCCCGGCTACTGAGGTGTTGTCGCCGGAATTAGTAAGTCTTTCATAACTGTTGTCAATTGCCAGGCCTCGAGGCTGTTTAAGGTGACCCATTCTTGAGACTTGGGACTTGGGTGGGAAGGATTATTACTAGCTGGCTCCTACCCTGCGAAACTATGCTAATCTATCACCCCTCTCCCCCACCGGTAGTTATAAACTATTAGTACAAGCGAGTCCGGCATTTAGACCTGTTATCATCCAAGTCCGCTGCCGCCTAAACCTGCTACTACTCACTGATTCCTAGCCTCATCCATCTAATCCCATCTCATCGCGCACAACGCAACCCCCCCCCCGGTAAGTCCTCCGAATAGTGATGTCCATGAGATAAGGCGAGACTAGATTGATAGTTTCGCCTCGTATCCTGTTGGCGAGGGACAGGTCTCGGGGGTCTCGGGACGTCTCGAGACTATCGCAAGATAATCGCGGTCTCGTATTTTGAATAGCACTGTTGTACTAAACGGCTCCAATCGAGAGACTATTTGAATTTGGGCCAAATGTATAGGATAGTCAGGTGATCGATCAAGTGCAAGTTTTTTTGTTTTTTTTTGGGGACCATGGATCAACAACCACTGCTGGATCTGTAGAGCGGGCGAAAGTCTTGGATTATCTCTTGAGACCTACATCAGTCTCATCGAGAGATAATTTATCCTGCCGAAATCGCTGTATATATTGCTAGGTCTTGTAGACAGGTCTCGAGACAAGAGCTCGAGACGTCTTGGCTCGTGGCCATCACTACGCGTATAGACCCATTATCGCCCGTGTCCACCACCGCCTAACCCTGCTACTACGCACTCAGTCCTAGCCCATCCGTCCCCATCCCATCTCATCACGCATAATGCAAACCCCCCAGGCCCTCCGAAACCTTCAGCTATCCCAGATATATAATACTCTACTATCAAGAAGCCCACACGCATCCCCGGGCCCCCTCCTATGCGGGTTTTATATCAAACACCTAGAAGTATTTTGGTACAGGTATCCCCTCGGAACATGCGCTGGCTATTGAAGGTAACGTTTTGACGGCATTGTAATCATGGATTGTCACTCGGTATAATATGTCTTGGCATTTTGTCTTGGCATTTTGTCAATCATAATCGGTTAGCATCACGTATAAGAAGATGAAAGTTCTCCCAGGAGTGTTGGCTCGCCAAATCATATCTCACGAAGCCGTGTAGCTCACTTCTTGTATATCTCCAGATTTTCTGGTAATATTTAACTATTGTAAGGAACTACAAGAGGGTACTGCTAGACATCTCAGTACCAAAACTTAAAACAAGATTCCCCGCGCAAAAGGCGTAGGAAGCTCAGCCCTCTCAGCTCTTCACATACCCCAACCAACCTACGTATACACAGCAGCTGAGGTCAGAAAACACTGATTCACTAAAGACGCTCCTCCGCCCCCACAGCACAAGACACTACTCTATAATCTGTAACCACACACCCCCACTACTCCGCCGCCCCATCCCTCCTCATCGACGAGAACGTGGAATGCTCAACACCGGCTTCATAAGCCCACCTATCCCGCACTCCCGCGCCACTCCCCGCCTTCTCTACAACCGGCTGCGCAGCTCCCCCGCCACTGGCCTTAGAGGACTCGCCGCCCCGGTTCCGCAGCCTGTATTTTGTCTTCGGGCGCTTTTGTTCGGTAGGTTTGGGCTGGGTGGTTTCTTTCCCGTCGACATTACCGTCCACGAATTCACTGGTCCCTTGATTCGCTGTTTTGACTGCTCCACCCACCATTATAATATTCCCTTCACTTTGGGGTTTGGCCTTGATTTCACTGCTTCCGTTGAGAAGCCCACGGTCCTTCATGTCTTCATCGGACGGCTTAGATGCATCGTCATGCTCTCCTTTTGTGGGTGCCTCCGAAGACCCCCCCGAGCTCTCGCTCTCAAAGCGGCCAGCCTTATGACCTTCTCCATCACTCGAACTCAACACCTCTCCCGCCTTTCTCTTGGCCACCATCTTCTCTCCTCCGGTGATGGCACTTCGAAAATCCCCAATCTCCCCCTTGTCACTCTCCAAATCCATCTGGTCCGCATCCTGGCCCTTCAACTCCCTAAGAAACCTTTTCATACCTTCACGCTCAATCCGAGCTCCGGTGATCTTGTCCTCGAGCGTCTAGACAATCAGCATCATTCTCTCGTACATAAACACCGCCCATCAGAAAAGACTCACATCTATATGCTCGTACATGACACTCAATGTGCTTTCCAGCTCATTCAAACGCGCGCCATTGATCTCCAATGCGCGGTTTACGGCTCTAATCATCCTAGGTTTGTAGCCCTCTTCACCTATACACGGCTCCTCACCGTCATCCGCTTCCTCAGGGCCGGACCCCGGATGGGCCAGTAACCACCTGATCTCCCTTTCACCCTTAGCGGCGTCCCATGGTCCCAACGAGTCTTCCGCGGGCTCCAGGGCTAGGATAGGTATGCTCATCCTAGTGGGGGTTTCGGGGCTGTGCATACCCCTAGAAGGTGCAGGGTCCTGGGGCTCGCCAGGCACGGTGGGGAGGGCATAGGAGTTTGGCGTTTCTGGGGAGGTCTGAGGTTGAGGAGGGTAAGGGGGAGGCGTTTTAAGCTGAATAGCTAGGCGGTGGGGTAAACGTGGAGGTGTGATTAGTTCAGGCGCTAGGCGGGCAAAGAGGTCGGATAGTTGGGACGACGGTACTTCGGATACGCGGTTGGGGAAACCTTGGGGTGCAGTTGGTCTAGGCGAGTGGTTAGCATGTGTGTTGGATAGTTGGGACGACGCTGGTCCGCACAATGAGTTAACAGGGGTCAAGGGGGGTTCTGTTGATTCCGGCGTGGTGGCATTTGTGGTTCCTGGTGGTGGGGCGGAGGGGTCGCTGGCTGATAGTGATAACGGGGAGTTGGGGGCGGAGAAGGAGAAGGGGGACATTGCGGATAACGGGGTTAGCGGGGAGGAAGGGGAGGAAGGGGGTGCGGACAACGGAGAGGAAGGGGGGGGAGGGCTGGGGTCGGGGGTGGGAGTGGGGGAGGGGGAGGGGGAGGGGGAGAGGGATGAGGTGGGGGGGACTGGAGAGGAGAGAGGCATGGTGAGATATTGGCTGTTAGATTCGACGTGGAGTGGATAACAACGATGATGATGATGGGAATGCGAGACGGTGAAGAAGAATTCGAAGCACTATTTCTAGCGAGATGGAATTTATCCATACCTGTCGTTTATCTTATTACAATTGCTGGCCTTATTATTAGCCTGACGTGGAGTCCGGAAACGATCACGCTGGCTTGTTGCATTCGCAGTCTTTTGTGGAGAGCCACGCCTGACCATCATCAGGAGCGCCGTGGCTTCATGACGTGACGTTGCTTGAGTTGAGATGGCTTTCATTGCAGTATGATCTCTTGTCCGTTGTTGAAACAGAACAGAATTAACGAGCATCTCAGGGTGTGAACAAACCGCGGCAAACATTGCACCAGCCCAGGGTTGATGAGCGTGCTAACCCACCAGCAGCAGTACGTCTCGGCATGCGAACTTGTGTGCACGTGGGGCAGGTAGCTACATGTAGATGCGAAGTAGCCATGTATGAGTACGAGTAACGTAGCACATGTACAGTAGGCTCTTTAAAGACAGCAAGACAATAAAAAGTAGCAGATAAAAGCAAGACCTCCCCCGGCCCCTGCCATCTCTTCACGTACTCACCTCTTCTAGCCATCAAGACGTCGACCACAGCTTCTATCTACGGGGGGAGCCAGAGATGCCTCTGCTGGGCCAAGAAACAGGCTACTTGCACTAGTCAGTCACATGTAAGCGCGCCGTTAATTAATTCCCTTATCGCAGCCAGGGCCCGGGAAAACTCGCCCAGGGTCCACGCAGGGAGGGATGGATGCCGTCATGAGCACCTTGGGGGCTACAAGCAAGACAGAACCTAACCAGCCAGGTGCATGCAACACAGCAGAACTTACAAGAACGCCGCGATCCTCCTCGCTCCATTCTATCCAACGCCCACTCTCACCACCACACTCTTTAGGCTTACAAGCATCGAAAAGCTCCCCCAGCACGAACAACCCCCATCGAAATCCACAATGAGTTCGAATTCATTCATCGACCCTGCGCTCCCCCCGTGCCCTATCCCGCCCTACCTCCTCACCGACATCCTCCTGCACCTCCCAGACCTCTCCCTCCTCCCCTGCCGCCTCGTCTGCCGCCACTGGAAACACACGCTCGACACCACCCTCCCGCTGCGACGCCGCCTCTTCACCGCACCCCCCTCCCCCTCTACCACCTACGACCTCAACCCCGTCTTCCGCACAATCGACTACCACCTGCACGCCCACCTCGCCGCACGAAGCCACCACACCGGCCCCCTAAAGCACCGCATCGCCTTCCGCCTCAACAACCACTCCTTCCACGACTCGTACGTCGCCGACACGTTCGCGACTGCGCCCGCGGCACGCAGGATCAAGGTGACGCTGTGTGGTGGCTTCTGGGTCGTGGAGCGCGAGCATGGCGTGACGGTGTGGGACTTGATGGCCGGGCTGGATGAGCTGTTTGTCACCCCGCTTTCCCCCCACTTCTAAACAATCTGGTTGCTAACGCGGCGGTGTGGACTGTAGGGTGAAGGAGCGCCATGAGCGACAAGACGGGGTTCAGGCGCCGGCAGCGCGACAGCTGGAGTGGGACTGTACGCAGTTTCCGTAAGTGCCCTTCCTGCGCTTGGAAAACTACAGGACAGATAAACTAACCAAGACATGACATGGCAGATTCGCGGGCTTCCGCATCGTCGCGGCCACAAGCGAAGAGGTACACGTCAAGCCCGAATTCCTAAACCTGTGGGAAGTAACGCGGCGTATTTCGCGCGTGCCCATGGAGGCCATCACTGCGCCGCCGGTCATCACGTTTGATGTCGAGCATGATCTGTAGCAATGGTCACGTAGTGTGGAGTGTGGTGTCCTTTTCTGTTTTGTTTCCTTTTGTGTGTGTTTGCGCGTTTTTCTCTGGGCGGGAGTTTTTTTGCGCGCGTGTGTAAATAGAGTAGATCAATCATAATTTCCCATTCGCGCATGCGCAATCAATGGTGATTATTGGGCAAGAGCCATGGCGAGTGGCTATTGGGCACCAGTGGCGGGCGGTGATTGGTAGTTGCTGATTGGGCGACGGGAGCAAGGTCCCGAACAGCCCCCTTACAGAATATGATCATAATTAATAACACACCAATGATCATCGCGCACATGCACGAATATGCTGTCCGCCGGTGAGCACGGACGGGAAAGTTTATTTCGACCTCACTCGGCGGTGTTGCGCAGGGGCTGAGGTGCAGATGGCGGTGGTGCAGGTGGGTCGCCGGTGGGGATTTGGGGGGGGGGGGGGTGTGGTGGTGTCATGAGAGGTCACTCGTTTGGCTTGGCTTTGGCTGGTGGTGTGGGTGGCTTGGCGGTGGTGTTACGGTAGGTTGGATGGTCACATAGCTCAAAGGTGTCCGGATAGGTAATGGGTAGGGAAGGAGGGGTGGTTAGTTGTACTAAGATACGGAGAAATGAGTATTTGATCGTGTGTGTAGGTATCAATTGCGGAAACACTCAGTGTAGGGGGGGGGGTTCTTGACCCAGTCAACGTCGGGGTGGGTATTAGCCTACCAAGCCTAACCAAACCCGCCTATTTATTATATTATCTAGCCATATACTTTTAATTGTAAAGCCTGAGTGGTCTTGACGATGGTGGATATCGGTGGTGTGTATCGGTGGTACTGTGTACCGGTGGCGCATATTAACCTAGAAGAAGAGTAAGAGGAATTGAACAAGGCAGTTGCGGGTTGTAGCAGGTTAGTAGAATTCTCAGAACAGCTGATCAATACTTGTATGTACTTCGCTCACCCTTTTTTTATTTATCCCTCTCTTCCAGCGCCTGTAGCTGGAGGTCGGGCAAAAGATTACAGTCGTATCCCATACATATATATAGTCTGTTGGTATAAATGCTATCCCCTATAATAGAGGAGTTAGATCTTTATTCGATATCCAAGATTGACAAGAAACATAGCAGGATCTGTTAATTCTTGGCACTAACATCGGGGGGTCAGTATTTTATAATTTCCTGGCAACTCTAGACCAAGGGATACTCATGCGCTGAGCAATGAGGCCGAGTTCTTTGGCGTTGTTTCTCCTTGTGTCTGTCTTGAGTCACACTGATACAGTCGAGTCGCCCTATAAGGGTACCTCTTATCCCTTAAACCGTCAGGCCGAATTCAAATAACAGGATCCAAACGCAATGTGGAAATCGTGATATCTGGAACGCCTACAGGAGCAGCAACGACAGAATCCATCACGAATTTGGTGCTTAGATAATGCGTGATAGATTATCTGTTGCAACAACAACCCACGCACAAATTCTGCGTTCTACACATCACGATTTCCACATTGCGTTAGGATCCTGTTATTTGAACTCGGCCTGACGGTTTAAGGGATAAGGGTAATCGCCTGATAAGGGTATGTGTTCTCGGGCTATAATAATAGCCTTCGTAGACATAGATTCCCCTGTCTATAAGGGTATGCGCCCTATAAGGGTATATACGACTTCGCGCCACATCTGTACCCTTATAGGGCGATTCGACTGTCACCCGTGGCTCCGTAGGTGATGGAATTTGGGGCCAGATTCCTGTGTGGAAAGCATGTGAAATAATAGCTTTACGCTTAGGTATGTCTGGGGAAGAGGAATAAAAAGGGGCCGGAATAGTAGAGAAATAGATACTGGACCAAGTACCCATTCTGTATATCACAACTGACGAAAAGAGCGGCGCTTAAACTGGCATAGTTCCAGATGCCTTGGACAGCTAGCTAGGTAAGCGCTAGCTAGCCTCTGATATGCAGGGCTCGATGATCACTGTAATGTAGAGTAGTTCTGGTATATATCAGCACTGGTGACCGGCTCGCCGTATATATATATGGTCTGTGGTACTGCGGGTTTTTGGTTCTTCACGTGCTACAATGTAGTCAGCAGTGCGGCCGCGGTGTAAATGGAACTGGCCCCAGAACAAGGATATGGTGGGCGGCCCTGATATAGAGTGCAATATAGTTAGAGCACATTGATAAGTTACACCTGTATCGTAGGAATACGGCTGTATTTGTTTTTGCGATATTGACTTCTTATATAATTATTATCAAAATAGTATAGCAGTACCTATTCAAATGGACCTCCGGTCACACAAGACGTCGAAATTGCCGTTTCAAGCCAATATAAGGGTAGATTAAGGGACAACCAAATATAAGAACTTCAATGCCTTGTGTAACCATCATCCGTTCGAATTATATACTGCGGTAAGCCGGAGGAGGCGCAAAGAGTATGGTGACGTCCAGGAATACGATATTACTGTTAGCATCGTGTTACAATAGTGACTCCACTCATAACGACTCGATTTGATAAACTTAAACACGTAGTGGAGGATACTCAGCAATCTAGCCATTTGCATACAGTAATTCTCGGGTCAATGACGAAACTGGGTCAATGGCGAAACTTGGTCAATGACGAACCTTCCCCGGCTGATTATCGCCTTGTGATTGGCCAAGGATTCCGATTGGCCAATATTGACAAAGGCTTCGCCAATGACCAAGGAACCTTGTAGTCTAGAGTGGAAATCTACTATCAATTATATTCAATTAGTCCGAGATGTTAGACCACTGAATTCAGTATGATAAACACAGGCTACCTATTGACCCTGATAAATAGTGAGCTTGCGCAATTGCACGAATTCCCCGCCAGTTGGCCAGCTACGAGTATTCCTGCTGAGAACCTTTGATTAAATTCCATATTGAAGAATAACTCCGAAATACAAGCCTTCAATGGCCAACTTCAAACCGCGCAAAATCCTTGTCAGACTGGGTGTTCCCTGCTTCGCAACAGTTATCACTTCATCGTGGTTTTCCGCAATTTCTTATCTTTTCCCAGAATATGCACCGCCAATTCTTAAAAAACCAAACTTTTTAGATTTCCTCCAAATTGAGGTCTAGGAACTTGCTCGGAAATTGAAGAATTTTGTTAGACAATCCTGACTAATTGCCTGGGAGAAGATTCTCCCATTTCTCCACTCTTTATTAAAACGGGACAAAGTTGGGCTTGATACTAATTTGTAACTTCTCTTTCTCTTTTCCTTTCAAATTAAACCCGATTCCTTGTTTTGTGACCTTGCAGTAATAACCGCCATTACCCCACACTGAAGGATTGGGAGATTCGGAATTCTATGTTGGACGCCGGCGCGCGATGTTCATGGTATTTGGGAATGCGATCGAAATTGATATCTGAATCAGTCGTTTCTGATTGGCCCGCGAATCGGAAAAAGGGGCGAACCACCCCCTTTAGGAAGTGGGCAGACAATCGAACTTTTCACACACCATCACTCGTTCTTGGCGCCCCGTCTCCGGAATGTTCTGGCTTGGCGTTGATTGAAACAGGGGAAACGGCAACGGCTGTATCGGACGTTACCTCAATTCACTTGCATCCCAAAACGTGCAAATAAAAGGGTTTTACCCCTTAGTTAATATCAAAATCCAGGTATTTAAACCAATTGTCTGTCTGCGTCCCTGTTTAAATGCGGCCACAGAAATGCGGCCACACGGGGAAAGGGTGCCTGAGATCTTGTTAGTACCGAAACCACGTTCCTATCCGGCCCAGCTTGGAGCTCCCCTTGAATGCTGGCAATTCCTTCTATAGGAAATATAAAATAATCATTGTGTTTGCCACCAATTTTCATGACCAATGTCGGCTGCAGTCTGTTTAAATCTGTTGGCCATGATAACCATGCGCGCTAGTATAATTATGCACATGCGCACGCTCACTTTGATACTATTTACCAGCAAAGGCATAAAAGGAGCTCGAATATGAGCCAAAGGTTATTATTGTCTAGTTATACTGTGTCAATGCTTCTAGATCTCGTATCTCTCGATCGTGTTATTACTGGTAAGCGCCAGGCAGCTTTTATTGGAATTACGTACCTACAAGCATACCAGACATAAGGCTAAATACAAGTGTACAGCCTAGGAGTGGGTAGCCCCCTCAGCCAGAGGACAGACCAGCAACCATGAACACGAAGGAACAGGAGTATACGGTATTCGCCAATCATCCCGGCCTAGGTTTTGAAAAGATCGTCGATTAAAAGCTTTAGCATCACTTTGTTGTCAAACACGTAGCCTCAGATCCTCGATGAAAGTCGAACGTTTCCCTCTAGCGAAGGAAAACACCACATGATGGAATCTATCCCATTGATATTTGCCCACGAACTACTGAATAGTAATTTCGTCCACCCCAGGCAGCCATGTTGATTCTAGGCAACCGCTTCAACCATATGCAATCATATTGATTTCCGGCATTCACGTGTCGGCTCCAGACAGTCGTGCATGCTGGTTCCAGGCAGTTGTGTATCTAGGCAGCCATATTGTCAACTCCACGCAGTCGGCCGTGTTTTTTTTTTCAGGCAGTCATGTCGACTCCATGCTCCGAGCTACTATAGCTTCATGGGTATAGGACGCCTTGAGAGGCTTGCGAGGTGCTTCTACGTCCATTAGTTGCGGTATTTACTGACTAGACAGCGGCCAGCGCTATAGATGCAGTGGTTTTGTGCTTCGCCGTAAGTGTATAAACTACATGTTAAAGTGTAATCAGTGTACGTATGCAAACCACGACCAAAATCTCCATGCCCGCTATTCATTCAATCCATTATCAAGGCTATTTTGGCGGATCCACGAAGACGATTCAATAAATTCATGAGTGAATTGATTTACCTAGAACGTAAATGTTATTATAGAACATGTAATAATCATGTGCATAGCCCAAATATTTATTCCGCTGATAAGATATCCTTGTGCCACGAATTCATAACACAGTAGGCTCTTTCAATGTCAAGAGTGACCAAACCATGTGTTTTGTTATGCGATGAT